GAAATAACTTTACACCAATAATTTAGATGTTCGAACGGCAAGGCACGCTTCAACGATATGATTAACATAAAAATGTAGTAGACTTGTGCTAAATTACAGATTATTAACATTCGTCCTCGTTTAGTAAGACAAAGTGCCATAGATAAGTAATACAGTGGAATAATATGGTTCCGCTAACCGTGCATTACTAGTAATAATAGTTTTAATGTAGTGTGGTTTCCGACTGACCATCGACTTAATTTTACAATATTTCTTGTCTATGGCTAACATTGTATTGAATTAAGTTTTTACTGCACTGAGAGCAGACTCTTTGAGAATTAAGTGTCAGCCAATCTCTTAGTTTTCAATGAAGGATTATTTATTTATAAGTATTAAATTAAGGGTCTCTAAGTTACATCCTGTATTGCTGAACTGTTGAAAATTGGAAACTGAGTATAACTGTATCCACCTATATCATTTCACCTGTTTGTTAAATTTGTTTAACTAAGTAATACTAAATATCTTTATACTTATTCATTTAAAATTAGTGTAAATATGAATATCATTTCGGAAAACGAATGACGAGCCATGCTTCGGCACGAATGGGTCGGCTCGACCGGAGTGATACCACGGCCTCACAGAAAACCGGCGTGAAATAACCACAGCGTTGTGTTTCGCCGTGTGAGTGAGGTTACCGACTTACCGAAGGCCCAATCCTTCCCCTCCCCTAACCCCCAATCCCTCCTCAATCCCTAAATCTCCAAATCCCTAATCCCTAAAAGGTCGGCAACGCACTCGTAACTCCTCCGTTGCGAGTGTCCATGGGCGGCGCTGATTGCTTACCATCAGGTAATCCGTCAGCTCGTTTACCGAACTATTACATAAAAAAAAATACTGCAAAAGTTGTCAGAACTATTACAATGTTAAATTAAGCCATATATTCATATAGCTAAAGTAGTAAATATAGCCAAAGTACCTATTATGCTATGTTATATATTATATAGGTAATGACACTGTTTTAATTAGACATGCAAGTAATATACAACTGTGCACGAAGTAAATAGAGTCGTGTTCAGAACAAAATTGATCGATACTTGTTTCTAATCTTTCATGTATGTAAATCATTATTATTACAAAGTACCTTTATATGGCGCAAGGTGTACGCATTGTATCTAATCTACTATTCTGATACTATTTATCTTAAGGTTAATCTAGTAAGATGTGCATCCAATTTATTTTTAGTTGCACCTTTAAATAATGTATTCGAAAACAAAAACAATTTCACGTCTCTGCCTCACACAGGCATGTTTTAAAGAAGTTGGCACATAGAACCTCAATCGTAACCAGTTCTCCTCCATGAAGGTTAAATTGGCTGTCTGTAAAAAGTATACCAACCTCCTTGGTATAATTCGAAAATTTCTTCCGGTAGTTCACCCACTCGCTACCGGTTACCATATCAGCTGATATCTTAAGCTCACTTCCGAGTTCCGCTCCCAACCCCACACCTTAATTTATGTCAAGAACTTTATCTTGTTAAAGGTCAACATTTTGTTATTGATCTTTACGATTGTATTCAATTTTAAGCTATTTTCATCAAACACCAATTATTTTTTCAAGAATTTTCCAACAACTACGTTAAGTTCAAGGTCCCGTAGACCTTTGCGGTACAATAGATGGCGTGTCTTTCTGATTAATAACTTGTATTATACACATACGTATACACATTTATATACATATAGGTACCTGTGCTTTCGGAGTTAGACGTTTCGTAAATAATTAATTAATAAGGACATGCTCCGCCATGTTGTCTTCTTTAGGTTGGGTACGACATGACAGTATCTAGATGTCATTCAACCCAGCTTGCATGGAATTTCCAACCGGAGGCAACTGGGAGTGGGCACAGCACAATGTTTGATATTTGTTGTTATACAATTTAGGCAAGTTTATATGAGAAAGAGAAATACAAACTATTGATGCAACTACTTAACAAAATGCAGATACGTTGCTGCAACAGCTATCTGCATACGAATCACACAATCGTAGTCCTTGCAGCTTTTACTAAACGCGAATTTGCTCCGTATTTCACTATTTCACACTCAGTGGGTTTTGTTACGCAAAGCTTACAATCTCTGGTATCGCGAGCACATTATTATTTAATTAGCGACTGAACTGAATGCACCATAAGCCACATGAAGCCGCAACTACATCCGTTTCCCGAAGGCGAAGAGTAGCGGATCGCGGAGGCGTTTCGCAACGCCCTGCGGCGGCGCCCGCGCATTCCGGCCGCGACTCGACGGCGGCGAGATACGATACACACTCTTTGCGACACTACTGCACCTTTTCTGAATTATAAAAAGGATTTTTGTAGCTTGCGTCTTGATGTTACAACATATACTTAGTTAAAATTATACCCGAACGCTATGAGAATTATCAAAAATGTTGTATTAATTTTTAAGCATTTCATAAATGTGCTCATCATCATGCAGTACCATCCTAGTAACCTAGACAGTACCTTAAAAACCAGTTAGACATAGTAACTACATAAATGGAAGCGAAAATTTCGCAATTCTTCACAGCCTTCCTTCGTAACTAAAATGGGAAGAGCTGTTTGTGGTCTACCCAACTTCACGTAGCACACAACTGTCTAGAGCCAACGATAATTTTATTACCGACCTATTCGGCAAAACAGGTTTACATACATAAAACACATTATTTAAAACCTTGCCCCAGGTTATGCTTAGTAAGAGAGGAAGCCGGTTGTACTTATACATCAGAGTTTAAGACAGATTCGCGAATATTTTTAAAATAGACCTTTAAAAATAACCTTAGAATCTAGTTAGGTGGTAGCGTATCAAGCCAAGCTCCAGTAAGAAAACTGGCCAGCAGAACCATGTGCATTGAACCATTATATAAATCATTTGAATTCTAATTGTTATGCACCTCCTTTGTTATTGTCCATAAGATCGAAGACTCATAAGAAACTAAACGTTTTATGTATTTTTTTACTCATTTACTTGCAATACAGACTACATATGTATTTGCTTCGTGACAATTTTTATAGTTTATATTCTAGTGTACTGTACACCAAAGACTTTAAACACTATCCAAATAGCGTCACATAAATCTACAGTGGAGAATATTCGTGTCAAGTACGAAACTAGTGTCATTAACATTTTAGAACAGTAGCTCGTGTCTTCAAGTACTGCGAGTAATTTACACCTACCCTTACCCGTCTCGCAGTCTGTTGCTACCATTTGCATAATATAACTAATCGTAACCGCGACTTTGCTTGTACTAAAAATAGTATACAAAAATTACATAATTTCAAAATATAAGTACTACTAGCTAAGTGAAAGAATTACATGGTTATACGTCTAAGGATCACACTTTCCCTAAACAGAAAAGCATTTGCGTACTTTAAATCGTACTCCACAGCATAATCTATTTTTCTGTTATATATTTTATTCAGTTGCATACAGACACATTCGAAAGCTTCAAAGAGGCAACAGACCACTACAGACGAGGCCCAACATGGCCTATGTTCAGCCGGGGTGGCAGGTCATACCCAACTATACATATGTATACCGCGGCTTCGGTCTGCACTATAAGATGGAACGGAGTGGTTTTTAGTCAGTAAGAGAATAATTTCCATCCCTAAAAAAGCCTATTTCAAATAATGGAATTACAAACATCCTTCCATACAAATTTAATACTACTGTAGTTTTACATTGGCATAAGTACGCATCGTCTATTAATTGAATACTAATGCAAATGAAGCCACTCTCAATAGTAGAATCCGATTATCCGCTTGTAAATAATGTTTATTTCTAATTAATTATGTTCATTTGTGTATTCATTTATAAGTTATATCCCTGATTACGTTTAAGGAATTTAGTATTTTAATTCTTTTACATTAGATTCGGATTTTGATTGGAGCAAAATACACTTAATTGCAACATTACAATTTAAGAGTAATTAAATTTTAAAAAACATTTCACATCAAGAGTTTAGTATTTACACTGTAAATTGTATTCGTCTTTGAGCCAATTTCGAATGAAACATCTGAATTTCTGAAACGCTTCGTGAGATTACATCAAGTTTCTTAATAAAAGTACTCAGCCAGAACAATTTTAGTAACTTTTATATTTACGACGCGTAGTTGTAATATTTTCAAAAATGTTTACAAACAATTAATGAAATTAGGGATCATAAAAAATTATGTGTGCAATTTAAGTAAAACTAATTAGCTTCATTTGTAACCAGGTAAAACATTTGTGTACAACACTGTGAGCTCATACGAATAATATTATAATACCTTATAATAAATTGCTTCGCCTTACCGTCTTACAATAAGGTACAATGGAGACAATTTATTAATTAACGCAATAATAATCAAAATTATTGTTAATTTTATGTTTTGTTTTGTAAACTGTAAAAAGCGACACTATAACTTTACACCTAACTCAATTCTGAAATAAACCAAATAGCTAAAATATATAGTTCCAAAATTGCTGTTACCTAAAAATACCCCGCGGCCGTTGACCGGCAGTAACATCTTCAAGCACTCCAGCCCACAAAGTGATTAGACTACAATTAAACTATTTAGAAGACGTAGCGTGGGTAGACCCCCTGCTAGGTGCAGCGACGACCTCGTCAGAGTCGCAGGGAGCCAATAGGTGCGAGTGGCGACTTGTTGTTCGGCGTGGAGAACTTAAGACCTTTGTCCATCAGGGAACATCTTCCGGCTGATGATGAGAACTATCTTACTAAATACTAATATTATAAATGCGAAAGTTACGATGTTTGGATGTTTGTTACTCACTTACGCCAAAACGGCTGAACGGATCTATATGAAATTTGGCATCGGCAGGATACACTCCGGAATAGGACATAAGCTACTTTTTATCAATATACGGGGGAAGCCGCGGGCGGAAGCTAGGTTAATTATAAGTTATCATTACTAAATAAACGTAGGTATATGTAAGTTACAGTACTAAAATTTCTTATTTCCCTTGTTTCAGGCTGGGTGAGCGATGAAGGGGTGGTTCGATGCGTTCCGCGAGGAAGGCGGGCCGACCCTGTACGCGTACCACAACCGCACGGCCGTCGCGGCTGATGTGCCTGCGCTTGCGCTGCTCATCGCCGCGCTCACGCTCTACATCGCCTTCCTCGCTGTCTTCCCCGGCATCAGGAAAGAGGTTGTACTCTTCATATGTCTTATTTTTTAAACTAGTTAGAAGTTCGATAAAATTACATGAAGCTGTTTAATTTTCAACTTTATCATTTTGGCATTAGGTTCTAAATTCAATATCAACCACAAGTTAGAGGGAATTTAGTCAGTCTAGCAAGTAAATAGTAAGGTTTCAGTTTGAAAACCTTTTTAGCACTGACTAAGCGACTTCCCACTTAAACACGTTCTGCCTACCAGTAAAAGGTGACTAAGTGTTGTCCTACAAGGTTGTATATTTCACATCTGCACTCCAAACTTCATAAGTTTGGAGTATAAAGTATAAACGATATTGAATCAACATCAAAAATGCCAGGCTATCGCTTTCCTGATCTCTGACGACAATTAGCTATTAATGAACACCTGCATTTATTAATGCATTATATTTTAGACTATATTAGCCACTTTCACTCTCAATTTCGACCAAATAATTTATTCTAGTTTCCATTTACAAAAAATTATATAGAATCCCATATAGTAGAAACCTTAAGATTGAACGACAAAAAAATATACTGTTTCATTATTTCGATGGTATTATTTTATTAAGACTATCAAAAAGCCGCAACGTATGTTAAACATATTAATAGTTCTTTGTGTTGTCAGCTACTAAGCACATATGTTGTAAATAAGGTAAAATTATTTGGCTATATCTATAAACATTTCTAGACAATCTAATGGCCATTGTTTTGTTTGAAATTACTCCTAACATAGTATTATATCCAGCTGATTGTAGTACACAGTGCATTATTTACGAAACGTCTGCTGGGATCACGATAATGACTGGGTATAACTCATAACAGCTGCATTAAGACCTATCCATTGTTTGTTACAGAGATTCTCAACGTTCACGATAGTCACACTAAGCCTTTTCGTCGGCACCGTCATTCTAGGTAAGCATTATGGAATATTCAACTTTCCACTTTCTTTGTTTATAATTAGTGAGACGTAACCGTTCGGTTTTTTAGCAGAATAACTCTACAATTTTAACAGCACTTTAAAAGCGTAAATCATTGCGGCAGACGTAACAGCCTTGGCAACGATTTTAACGACTTAATTACACTCATTTGCCATGAAAATTCTAATGGACACTTAATTAAAATGCAAGTACATTGCTTAAAAACAACAAGAAACGAGATTATTTATTGATTTTGGTATTGAGTTTTGTAGGTATTAAGATAAAGCTAAGGTTTCGTAAATGTCTACGAAATGGTGGGGAAATATTATAAGTGATCTGTCCGATTTATGGAGACTTAGATGACGAAAATAATCGTTGACAGATACTCCACAATAATTGACAAGATGATTGGGATGGTTATTTCTAAATCAAGTTGTGTGTCAGATAATGTTCTGTACAATATTGTATTGAATGGTCTCCAGTAGACAATCAAAAATCCTTGGCGCTTATTAAAAGCTAATTTTCAATGGAAATTTAGATCTAGATGATATTGTTACACTAGACGGACTTACAAGGAACAAACAATAGTACTTAAAGAGGAAAACCAAGCTAATAGAATGGAATCCGACAATAACGAATCTATTTAGGAAAAGGTTGAATGAATGATGATGAGGAAAAAAAATACCAAGGCAAAGTTATTTGAGGACATCGTTTCTAGAAGTAAAGAGAACATATGATACACGTATCTAAGTTTGTGTCACTTAATTATTCAATTAACTCCTTTAAAGTTTAAATTAGAGTACTACTCTTAGCAGCTTCAAGTTTACTTAGAAATTAGCATAAATGTAAAATACTTATTGAATCGATAATGTAATTTATTCGGCTATCAGTGGTTAATTGGAGTTACATATTAATATGCAATACGACTCCGGCGGAGTACATTCCTTTAATCATTACTTCATAATTCCATCGATATAAGGACGTGATTGGATGAGGTAACTTTTCAGATTTGATAAATCGATTTGAGTGCTCTTAATTCGTCTCTTTACAAAAAACATTATTAGGTATAGGTATCTTATTTGAAAAACATACATATTTTTACTAAATTTCTTTTCTATCTTAGTATAAACGATTAGAGAGGTTTTAGTACCATAACCAAATTAAAACTATAGAGATGTGTCTGATTAGTAAAAGATTTTGTAATATTTTTTTTCGTAACGAATACGCCATTGTTTTGCGGGTGGTCGGTCGAGTGGTGAAACTTGCCTTCTGCCATTGACCGCGATTTTCGTGTGTCAAATGCTGATTTGGTTCCGCACTTCGTGGCTATAGTTTATCTCTTGTTACCATATATTATTATGATGTAGGTAGACGTACAACTCGCGCCGGTGGTAATTCGCCACTTTATGTGATCTCATTCTGAGTCATTCTGTCTATTAACTAAAAAACACATCAAAATCTGTCACATAGTTTTCAAGATATTAGCATACATAAGGGGAGACAGTGAGAAGCGATTTTGTTTTATAGTAAGTAGTGATAGTGAAATGGATATATTATAACATATAGATTTTGTTTTCGCCCTATTTTGATTTATATAACAGTCATCGCGGATCTCATGATATTCTTAGTGCTTGTTTATTGTCATTCTGTCGCTAGTCCAGAAGAAAGAAATAGATTGTAAACACCGATGAGATCAAACAAACTCGTGAAATGTCAGTTTCACTGTTTCTGTTTCAAGCTTGTTCATGCCAACATTGATTCATTATAAATTCAATACAAGTACTGAGATATTCCGGTTGCGATAATTTTAATAACGGTACAAGGCAAAACAACGTGTGCTGAGCTTACAAATGGCATTATTTGAACTGAATTGGACCAAATAATCTTAGCTGAGAAAGGCTATCAGCAAATGTAGTGATTTTAATCTTAACTACTTCTACTGTCTAGGATAGCTTTGTAATAACAGCGAACTGTGGCGCGTAGGACGATAGATTTAAGATAGATACATACGATAAGGTTGTTTAGAAATTGCAAGCAACAACTCCCTCGGGGTTCTATTCACAAGATAAACATAAGATTTCATTGCTTTATTTAAAATATTGAGTTATTAGTATTAAAGAAAATTATTCAAGAAATATTACAATGGACTGTAACACTGCTTTATTGTCCCGACAAAGATACTTCTAATTGAATATTACGACACTTACACTATAGTTTAATAGTCCCCAATCGACACTTTCCAAAACATCCGACCGACATAAAGATGTTATTCTTCAATTGGTAATTTTAGGCATGTCCCTATGAAATGTACGCCATTGTTTTGGTTACGTTGGTTGCAGTATGTAAGCACGGGTCGTCGTGGCATGTGGCGGGCGCCCGCGTCGCTCGTGCGGCGTACCGCGCGTTCTCCGCCGAGCGGCTGGACTGCTGGCTCGCCGTGCATGTGGGCCTGGGACATGTCAACGTTACGCTCACTGGTAAGAGGTTGTATTACTTAAGGGGCTTTAGAGTTAGAAAAAGTAAAGGATGCAATTCCTTACCATATCCTGAAATGCCATATTTAAATGACAACTGTACTGTACATACGTAGGTACCTTCGGTCTACTGTATATCGCATAGAAAGCAATATTATTGTTTTTCCTATCTCTTAATTCTCCGTAATACAAATACATACGTAAAATCATATCACACTGTCTTCGAAGAAGACCACATGTGCCAAACTGCAAAGCTTCATAAGAACTCTAAGAACTAACTGACAAATTATTAGATTTTTCTGAAGTGCACTAATGCTTATCAATTCCAATAATTCCAGCACTGTCCTGGGGCAACACGAGTATTGGGGATCCGGGCGTGGACTACAACGAGCAGTTCCGATGGGAAGAGGCCGGAGCCATTCAGGAATTCTACCGAGATGGCCTGACGCGGGGCCTGCCTTTTCCACTACTGTCAGTAGCAGAACACTTTGCAGTGCAGCATGAGGGCTTCGATTGGGGAGCCAAGTACCGTGCTGCAGGGTACACCACATCTACGCTGTTATGGTAAACGAAGAAGAAGCTGTTGTTTATTCGTATAAAATTAGAAGCAGTATTTTATGATTTGTTCTCACAAATAAAATGCCAGAGCTGATATTATGAAGCATACTTAAGTAACATAAACGTTTGTTAACCGTCTTTTAGTTTTTAAATCTTTACTCTTATCATTCCAGGGCGGCGATAGCTCTGTGGCTACTGATGAACCTGCTGCTGGTAGTCGTGCCGCGATACGGCGCTTACGCTATGGCCACGCTAGGCGTGACGCTATGTGCTGCGGCCGGTGGCTACTGGGCCTCGCTACCACACGCACCGCTAGTCGTACGCCTTGACGGAGCGATGCTGTTCTTCTCATTAGGATGGTGCTTTTGGCTTGTGTTAATAGCAGGTTAGTAAAAGACGGCCGAATACTATGTGTCCCATAGAAACGATAAAATGGATGTCCTATTGCACTCAAATTACTATCGCGTCGGTAATTAAGCTCTAGCATGGCAATAATTCATTAAAATCTACTATCCTATCATAATAAATTGCCAATTTGCATTATTTTGAGGATGAAAAGCGCTTACAAAGAACTCCTTTAACAAAAAATCAATCCTTCCCTACAGCAAAGAGTACTACAGTTTTAAATACTTATCACAATTTTTTCAAAATATTTACTGCTTCCATTTCAGGATGTATCTGCGTGACTGTGGGTTTAATAATCGCGATCTTAGACCTGATCTGGCCGCATCGGTTCTCGACGGTGCTGGAGGTGGACTACGACACGCCATACGACAGGCACGTTCTCATTGTCGACAGTCGACAGCGAGCCAGGCCGCAGACACAGGCCTCATTACCTACTAGGATACTTAGGTGAGTTACCTGCACTTACTTTTGGGGTTTTTATATGGAATATGAGGCTAACGAGCAGGCGGATCATTTTGTGGTAAAAGACACTCGTAGTACCTCGTAGAGTAACTACAAATAGGTTGCCTGCCTCTTTTGGGTCATTTGGGATTAAAGGATTAGGGGATTTGAGGATTGAGAATAAGGGGGAAAGAATCGGACCCCCGGTAACCTCACTCACACGTGTGTGAGGTCGTGGTATTAACTCCGGTGGAGCCAGCAAATTTATGCTGAAGCATGGCTTTCCCACACTTACGTTTAGGAAGTCTGACACTCCCTCTTGCCCCACTCAGAACGGTGGAAGCAATTTGATGAAATTCTGCTAGCAAAAAAACTTTTTGCCATAATCTAAACGCTTGGAGCGTGTGTGTTATCAGAGTACACTACTGCCAAGTCTCTATAAAAAGTGTAACCCTTCAGCTAAATTTTAAGACGCCTTCTAGAAGAAGGAGGTAGACACAAGTATATGCTACTTTGCCATTACGCCTGAATTAACTCATCACATCGACCTCTCACTAGTAACTCTTTTGATCATTGCAGAAGACTGTCATCAAAGACTCGCGACACAGAAGGTCAGGTCTCAATGTCAGTAGTTAGTGAAAACGAAAGAGGTCGGGACAACCCCGCCTACCAACATGAACATAGGAAGCCAAACTCACCGTGGAGGTACCCGCTCTTCAGGAGACAGATTGAGAGGTAATACCACTTCAGTAATAAATATCAGTAGAGCAACCAGCTTAAATGTTGTAACATTTTATCTTTCAGTGGCCAAATGTGTAGAAAAACTATTATTTTTCTATTTAATACTATTAAATCTCAATATTATTACGAAAAGTCTATAATATACAGAAAAACTAATTACTTGTGTGAAACATTACATACAGTTATGGATTCGGAATGTGTTAAGTGTATGTAAATACGTCCTGCAATATAGGAAATAATACCGGGATTGAAAAAGTTTGTTGAAGTTTTACATAGATTTAACACAAACGTAACATATAACATAACAATTTTTTATTACACTAATGGAATAGCTTCATTGAAGTGCTTTTGCCATCCTAGTATATCGTTTTATGCAATCGTTTCAGAGTGGACTCCGCGTCAAGCCTGGGGTCAAGCATAAACGGTAACAGTTCCGGTATCAAGATGTCGCCACTGGCCACGGGAGCACCCGTGGCGCCACCGTCGATCCCGCCGCATAGGTACATAACGAGCACTTCTCAGTCTTGTCGCTATGTTAAATAAATGCTGCTTGCCTGAATGTAAAGTGAGTATATTGATATGACGACGATATGACAGTGAAAGAACAGAAAGTGCAACCGATGCATCCATTATAATATCTTAGCCAGCCACTTGCACTATTACTGGCTGGCCGACCGCGCCATATTTGAAATTAATAAAGAGACAATATTTTGCTAATGCTAATCGCCACGAGTACGTATTATCTAAACATTTTATATTTAGCCTTATTTCTGCCAACTGCTTCAATAGTGGCTGATAAAGCCTTAAGTCACATTTGTTGCTTTATTATAAACTTAAATTTCGATAGATTGGAATATGTTAAAACGATAACATACGTGGTAGTGCATGAACGGCAAATTAAATCATATTTAAAAAAACGTATCAAAGTAAAATCTTATATACCTACCTACTCGTATACATATTTACAATTTGTTGTTTTCCAGGTACCGTCCTCAAATACCAGCGGCAGAGCGAGTGAAGGACATGTGGTGATTAGTGTAATAATAGCATAATTAAATTACACTCAAATAATAATAGGTGTTGGCGGTACGTCATCTAAAGTTACTGATCTCTGAGGACCTTCATACATGGTGAATAGACAAGCCCACGAGTTAAACGAATATATAGTGATTTAGATATAAGAATCCTGTAGAAACTACACAAACAAAATTAAATAATTTAAGTACCATATATTAAAATGGCCGCTTGTATAAAATATATTCAAGTGTTTTAACCTCATCCCTAATTTCCCAAGTTGGCAATACTGATGTTAAAAAGAAAATTGTAAATATGTAAAATATAGTTAGGTATCTAAATTATAATTATATTCAATCCGTCCAGTGTCATAAATATAATGCCTAGTTAATAATTCTGTACCTCTTGTGAGATATGAGTAAAATGTTATGACTGCATCGACACAAATAAATGCTTTGTGCCATGTAATAAAACAAGAGACAACAAGTATTAATTAAGTAAATTTTAATAAGGACGAAAATTAAACGTATCAAAAAGTATTGGAACAATGTATACTATAATAGATTGCATTTGACATTGTTTTTTTTTAAATTCTGACATAGGTATGAATGTTGAAGTTGATGACATATCAATAAAATGGAAATGACATCGAATTGATATACATAAAAAATCGTTAATCGATATCTAGACCGAAGTCATTTAGTTGTAGGTATGTTAAATTCTAAGTTATTTATTTCTTATTTCCAGTTGTAGTTGATGTGTGAATGTTGTGTGTTAGCCATTTTTGGTAGTAAAAATCACAATTATAATTGTCTACGTCACATTAGTCCTAACTACTTACATCACGGAACATTTTCAATGTTGTGAAGATATGTTTGCAACAGTGAATGTGTATTGTACCTTTGTTTAATATAACTATAGTGAGAATAGAATGAATGATTTAAATAATATTTATTGTGATCGAAAAAATAAACGAATTCGAAACTTGAACTCTGTTGCCTTATTACGCCAACTCTTATTGCCAACGTTCTGGCTATAATGTAATAGTTATAGTTGTGACACAAATATTTATGTACCTGTCTCAATAGAACCCCCTCCCCTCCCCCACATCTAACCCTAATCCCCTATCCTAATTCCTGATAACCAACCAAAAAAAAAAACCTGGTAGCCCGGAGGTTAAGGAGCCCGCTTCTCATGCATGAGGGTACGGGAAACCTTGCAAGTACCAATGTGACTTTCCGAATTATACACCACTGACATACGGTGATGGTAAACATCGTAAGGAAACCTACTAATAATTTCTAATTATAAGTTTGAAATCGCCAACTCGCAGTGAGCAAGCGTGGTTATTAATGCTCTAACCTTCTCCGTATGAGAAGAGGCCTTTGCTCAGCAGTGGGCACTTATAGATGATGATGATGAACCCACAAAATATGAACAACAATCTTGTAATAATTCATTTGGTTTTACGAGAGCCATTGGGTGGCGCTGATTGCTAACCATCAATCCGTCTGCTCGTTTACTTACCAATACCATAAAAGAACTAAGTTGGTATTTCGAAATTAGTTTTTTATTACTCTTGCAGAACACTAACAGAAGTATCCCAAATAGTCGTTTTAGGCATTTTATACCCCAATTTTTGAAGAAACCCAGATGAAACCTAAAATTACTGGACTAAAAAGATTTTGTACTTTTGCTTATTGTGAATGGGACTTCTGCCTTTACCGTTTGATTAACCACAAAAAAAACAACTAACGTAACATTACTACAAAAACAAATTTAATCACTTTTTAAATAGGACCATAACACATCACACATTACAAAATTGATATAAAATATAGCAGGTATCTAAAAGTTGTTACAAATAACCTCCAATATCAAGTCAATCGTAGCCTTAATTGTTAGAATAATGGATAGCTTAATTCAATACATAAAATACAAGTCCACAAGTCTCCTCTTCGCTCCTGAATTACGGTAAATTTATATTTTTTACGGATTTTAAAACTTTGTTATCCTATCTTTCTTATAAGAAGTTAAATAATGCGTGATTAGTTTAATTTTATCTTGATTTTTCGTACTTTTTATTATTTCTTAAGACTGTTCTTTAACGAGGTGCTCGAGGTTTAACTGACAAAGGAAGGCATTCCAGTTGACGAACCCGCTTTTAATTTCCACCTCCGCTTCACTCCACATTTTACACTGAAAAATACGGAAATTAATTTTAATAAAAATTAAAAAAAAAATACTTGTAACTAATTTTATTTCCACAAACGATCAATGAAATAAGAACGATAATGAAAGAAAAGTAACGAAAACGAAAAAAACAATATCAAATTGTTCGACACATCAGAAACTAAAAACCATGCACGCTGTTCCTTTACATAATAATATGTATATAAAAAAATAAAGTGAAGGTTTCAAAAATGGCCTAACTTCGTTGAATGCCGATTTGTATTTTTTTTATCGTACTCTACTTAAACAGCAAAAAACACAATTTTAAGACAGCGGAGTGCCAAAGGGTCTGTCTGGCAGTCTTATCGCACAAGGCGATCTCTTACTCGACATAGACAATACAACTAGATAGGTACAAACTATACGTTGCTAGTATGATTAGTGAGAGCAATCATTATTTATGAATTGATATTTCCCATTACCTCAGTATCCTTCAAGGGTGGTGCATGACGTACAACCTTCTCGTAATCCGCATCAGAAAGATTAAACACTGGTCGAGTCTTGAAATCCAAGAATTCCATCAAGTCTTCGTAATGGATATTGCAATTTTCATCTTTTAACAAACTAATAAAAAAAATATTATTAAATTAATGTATTATAGGTATCCCTATGAATGGTTTTTTTAATAGACTAGAGTTATTGAAGAGGATGGTTTTTTATGTGCGTAATAACATCCATTTAATATGGAGAAATTTAGTACCTATCAGCATTCAATGCTGCATTGCACCCATAGAGAAAGAAGCCTGGGTGCGTCGCTAGTATATTACAAAATTACTGATACATCGGAAAGAAAATACAAAAAATATGATATATTTTATTCGTCATTTAATGGTAGATTCATGAGATTGTATGAGATTGTATTGAATTCATCCAAACTTTAGGGTTAATTGAGTTCGAACTAGCAATAGGAAAAAATACTGAAACCAACTCAGTTGTCAAGACGTCAAGCCAAGGTATGTTTATAATGATTTTGCTTACACTGACAACATGCAATCCATGAGATCTGTGTTGATCGGCAGTCTGTGGGCGCGTAGAAGTTGTCGCATTCGATCTGGGGACAGTGCGCCCGAACCAGTCGCATCAGCGTGCATTAGACCTTCGCGGAGACGATCCCGATCATCCCACAAACCCCGTGTCAGCTCCGTGAAAACTAGTGACCTGGAAATTAACAATACCTTTAAGTTACCATAGAAGAGTGAATGGTAAGCAAAGGATGATTCGAAAACAGCCCAACTCGAGTAACGATCTCAACACTGGAAGTCTCATTCAAATCACGAATCGGTTACTAGTAACATAAAAACTCATTAATTGAGGAGATAATGGAGTACCAGCTTGTGAAAACCCATTGGGTTAGAGGGTGTAGAATTTGGAGTCGCGTCACTACGCGAATTGAAGTCGTTCGAGGTGCGTGTAAACGATCGCCGTGTCGGTCGTGTCGGTTGTGTCGGTCGTGTCGATCGTGCCGGTCGAGTCGGTGGTGTCGGTAGTGTAGGTGGTGTCGGTCGTGTCGAAAGTATTAGTCATGACAGTATCGTGTCCCATGCTCATTATGAGGGGACGGCTCTCACGCACGAAACTTACACTAATAATGATCATGATAAATGAAACTGTACTCATTCGTGACTCCAAAGTCTAGCTTTCAAGAAAATGTTTTATTATATTGCTGAGATGATATGTTGAACCAAAAAATAAAAGTTATGTATAATGTGTTTATACCTGGCCACAATAAAAAAAAATGATGTTATTGTACTACTGCAGCCGGTATTTAGTGTCGTCGTAATGTTGAGCTATAGACTTGGCAATGTAGTGCGGGAGTTATGAGCATGAGCATACCTGACCATTTCCCTGCGTGGAAGTTTATCCTTGCCAGGGTCCCCACGGAAGAATCTGATCAGAGTCACAAACTCGTGCTCTGTCATCTTTTCACACATTACTTCTTTCAGTGCTTGTCTACAAATTATAAAATATGCATTAATTAGAATATACACCGACTTACTCATATAACTATTAAACGACGCTCGACTAGTTTTACGCTACTATAGGAACCTAAATTATGCAAATAGTAAACACGTGTTCAATTTATGTGCAACAATTTACATTGCTACTCACTTAAAACATCTAACAGACATGAGATCTTTTTTATCCGGTTCCACAGCTTCCATATATTTTGCTACAAAGTTCTTGTATCCATTTTCTTGAGAAGCCAGCGTGCGACGAATCTTGTCCATTATCAACGCTATATTTGCCATCGGGTACTAGCAATAAATAAAAATAATAGAAAGATATTAGGATTATTTAGGTCTTTGACCAGAACTATTCAAGAGAACATTTTAAATTAATAAAACATTGATAAAATGACGTTTAAAATGATCATTAGTTTCATCATTATGGATTTGTTATATTACTAAAAAGCATCGTGAGATATATTTAACGACGGCGATGAAGCAACCCGCTCTTAAGAGTCCCGTGTGACTTGAAACTATTAGAACTTTTATCATAATTCGGAGAATCGGGTCGTTAAAAAAGTATGCAAAGATGCAGAAACCGATAAAAGGTATGAAACTTCTTAGTCTCACCTGTTCAGAATGCAACTCCATGTATCGCAGAGCATATTCATCAGCGGCAATAAGTCGGAATCGGTGCTTGTTAACAACCAACTCGTTGCCAACCCACATGTCTTTATCCGTGTACGCTGGCGGTTCTTTAGGCACAAAGAAATTCACGTCCGGCAAATACATTTTGTCACGCCGGAAAAATTTTCCACCCTGTCGTAAAGCGATGGAAATCAATTGAATCAAATGTTGTATTGGCACCTAATAAATATCTCAAACTACTTAGCTTTAAGTATAGATTCAAAATTATTTTGCATATCCATGATGTACCTAACCAATTTGAAGAAGTTACAGCTAAAATAAAGTCCACTTTATTACATTGCCGCGCTGAAAGCATCTGATAAAATAACGTAAACTTGGCTTACCAAGAAACCCGAATTGCGCTCGCCTAATTCAAAAACGCCAATAGTGTCATCACATAGAAAATATTTGATGATAAAATAGCGTCGGATATCGTCAGGGTTATCGGTAATCAAACGAGCAGCAAATCGTAGGACGTGCGAATCGAAACCAACTCTGGAGAAGAAAAAAAAAGTAGTTAAATCTTTTTAATAATCTCCTATAAGTATAAAAGTAAATTGCTGTTCGTTAGTCTCGCTAAAACTCGAGAACGGCTAGTCAGTTTTGGATAATTTTGTTCTTAAAATACTCGTTGATATCCATGGAAGGTTTAAAAGGACCATAAAAGGAACATATATTGGAGGCGGAACGGTGTCCGCGGCGGTCATCAAGTCTTATAACAGCCAGTTCAATTTTAATTATTTTGAGGTCTTGGGATACTTATTCGTGGAAGGAGTCAAGGCAAGGTTTAAAAGGGAAGAAAGAAAAATTGAGTTAATTTATAGGCGGTACGGATTTTGCCGGGTCAGCCAGTTTCTAATAAAATGTATATATATGTAGGTTATGTTCTTGTATTACCTATCTTTATTGAGGAATTTAATGAAGTCCCTATGTTGTGCTTTAGGTTCGACTGTGCGACAGTTTTCTGCTGAATCGTCATAGCTACCGTAGCCGTTCCAAGGAGGTAATTCACGTTCAGCCATGCTAGAACTTATGCATTCTTTGCTTTGGTCTTGAGGAATCGGTAGTTTAGTAAATGTATCTGAAAATAATCATCAGTTTACTATGAGTTATACCCAACTGAATCACCGTTTATTCGATTTTTATCTGATGACAAATATTTTGATCAAATTAACTTACCGAATCCATATGTGACACGATAATATTCCTTTGTAAATGGATCACAGTCAGTAAGAACGACATTGCGCCCAAATACGTTCAGAACAGCTCCAATACTTAAATCAGCTGGACAATACGATGGCACTGGCGGACCGCCGGTCATTTCTATTTTGGGCGGTATTTTCTAGAATGTAGTAACAAAAACTTACCATAACAAATCAGTTTTGTATAGTTTAATAGCCAACAATTTTTTTATGTATAATTGTAAGTAATATAAACTAATCAATTAATATAACTTGAGCAAAATAAAGAACTAGGTAAAACACCCTGCAGTATAACTTACGCGAGGCAAGCGCATTCTTTTTAAAAACATTGGACTGGTCTCCGTGCCGGAATTTGGTGCTACCGTTTCTTTGATCTCAATAGTATCGTCAGCTAGAAAATAATGTATCTCCAAATTATGCAATGTTCCGAATTCTGAATCACGGTCGTCCCAGTAACCGTAGAACCTTAAAAATAATACTTAGGTTAATATTTATGACGTTGAATTTATTCATGCTATTTGCAGCCAGTAGACCAATTTCACATTAACATAATGAACAAATATGTTTAGAAGATCCCTTTTTAATTATCAATTCCTTACCTCAAAACTTGTCGATCAAAATCAAGAAATTGTTTGAAGGGCCTGTGCTTCACCGGTTTCCGGGTATCACGCGATCGCTAAAACATTAAATGTACCTAATTAATAACTTAAAACTCGAAACCATATCGATATGTGGATTCTTCACTTACTTCTACAGAATCCGGATAAGGTATGGGGTCCGGTACGTTGATGCCAAGACGGTTCAGGAATACCCGAGTAAAGTTGTCACAATTTACGATCTAAAGCAAAAACATTAATATATAATGAGTTCTTGACATATACATTATGTACCATCGTAATGTAAGAAAGAACATAGTTACTTATTTACCTTAAAAACTTTCCCAAAGAATGAAACTTCCAATCCAATATTCAGATCCAGTACATCGTAATATAAATCATTACTGAACGGAAGACGTATTCTTTGACGACTGATCAATGTTCCTAAGAAAACACATGTTCAATTAAATCAATTGTTAGATATATTATTATGTACAAATCATATTGCCTGACAAGCTTTTGCCCGTGACTCCGTTCGCTTGGAATAGTGACTTCCTGCAGATTTTTGGTATAAAAACTATCCTATGTCCTTTCTCGAGTTCCAAACTATGTCTGTACCAAATTTCACAGAAATCGGTTGAGTATTTTAGGCGTGAAGAAAAGATAGACAAACAGACAGACAGAGTAACTTTCGAATTTATAATATTAAGTTTGGATAGTTTGGATTTGGATCTTACTATCATTCCTGACCGAAAATGCAACTACAAGACGAAAGATTTCAGGCTTAAAAAATGTAGTTCATCTTTAAAAAAAGTGTAAGTCTATACATAGAGCTTTAGTGCTTGTGCTTATTTTTGACTGCACGGTTGGAGCGGGTGGTTGGGGAACTGGCTGCCGCGCAACGTGTTGCGGGTTCGATTCCCGCAGGACACAACTCTTTGTGAGATCCACAAATTGTAGTTCCGGGTCTGGATGTGATGTGTATGTGAAATTATTTGTTTGTTAACGGACCCACGACATGTGGGGGCAACATTTTTCGTATAAAAAAATAAAGTGTTGGGGGACACGGTGTTCAGGCACGCTTGTCTTCTCAAGGGTAGGAAGCAAATTTTGTAAGAGCCTTTAAAATGCGCACCTTGGGTCAGTCCACTATTGTCCGTCTTCGGCTCCATCACCTTAATCGTACCATCCTCAAGATAAAATAAGATGTTCACCTTCCGTAGTATATGAGAGCCTGAACGGTTTTCATGTAATGTTTGTTGGAAGAAAGCATGGAATCGTAGTATCTAAATTTAAAACACAAGATTTTAATTTACTAATTTACTAAGGCCTGATTTTTCAGTAACCAGATAAAAGATATCTGAGGAATAAAATTGTTGCTGTCACGGTCTTATGCAAACATTCTGACGCGCAAGCATAATAATTATTCCCCAGGTAATTTTTATCTAACCATTGAAAAATCAGCCCATCGACCATTTTATTTCCTAGCTTTATTATTGGCGATGCAAAGATTCTAACTAGCGTCTCTAGTGTCAAAATTGTGAAGCTGTCTAAGAACAGCACTTAGACAGTTTTCCTAACAATTAACTCCAGAGAAAAATTAAATTATAAATAAAAAGTGGTATTTTGCTGTTTTAGGGCAAATTTTTCAATCCCAAGCGTACGACGTAGCGTTTCGCGCGCGCCTCAAAGAGCCAATAGACCACCACAGATGGGGCCCCATAGGGCTGATGTTCAGCCTGGGTTGCGGGTTAAGCACAATGAGTCACCGCGGTCTAAGCCCAGAGCAGGAGAAGGAACGGGGGGGGTTTTTAGTCAGTAAGAGTCTGACATTCTCTCTCGCCTTACCCTGGGTGGGAGAAGTCATTTGATGATTATCCCTGACCAAAAAAAACTTTTCTAATGGTACTTCTTTATCGGAGCTTATTTGAGGAATATTCTGAGACGGTACGACATAAAGAAACAACTCGTGCCTTTTAGAATCTGGAATAATAACCATAATCTCGTTATCAGACGAGAAACTAGCCTTAGTGTAAACTCAATGAATCACTTACGAAACACACATAAATATCATTGATCTATACTAATATTATAAAGAGGGGGTAATCTTTGGAACCGCTGGTCGGATTCCCAAAATTCTTTCACTGATGAGATAGCTACAATGTTTCCGAGTGCTATAGGCTATAAAACATCACGCTACAATGAAATGCAGCCGGGCAGCGAGTGATACCGCGCGGGAGTAGCTAGTGCAATATAAAAAAAACATAAATTATGCTTTCTATTTGGTAAAAAGTGTAATGCTTGAAAATCATGAGAACAAGCTCTCATTGATGGTGAAATTGGCTTGCCTATTCTTAAAGCAGTCTTCCATTATTTCTTCATAATTTTGTCTTTTGGGAATAAATGAAAACTTATTCCCGTATCTCCGTAAGTACTACATTTAGGAACGCAATTTCTTCTTTTATTAGCAACAGGTTTCCGTTTATAATCGTCATCCATAGCTGAATAATCTAACTTATCTTCAACAAATAAACAAAGGGTCCTTCTATGACAGTTTCTAAATTTTGCCGCTAGAGGCGTGCGGATAATCTTTGCATCGCCAATAGGTCAGGAATACGCACTAGTACAAGCACAAGTAGGTATAACATTTTTAGTTTCTACACTTACATGCTTATCATACATGATCCAGGTTGGAAGGTCTGGAGCTTGTTTCCGGCAGTATAACGACGGAACCCTATTTACACCTTCTTGTTTATCAACCAACATGTTCACTTTATCGATAGTTGTAAAAATCGGACGAACTCCAAAATTCTTCTTCCCTATCTACAATAGAAAGTGATAATCATTTTAATCAATTATGCACGAGAAATAATTAGGGTAATTACAGGCCATAATAAGCATGGTATAAATTTACTTACCATGGGATTTGTGCCATAACCAGGCAACAGCGGTAGCCTTGGATTACGAATCGACATTATTCAAGATGTTAATAAATCTCAAAGCTTAATTGAAACAGATTTAAACGTGTTTACAAAAATTAGGGTACATATACTTTAAAATCAAAATATTATTTTTCAAACTAATAAACAATTTCTGAAGCTATAGCAACGGCATGTAGCATCTATACTTTATTTGGTTTCGTGACGAAAATACACAAGTGTACCGGCCTGTACCAAACCCCGACATACCTTTCAATTCCTTAGCTCTACAACCACCTCTTTATAATTATTAATTTAATTAATTAGTGCAAATTAAAATTAATATGCCTAAAAAATAATATAACATTAATTTTATCAATGTATACTTTAGAAATGACTAAATAAAACGTGAAAATTAATTATCTATAAAATGTCGAAAATGACATGAAGGGATATCCAGGCCATAAACTCCAAAAAAAAAAAAAGACATGAAGGGACTGACACTTGACAGTGACAGCAGAACTGATGCGATTGACACTTTGTTACTAATATTTATTTTTTGGTTTGTTGTTATATTAAAAGTCCATTTATTAAATTAATACTACAAAATTAAATAAACTATAACTCTTCACAATGATTGATGTTAAAACAAAAATTTGCTCGTTTTTTATTTTTAACTCCAGTTTTGGGCCACGCGAGGGCGAAGTAAGTTTTACTTCTAAAAGAAGTACCTTTTCTTCTTCTTCACTTTTTATTTTATGCTGCAGCGTTTCCAAGGATATTGTCAAGTTTTATACCAACCTAAGATTTATGTCATCCCGTAAAAACTCAACAGATAAATTAAAACCCTTTTGTTACATTTCCAGGAGCTACAAAGGATATTGTTCTACCACCCCAGTCAGACCAGTGCTGATACACAAAAAATGCAAGTCGGTTTATGTGAAGCGGTTATTAAATTCATGACGTAAGTGGTATTCTTTAGTATAGGTACAATAAAAAAAGTCTGAAAAGCAGTCTTTACTCAGAAAGTAAAGTATGGATAATACTGTGTGTTAGTTATAAAACTAACTACACTACAACTAAAAAAAGTGTCCTAATCATAACTTAACTTTCCATTATATTGCAGGACATTCTCACAGAAGCCATGCGAAGCTTTACAAACACAAACAAAAAAATACATATTCTATCAACCAGAAAAAGGGTATTGGATGGTTCTGGTAATAATATGATCTTTTAATAGAAAAAAAACTATAACCATATATATAAAAAAATATAACTAACAAACTTTATACTAAATCAAAAATATATCATTTTCTTTTTTCAGGTAGTCAGAATTCCATATACAACAAAAGCTTTGTCAGCTATAGGAGAAAGTAGAGGGACTGACTTTGTGAGTAACATTTATAACATTATGTCAAACCCCTTGTTCATTTAGAAAAGATCAAAAGTTACTTCACACATTTAATATCAATTTTCTTAAACATATTTAAAAAAAATGCAAAACCTGACTTTGATTCCAAAGTCTCCTGGGCTAAGTGTCATTAAACTTCCCTGCAGTAGCATAAAGACTAGAATCATAACCTCCTCCCATTAATGTAGTTAATGTATTATCTTTATATTACAGGTAGTCCCATCAGTGATGTATGATCTACTAAAGTCAGCTTATAAAATGTTCAGAATGTTCAGAGGCTTATTCAAAAACTTTTCAATAGAAGAAATATATTCAGTTTGTGACCAATTCTTTACACCAGTAAGGCAACTTTTAATATATATTAAATAAATGATATTGTAATATGTAAACTTATACAAACATATTGTATTTTTCAGTACATATTGTCTAGAAATATATCAAATGATGTGGCGGATGTCATTCAGGGCATTAATTATCTGCCGTTGGACAAGAATTCATTCTTTAAAGTTTTATGCTTCATAGACTTGTTAGAAGTAAATTACCCACATTTCAATTGCATTTCATTTATCTATAATGAACAACTTATTTGGTAAGTTCCAATTTTCTTAAATACATATAAATAAACTAATTTATAAGTACAAATAGAGACCAATCTTCAATGTTAATGGGTTACTACTTACAGCGCCATCTGTTATACACGATAGACAACATTTTTATCTATACTTCTATACTAATATTATTAAAAGGTAAAATTTGTAAGTTTGTATGTTTGTATGTAGGGGTCAATCTTTGGAATTGCTGGTTGGATTGCCAAAATTCTTTCACTGATAGATAGCTACAACGTTCCTGACTGCTATAGGCTATAAAATATCACGCTACGATTGAATGAAACCGCGCGAGAGTACCTAGTTATATATATAACTACACTGTGTTATGTGCATGTATAGATTTGTGGTTGAAGTTATAGGAAAAATAATAAAAACATGCAGAAAAGTTCACTGAACTTAACAACATCAATGTATTATGTTTTCGGCTTACTCACGTTATAATTTGACGAGATACTCGACTAGTTTCAAGCCATGTTAGAATCGCGGCAGAGGGCGCCGAGTCGCGTCTCTAGCATGGCTTGAAACTAGTCGAGTATCTCGTCAAATTATAACGTGAGTAAGCCGAAAACATAATAAATAATTTAGAATGTCTCACGAAGTTATAATAAAAAAACATCAATGTATTAGATTGCCAACTATGTTTGTGTTCACAGGAATGGATTAGCTACAGATGACATGTTAACTTTATACCAATATTTGGTACAGTCTTTATTACCAAAGGAAGTGGAAAAAGAAATCCATGGAGGCGCAGTCGCTGCTGCCCAGAGACATGGTCGATTTATCCATCCTTCTGATGGCAACCAGGAAGAAAGACTTATGAAAGTGTACCTAAAGCGAGAGGAAGATACGGAAGCAAGGCAGTATTATTTAGTTGTCTACAGAACCATGAGTGCCACTATCTGTTTGACTGCTGATGGTAAATATTTTATACTTTTTACTATACCGTACAAAATCGTACCTAATTTTAATAAATGTAAATTATATAATTTACAGTAAGTGTGGATCTACAGCCCGAGATGTTGAGATCGTTAGACGCATTTATTGGACCCCAGCTATCAACAATAGCCTCGACAATTGGTGAACAATGCACAATACATGCACTACAAACAGCACAGCTTTTATCAGAACACAAGTTTGTGTACTTTAATAGGCTGAATTTGGCGTTGAAAACTTCTGTAAGTGCAATTTTGTTTTTTATTTTATATCACATAAATCCTCTGACTACAAACAAGTAAAAACATAGTTATAATTTCTTTTACAGCCTTCTGTGACTAAACTGCACCCTTCCACTGCTGTAAAACCTGAAGTTTTAAGTATTATTGCGGATATACATACTGATAAGAAAAGGTTGGTATTTATTTTAATTAAATGAGGTTTCTATTACATGTGGCCCTTTTGTGGTGCTACCTATGTCTGTTGTTTAAAACAAGTTATATTGTGAGTTACATCAGTCAATCAACTCAAAATCAAATAGCTAAACTGATTGGGCTTGTTAATTTGGACTTAATACCTCAATAAGTAACAAACTTGCACACTAACTTGAGTAACCTCTCCATCTCCTAATAATTGAATCCTAAATTACCTCTACAAACTACTGTTTTACTTTCTTCTTGTGTCTTCTAGCCTTGGAAACTATGGAGAAATTATCATTAAAACACCAGATGAATATTGGATCACAGGAAAAACTTCTAATGACAGAGAATTTTATGTAATCATTCAAGAAAAAAGTGCCAATCTCAAAGAAATAGCAGGTATGTCCATATTCCAGTAGCCTTTTGTAAATTATACTGCTAGCTTTGAATGGTATATTGGTTTCAGTGAATTATTGCTGGATTATGCAGCTTGATTTACGATTTTGTACTTGATTTTATTTTCAGTAATTATGCCTTTACTATATTTGTTAAACAACATTAAGGCAATATCTTTTCCCAGATTGCATTGTTTAACTGTGTTATGTTTTTGTTCACAGATGAAGTAAGACGAATATGTGAAACCCAAATGAAAGGGATATTTTTTTATCCAATGTGAACATAATTATTGTATCAAATTCATTCATTATCTGGAATGTCTGGCAACAGCACAGCACATGAGTGTATAAAACAAATGAATTATTACAGTTATAAATTAAAATAGGAAAAATGTTATCATCATTATATCATTTATTACTGTATTGTTAAATAAAACAAATATTATATTATAACATGTCTATAATTATTTCGTAAATATTATTTATTTTACATTTAACACTGGGCAATGAATACTCATAATAACTTAACAGTAATTGAATGCTAATCAAGAGAAACTTTGTCTTCTTTTTTCCAAAACTTCTTATATACTCTAATAACAAGGTCTCTATTTTCATATGCCCATGCTAGAAGAACAAAAAGTAATGATATAGCTCCAATAGATATATGTAGAATTATAGAATCACGAGATATCTTATTTTCAGACAATTTACAAACACAGCCTGCTATGAATAAAGTCAACAAAAAAATTTTACCAACATAGAGACCTTCCAATGGCTTATAATCTGTACCTTTGTATTTGTTACTGATAAAATGAACACTATGAACTATCCTAGCAAACATATTAATACAATTTGATACAATAAAACCTACTGGTCCGAAGAGATAAGTTAAAACATATGACAATAAAAGAAAACTTATCGAAAATAGTACCATCAAATAATTATAACTGTTCAACTGTGTGCTTGTCATTGTAGCAAATGCATAACATTCAGTAACTCCGTTTACTGCTAGCAAAACTATAGCTAAACAATGGCTTCTGAGTAATTGCACTGGCAAGCCACTTGCAACAAATGACTCTCCTCCATACAACAAGAGTAGTGTTCTAGCATAACTTTGTCCAAATACTAAAACTATTAAACCAATAGAACTGACAGTTTTGCATACTTGTGACAATACTGTGCATGATTCTTGAATTTTGTTTTGGTCTTGCTTGTGAAGAGGCAGCTCTCTGCTCACCATTTGGGTGAAATAGAAGTAGCTGCTGTCTTCAATAGGTCTGAAAACAAACCTTGCTGCCAGGCTGCCCAAGTTGTTAACTACATCATAAGTGGCCTGCTCACTAAAGCTCATTACAGGACTTACTGACATCACATATTTCTCTCCCTCAGTTAACAGTTGTTTAACAACACCCTGCTTGGCAAAACTAAGTGTCAGTGTGCCTAATTTCTTACTAAACATTGCATTTACTGATCCACTGTACTTTGGTAAGAAGTCTAGTATTGATGTAAATTGAAAATCATCCATATTATCATACAGCCTGTGCAAAACTGCTTCAGGTACTAATTTGCTTTTTAAAGCTCCTTTTCCATATAGTGGTTTATTTTTGATGTACCAATAGAAGAATATGTAGTAACTGACTACTATAGCTCCAATGCTGCCTACTTGTGCCACAGAAAATGCAATGAGGGCAAGGGACCTGTCATATATAACAATTGATAAAAATAATAAGGTTCTTACAAAGATATGGAGAGTGTCAAGAGCAACTTTTAATTTAATGAAACAGAAAAGTTGTGCCACTAGGGCAACATTGGCAGAACACAACTCTAACACACATGACAAGGCCACACTCCAACAACCAAATGTGTATTGGAAGGCATGTTCTGGGTGGCCCAGTGGTAGCCAGTTCAGCCAAATATAAACAAATACAATTGACAGAAAACAACTTACAGGTACAGAAAGCCAAATTTGGTTGATTAGTTGCCTCCAACTAAACTCGTCTTTTTGTCCAAGGCATGCTCTATTGAATGGTTCCCGACTGAGAAATAGTATTGTACTCTCCAAGAGCAGTAGCCTTACATTCATAATACCAAGAACTTCATGTCCAACATTCCTAATGACCCATGCATTTATCACAAATGTTACACATCTAAATAAAATTTGAAATATTATATTAAATGATGCATTTTCAAGGCTACTCATTAACAAATTTCGTCCCATGTTGATTTATTTGTTGAGCTCAAACATTAATTGCATTTCCTTCACTTATGCTTGGCTGTATACTGCGCTTCACAACATATATCTTCTTGTTCGACAAACAAATCACGAACCATTGATCATCGTAAGTTATAGATATCTTCTTGAACTGCTCATTTGGTCCAAATGCTACTGGATCGACCCTAAAATAATTAAATTATTTCAGTAAGCAAAACGTAAACGCATGTAAATGGCCAGATGGTAACGCTGATTCATTACAGTTTAATCACACGTAAGTTTTTAAAATGGACTTACTTATTCGATAAGGAAATGAGATCAGTAATAATTGTAGCAACACGTTCGTCGTTTTCCAATTCACCGCCAGATTCAAGGACAGCCCCGTCCTCTGTTAAAACCAAGTAACCAATCTGATCAGGAATCTTTTCCATTATAACTGCAATATCAATTCAATTTTATAACGCAACAAAATATAACAAAAGATGACTTGAAAATGTTTTATTTCTCAATTTACCTCATACGTCTAGGTGACAGCCTGGTGCTTTGGCTGTCATTTGGTCTGTTTGGTCATTTAATTATTGACATATTTGACAATGACATTTTGTACAGAGTTGCTATTTTTGGCGGAGATAAAGCAAGACTGAGATTAAAAATACATATTGCTTAATTAAAAATAACAAACGTAAATGTATCGTATTTTACAAATAATTTTAAATAAAAAAAATAATATATATCAATCAATAATATTTACGTTTCTTTAAAAAACTAAATAATTCGATGCAGAATACGAATATGTTACATGAAAAAAATACTTTTATGAAAAGTCGTTCATTCATTTCGTTCATAGATTGTCTATTGAATGGAACTATTGATGTAAAAATGAATGATTATGAATTAGCCACGATTGGAAAGAGAAAATACCATAATTTTGTGTAACAAGCGATTTTATTCAAGTTTTGTGGTAAATTATATAAAATTATAGAATCGCAGTAATAACAGGCAAGTATACCAATTAATAAGGAAGCAGGTTAGTTATTGGATAATTAAATTACCATATTATTATAAAGATTTGTTACGTACATAAACATATGCGCTGCAAAATAATATTTGGAAGTATGAGTTCATTTCAATGTCTCGCAATTTGTAGGCCTGACTCCCGCGATAACAAAACATTGTTTTTATTTTTCGTATTGCAATGTTGATGTTTAACAGAAAACGAACCTCTTGGTTTTGTTGTTCAGCGACGATTAATCAATTTTGTGCGACAGACAGTTTAAGAAGGCTCTGTAGACACCTTGGGTCACAATGTTTTGTCACATCACACTAGAATTTCTGCAATGAAAATATTATTTCCGAGTATGGAGAAATAACCCCAATATATACATATTTAAATCTAATGTAACAAGGCAGCTAATGTCATGTTTTTGTGCAATCAATTTGGTACCACAATGAATAAAACAAAAAAGTATATTCATGCTTGACTATTGTTTGTCCTGATTGTATCCTGTTTGCATAGTCCATTCCAGAGAGAATTAGTGTTAATTGTGCCAATTTTTATCCAACAAGTTTAGCTTTGGAATATACAAAGTTATGAATCGACTTTTAGTAACATAAGAAACAAAAAATATTTTTTTCAAATCATAATTCATTCCAAGGTCAAACAATGACTAAAAATAACAAAAAGGAAATGATTATTATTTTGTAGCTGTATTAAAATCATTTTTTTTTCATTGAAACATAAACACAAGTAGCAATGAGTAATGTTATCGCTTTATCATCTTTATTACTTTACATAATACCTACATACTTATCTTTTCATATCTCTTAATAATGTAAAACATTAATATTATAATTAAAAAAGGAGGGCCACATTTTATCTGCCACTGGAATGCTGGAATGACTCTACAGCAGTAAATTTGAAATGGCAATTGCAATCTTATAAATTAATTTGCTGACCATTAAATACTAATTTAAAACACATCAAAATGTTGGCAATTTATAGAGGAGATGGTAGATCTGTTTAAAAGATATTTAAAAATTCCTCTCCAATTACCTGCAATAAAGTCAACAGTTAGCTGAGTCACAGCAGTTATCTATTATTATAAACTCAATAACTAAACTTTTATAAATACCTCATCCATTGTCACAGTATGGAGATAGAATACTGCATAGTTGTTCATTAATAATAATAATGGCACACACACCTTTGTAAAAATTGCTCTTAGTATACATTTCATAGTAAGTACTTACTGTTTGTCTTTGTTCCACAGGCAAAAATGTTAAGATTTCGTCCCAAATTAGGGAGTGAGCGCAACAGCGAATGGCGCTGTTGTTTCTGTCTACATGTGCGCACAGGTACCATTCTCTTGGGGACATGGCACCTCGTAAGTTATTTTTTTTATTACTTAATACCTAAATAAATTAGAAAACTATTTTATGTATATTGTAATTTGTCTTTTTTGTTATTCAGCAAAAGCTATTTGTTTATATTTTTTATGGCATTCAAATTCTGAACAAAGTTAAGAGTACTTACTTTATTATAGGTGTTTCAATCTTGAATGTATTTATTTATTTATATTTGGTATGTTCTGGTTGTCAGGAACATCACCTTATGTGGAAATGTGCCTGGCAATAAATGTAACTGTTTCAAAGCTGAAACTACGACATCTATATGTTGAGAATAAAGTGTTATTGCTAGGAGCTAAGATAAAATCCTGCAATAAAATAATTTGTTTGTAGATGCTGCACCTCATAGCGTTAGGATTCCTAGCGGCTATAGTGCGTGATCCCCGACTGCTTGACGAGTTGGAACGGGACTCTGCCCCTGTCCCTAACTGGAGCGATGTAGCGCGAGGCAATGAAGCTATCCCCACGCCTCTTTCTAATGTGGAGCCTCCACCAAGCTCGTTCCCGCAACATGTTGAATCGCCTAGAGATCACAGCCTCATATATCGTAAGTATTGAGTTTAAAACTAGCTTCCGCCGAATAGTCTTACAATTGCCTTATTATCAAAGTGACTTATGATTTTTTGGTTTTTTAAATCTTTGTGAAAATAACTATCAATGGTCAATTTATTATATATGTTGTCACTAACAATATAATATTAATCAATATTTTTTTTATACATATGTGACGACATTTTCCTTCAGGTTCAGAAAGAGGTCACAAAATGAATAAATTTATACTTAGTACCTACCTAACGGCTAAAAAAAGTAATTTGCAGTTCCGCAATAAGAAGGTCGTTTCCTATTTGAGTCCTCTTGTAAAAGTATTGATTTTGGCGTGTCTGCCAACGACTTTCTTTTATCGCTTACATTAGAACTTGTATGAGGATTTAATATTGTTTGAGGTGACATTTTATGTTTATGATCTCTCCGTGTATTGTATTAGGTAGCAGCTGTGACCTTGAAAGCGAATAATAATATGTAAATAACTGCCACCCTGCATATAACATACATGCATGGAACATAAATGATTCTTTAATAACAATTTATTATGATACAATGAATATGAACTATATAAGTATCTAAGATTGAGAAATAAGAACAGCAAACAACTTAACAATAAGGACATTTATTTATACTTATTAACTGTATTTAAAGTGTAAAAGTAAAACACGTGTCATTTGACCTACTGTTATAGAAATGTTATCAAATTGTTTATTCAAGTTAGCATTTTTTTATGATAAAACATTTAATTAAATATATGCTTCACTTATGTATAAGATTGCATCATGCGATCACTGCAAAAACCGCTTAATTATTCCCGAGTCGCCCAAGTATTATTAGGTTTTTTGGCTGGGCAACTAGCTGCCGCGCAACGGGTCGCGGGTTCGATTTCCGCACGGGTCTGGGTGTGATGTGTTTTTGAATTTGTATGTTTGTATTGGGAACGCACCCACGACACAGGTGAAAAGCCAAGTAAAGGGCACCGTTTAAAAAATAATGCCTATCCCGCCCCTGTATTCATTTATTTACTTATCACTATCGGGACATTTGAAAGAAATAATTTAAAATTTTATAACTTTGTGTGTGCTAGATGATGTGGATGTGGGTGCACTGGTTACAGTGTGTACCCTGGCCATCACATTCATGCTGATCTATGGAGCTGCGCTCGGCAAGCCCGCCCACCTTCTTCCTTTCTTCTGTCTTCAGATCTTCGACTTTGCTATTACTGTGTAAGTTGTTATACCACATTTACTTTAAGCTGAATTTATATATTATATGGTAATCACCAACCGCGCCATTTGCGATAAATATGCTTTACGGGCTGAAAAGATCCCTGGGTTAAAATAAACACGACAATAATGACTGCATAATGCATCCATATAACATGGGATCACTAACCCTTAATGGCGAATTGAGTTTTTACGCTATAGAACGTTTTACAGTATAGTGTAGTGTGCAGACGATAGGTCTGCTGAAAACAGATTATTCGCAATAACTTATAATCGACAGCAAGGCCTCTGATAAAATTAATGCATTGAATATACATTATGAGTCACAACCATAATTACTATGCCAATCATATTTTCCTTTATGATTTATATTCGTTTTGGAAATTAGTTATAATGCTCTAATGATAGCATGGTAACATGAAATCTGTAATCAAGTTTCGTCCAAACTGACATTTAATGCTTTTGATAGCACAGACTGTAAAGTATACTGATATATGTACATAGATAGTTGTGTACCTATGTATTTGGTACATTGGTTATAACTTGTTACACGTTGTTTAAAGTCCTAGAACCAAAACTATTTAATTAGAAATTATTATAATAAATTGTATATTATATTAATAGTTAGGAAAAAGACAAGCATTTTTGTTAGTGAATATAATGACATTACGGTATCATTTACATTGGATTAATAGCATTATATTGTTCACCCTCTAGCCTGACCGCTACGGGCTACCTGTGCTACTTGCGCTCCATCCACCGGCTGGTGGCGGAGACCCGGCGCGTGCCGTGGCGCGCTCAACTGCTTCAGTTACCTGCGCCCTGCCTCGCACTAGTTGTACTCTCTGCATTCCTAGTTGCCGTGCTGCTTAAGGTAATGTATACCATATTTTCTGATTTCCCTTTACCCATCTGTTGAAACTGCACTCTGTTCAAGAAGTTTTGTCAATTTTCGCCTTATCTTGTTTCACATAAACTTCAGACTCACTTTTTAAATATTACATCTTCAATGTTCCCACAGGGCTACTGTATCAGCGTAGTATGGCGCTGCTACAAGTACCTGACAATGCGCGCGCACGCACTGCAGACTCCATTCGTGATCTCGAGCGATGATGTAGTGAGCACGGGACAGATGGCCCCGTACGCGGCCGCGCCCGTGCCCGACTACTCCAGCCTGCTGCCTGACTACGAGGAGGCGGTCAAGCAGACCCCGCCCCCCTCCTACCGCGCCGCCACGCTCATGGCCGCCGCTGACCCCTCGCTTACAACCGTTGTAAGTATCTACTGATTTATGTCAAATCATACTTTAGTGCTCTATTCCTTGAAGGATGACTAAGTTAATGACAAAAACAGCTGAAAAATGTATTTTCCAGCTGTTTTGGACAGTGAAATTCTTTCCATTCATAAACTTTGCTCGACTTCTAAATGGAAACCGAAACCTTGTTCAAAACAGACAATTACTTTGATGTCAATCTTGTCACATATCGAATGCAACAGACATAACATTTAATATAATATTTATAAACTAACTTAATTTGTACTTATGGTAACATTTTCCTGTCTACTCAGCAGGAGAGGGCACAGAATGAGCAAGCGGTGCCGCAGCCAACAAACACCATGGTGGTACTGCCACAGAACGGCACGCAAGCCCGCGTCTGAATCTCATCTCAATATCTGACAGCACCGAGGATTTACACATTTAAGGGCTACTTTATAACGTCATAAACTTGTTCTTAATGCTACTGGTATAAATACTATGTTAACAAAATATTTCCCAATACAAGTTGGATCATTTTGAAAGATGGTGTCAACCTTATACTAGTAAAAATATTCCGATTGTATATTATAGACATAGTAGTTATTTGGTGCTGTACAGTAGCGCTCCAAAATCTTGCAACTGCACGATTATCATTGAAATTCCTGCACAGTAAGTACAATCATCTAAAGATCTATTGATGTTTACAAGTGAAGCCCTTGTAATTGTTATTATTAATTGGTTACAATCCTCGTTGCTTTCGTAAAAAATAAAACTTAAAGTTATTTTTTAAAGTCTTTGTCTTTCACTTTCATCTAGTTGTATATTTATTTTTAGACAAGTCACTGAGATCTTTTTCGTATTATTTATTTTTATTTTGTAATATTAATACTGTTGTAATTCTTGTGCTTTTGACTCTTTGGAATAGGGCAACAAATAAAATATCTTGTTTTGTCATACCAGGAGTATTGTGCCATTGCGTTGATTGTAATAAATTTTATTTTTGTACTTCATGGAATCATTAGGATTATATTCCTTCCGGATCATTGGATACACCATTAAAAGTACACAGAGGCACCCGGCAAGGTATCTCGTTTGCGTTAGATTTTCTGTACTTAGTTTAATTTACTGTTGAATATATTTTATGATAATTTTGTTACTAAAAAAAATGTTTTCACCAGTATTTTGTTTAAATATATACAAATATAAATTTATATATACATACATTCCTGAATTTTGTATTGTCAAACTTTAGAGTGGCGTCAATTTGTGACATTACGCCGTCCATTATTATTTGACTGGTAGTGGCCTCGTATCCTGACTTGAAGTAGTGTGCATCAGGTTAGATGTTGTATTGAACTGTAGTGAACCACTCGATGTAATGTCACAGCAGTCAATAAAATTAAACTCATTTGTATTTATGTAGGTAGAAAAATTAAATCAGTTCTCTATACATACATACATATTAAAGTATTATTGACGTTATAACTTTGATGACAAGAGTTTAGACTGTTATGATCAGAGCTATTCTAAAATAATGATGTGACAAAATCTGTTTAATATGACTTGAGAAATTGATACATACATTTCATGGTGTATGACTACGGTTTATAGTAATCCGAGCTTGCAGTAGCCTTCCTCGTGAGATCTATATTAACTTAAAAATATTATACGAAAGTACACTCATATGTAATAGTTATTCACGTTTGTTTCTCCGACACTGACGCGGATTTATTTGTGCTACCGTGGAACTTAGGCATGCATGCCACTCATTGGTGCCTTATCATATCGCTAACGATTGTTTGTAGTTCACAATCTTGTAGAACATCATTCTAAATATAGGTACTTACTATGTAATTATGTGACTGTAGTACCTACTTAGATAGTGTGTGTAGACATTTGCTGTTCTCAACGCTTTACGTGGTAATTTGGTAAGACACCGTAAGTAGTTTCGTATTGGCCTAATACTTGGAAATGCGTCATTCTTCACTTCTACTACGCTTCTATGTGTGTACCTAATTATAATGATAGGCCTCGCCCAATCATAATAGTGATAACTAATAACGTTAAAAGCCAAATCTCGTTAATGTTCGATGTTCAGATTCGTGTCATTTCCAATGTAATGTGTATTAGTGGTTAGTGGAAATTGGGCGGACGTTTATGTATCTCGTTGATCGAAATTATTTGCTCAGTTTTAACAACTAACACTATCTTATGTTGTTTATGAAATTATTCGTTGTTTCGTCTATTTTAGTACCTACATTGTAAATGCACTAATGATAAATTGACGTGTATAACTAATTACTTATTAAATTATACTTAATGTAAAATATTCTTGAAATAAATCATAAATAAAACGAAAGTTTCAATTGTTTGATTTAATGTCAGTGCCATAACATCATTATTATTCCCTGAAGCAGGAGCAATAACACTCATTATTATGATTTCGACCACTGATTTGAAGAATGAAGTAAACCTACAAACGCACAGAGAAAGCGACTTTGTTTTATACTATGTAGTGATTTCTGAAACTACCCACATTATATCCTGAAAATGTTATAATATACATAGATAGATTAAATTAAAGCGAAGAAACATTTATATTTTTCCCCAAATGAAGCCAATAAGCCGGTCGTTAGAACTAGATTCCTTGTACATAGTCACAAAGGTCACTTAAGAAGCTGACACCTATAAGAAAATATAAACTGAACCGAAAGGGTCACAAAAATGTTTCCCTAATTGATGTCCTTTCATGTAGCTAGGACTGCCCAATCTTAAACAATAAAGTAAGTTACGTAACAACAGCTCAGAGCAGGCATAGTACCTTAAACTTCTTCGGCAGCTTTAAAGGTCATATTTAGGGACAAACATGATTTACAAACAAAGGGCTGCATCTGCGCGCGCAGCTCAGCGACGCGCCATACGACACGGCAGGTTCAGTGATAGAGAGGGTCGCGCTCGGACGACGCCAGCCGTCGGGACGCGCGCCGTCGCCTGCATTCTCTATTTATATCGACGGTCCCCCGCCTCACTTCGCGCCTGCGCAAAACACATCTGAAAACGACGAAAGTGAAAATTGCACATCATGATCGGTGCACCGCACCGCTAATACAGGACTATTGCAGCAAACACACTGCTAATCAGCGAGTTGAGAGCACGGAGCGAGCCGGCGTGCAGTGCGCCACGAGGATGGCCGTTAGGCGCACGGCCACAAACCTCATCAGCACTGCGGCACTTCTGCGTCACATATCAGCTGTTTCGCCGGCGAGGGGCTCGCATTTGTGACGTTTCTGGTGTGTCGCGTGCCGCAGGCCGCCGCCGGCACGATGGCGTCCACCATGCAGCTAGAGTTCACGCAGGCGATGACCGACTTTAAAACGATGTTCCCAGATATGGATGACGATGTTATTGAAGCCGTACTACGCGCTAACCAAGGCGCTGTGGATGCGACTATTGACCAGCTTCTAGCTATGAGTACGGATAACCAAAATGAACGTTTGCGTCTTGAAATGGAACGAGTAGAAAGCAGCACGCCGTCACGTCGCAAAGATCGTCGCTCGGGCTCCAGACCCACAGACAATGGTGATGATAACGATACAACAGCCCTCGTGTAAGTAATAAACTATTATTGGGTACTTTTTACATACTTATTTAAACATTTTTCAAGAAAAAACTAACAGCGTCCCTATGTATACTACAATAGCTCTCGCTGTAGCTGAAATACAAACAAACCGCGTCAGTGGTTTAGGTTATTGTGTGTCGGTCAAAACCATTACGTCTTCCGTCGCGTCGTATTGTCATCTACACTGGTTGGTCAATTGGCAATTGAGGCAACAGGTTAGCATGACTAGCAGAAATATTGTAGCATCGAGTTCACAGAATAAACGGATAAATTTTCTTTTTAAACTTCAAAACTAAAAATCTAAATAGCTTCCGTGTGACCGTGAAAATGAAAGTTGTTAATATAAAGTAAATAAGTGTTGGTACCTGATTCCCTGATAATAATAAATAGTCCAAATTAGGTATAACCATACCTAAGTATTATAAACAAATTGACGGAAGCTGACGGAAGACAATATTTTCCTACTATTATAAGTATTTCATAATAATGTCACACTGCTCCAATTTCATAACTTTTTATCTTCTAATTTAACTATATACCTACTTACCACTACCTACTACTTAAGTGTGGGAGAGCCATGCTTCGGCACGAATGGGTCGACTCGACCGGAGTGATACCACGGCCTCACAGAAAACCGGCGTGAAATAACCACTGCGTTGTGATTCGCCGTGTGAGTGAGGTTACCGGAGGCCCCATCCTTCCCCTTCCCCAATCCCTCTTCAATCCCTAAATCTCCAAATCCCTAATCCCTAAAAGGTCGGCAACGCACTCGTAACTCCTCCGTTGCGAGTGTCCATAGGCGGCGCTGATTGCTTACCATCAGGTAATCCGTCTGCCCGTTTGCCGACTTAAGTATTACATAAAAAAAAATACCTAAGTGCAATTCAAAACTTAGGTCCGTAAGTTGAAGCGTTTTCCTCGATTAAGTCTTATTTTAGCCAATGGGCTGTTTTCTTGATAACCTGATTGTAAAACATCGTACCTAATTATTATAATTTTAATTACAGGGACGAAGAAGATGATTCCATTCCTTTAGCTATAAGAAGGAAATGGGTGCCTAGAATGCTAGGCCCGCTACCTCCGATGTTTCTACGAATACCACCTGGCACAGACGCTAGAATAGACCTGAGTTTAGAGATGGATGATGACAAAATCGCCACCTTCCTGCAGAATGAGGAGTTCATGGCGGAATTGCGATGGAACCAAGAGTTCATGGCAGCATTAGACAGTGAACAAGGACAGAAAACGAAGTGTCATGACGATGAGGCTGCTTTTAAGGAGAGGCTAAAAAACATGGGCAAATGTGAGTAGAAGAAAATGGTACCTATACTAAGTAGATATTCCTTTTTTTAATGTTTACCTATTTACACAAATCTGTGTGCCTTCACGGAGAAGTGGTTGCTTTAACCACAGTTGATTATATAGATACAATAGTATTCATCCCCAAAAGACCGGCAAATTGCGGGCGTCCATGTGCGATACCAAGTACTTGACATCAACTCATGCTCCGCCCTAAAGCCCTAAGCTAGGTATTATAACAAATCTACGTCCAATCACTGTAACTTTTCACACACCCCGCATTTTTCCGCAGCATCCCGTAAGAAGTTCGCCCAGCTGTCGAGGATGTTCTGTCGAGGCGGGTCGCGGCGGTCGGGCAGCGCTCGGGCGCCACCTCGCGGCCCGCCCGACAGTCTGCTGCTTCAAGAGGAACATAGTGACGATGACGATCGCCCACAGCACCACGTCAAAATATAATGGTATACTCTGAAAGTACAGGTTAAAACGAAGAGAGAGCCTTATAGGAAGTTACAAGGTTACGGATAAGACTGGGTCTGTTTTGTGTAGTACTTATAATAGTTTATGTATAAGAGCCAAATGCCGGCACTTGTTAAAGGTCCTTAGGCAAACCAATGGTATCCTTATTATTTGTAAGCAAAGACTTAAATTTATGAATGACAGAAACAATGACGCTTTTTGAAGAGTCCGGCCTGTACCTATATGTTGTAAACTTATGGCAAATATCGTGTAAAGTGTTGTTAAATTGCAATAACTATGTAAAATTGTTTAAATAAGTAGTTCAAGGCTTGACTGCATCCGTCATAACTGTAAATAAGTACCTAGGCAAGTGGGGTCCGCTTGGGAAAAAGGGCCGTCTCACTATCGTATGCTAAGTATGTGGTTGGGGACTTTAGATTCCTCAAATGTAGCTTTTGTTAGATAAATAATATAAAGTAAGTAGGTATCCTATAGCAGAATGCACGGAGAGCGCCTGTATGGGCATGAGACACGAAGTTCCGTACCTGGCTATAGGTTAAAGACGGCCCTGGCCTTTGTCTGACAGGTTTATAGAAATTGTATTCTGGCATTTCTCCTATTCTAAGAACTAAAATATTTACACATGCATCTTCCATGGTATCATAAAAGTAATATATGAATAGTATGAATAACGATATACACATGGCCTTCATATATAGATACACGTAGTCACATCTAGAAAACTACAGAGAGTCAATTTACATAGAAATGGTAATCGAGTGGTCGACTCTTCGATAACTTAATTATGCACAAACTGTCACACCACTGCGTGTGCGGAAGGACTTGATGTTTTATACTGGACATGGATACGTTTGCAAAGAAAGGCTGATAAAAGAAACAAATGTTAAGTAAATATAAAGTAACCACTTCATAGCTAGGTACCTAATGTAAATAACTGTTCTAATAGATAAATAGTTTGCTTCGTTCGATACGAATTTTAGTGCCGTTAGAGTTAGATACTAATTTTGTTAAGGTCATCTTGTTGATCGAAATCTATGAGATGATGGGTAGTTAGATAATGCACTCGCTGTTCTTTTGTCTGCACGATTGACCACGACAATGGGGCTTTACTGAGGCCACAAATGTAATAAATATCTACCGCCATTCATTCCGTCGAAGCGAGCTTTGCATTACTCGCGTTCACCGTAACATGTGGGATATAAAATCGAATCGAATAAAGCAATATTAGGTAAATTAGGCATGTTCGTGGGCATTTGTCGTCGTGCTGTGCTGAGTCAATGTAGCATGATTACTTATATTCATCAAAGCTATCTTCACAAACTAAATTAATTCAGTCTAATATTTTTAGGGAAAAATTGTTGTTACGTGAGTATACCTACTGTTGAAATATTCTGTTTGTAATTAACATACTATGAAGATACGAACCTCGTTATAAATTTCATGCATTTGCTACAGCCGCTACAGGCTACAGTAGTCTTGAACAAAAAACCCAGCATTTAAAATAATTACGTGCTTAACTGAAAAATATTCTGAAAAGAATTTTTATTTTCGTTTGATGCAGATTTTTATGTTAATTTGGCTTTATAAACAGCTAGTTAAATGTTTTCTGAACCTACTTTTAGTATGTATGAATTATCTGAATACCGGCTCTAAACGTTCGGAGAAATTGCGACGGCCATCGTAATAAATACAAACTACAAAATGCACTTTGGATAGAGTACTAAATAACTCTACATTACCTGTGTTAAAGCTTTAGTTTGTTGTACTAACAGGAGCGAAGAAAGTGTTGCCCGTTTATACACTGCTTTATAAGTACTACCTTAATTCTCTTCGTCGCCCTTTTTGTAAATTTATTTCTTATGGTACTGAAATAAAAGATATTATTTATAAAACTATTTTCTATTATTATTTTCAACGATAACGAAGCAATAACCCTTTGTCCATCGGACATAAGAAGTAGGTAATGTTATCAGTCCAATAATGCGGTGCGGACATCCTCTAAATCCTAATAGTTTGCAGACTTCCAAATAAGTAAGTAGATATTCTATGATCAGATGGGCTAATAGGGCCAATATTCAGCCGGGGTTGCCCAGGGCAGGAGAAGGAACGGGGTGAAGTTAAATCAAAAAGAGTCACGCTTCGTCTCCCACGCAGGGCGGGAGAAATCATTTAATATTTTTTAATCCCGGCCTGGAGCAGGTGAAGAGCAAGGTTGTTTTTATTGAATTAGAGACTGGTACACCTCGCTTCAGCTAAGGCGAAAACATGGGATTATTTTTCATTCCACTAAAACTCCATGATAGAAACTTTAAATAGTACCTAACGCCACACTCGCACATCGGTGATCGGTGATGCTAAATTTGTTCCATACTTTAGTACCAGCTGACTGCTGGATTCATTTAACTTACTACGTAACTCCAATATACTACCAATGTAAGTCCATCCATATCAACTAATACTTAATTACCTTTATTATCGGCAACATGATACAAATAATTAACTCATTCCACCATTCCTTTCATTGGAAATCAGGTTAGTGTTGAATGTATGCAAACTAAGCACATTATTAGCTCACAATTTCCATGCGACCATGGTATTAGAGCGATGGAGGCATAGCCAAGTTTACACACGATTGATCTACGCATATCAAAAGACATATCATCATATAGTTCGACGAAGCGGAACGGGAAAGTCGTAGGCATTGAGACGATTGAACGATGCGCATGCGACGCCGGACAGAGACGTCCAACATAACTACTAATAACTACTTAATGTTAAATTTCACTCAAACACTTTATTGAGTTATTTAAAGATAAATTATTGCTTCCGTCGTTGATATCCATCCGTTACTTTCCTACCTAATATAACATTATCTACACTATTATCTATCATGATTCGCCCACAAAAATAGCAGTGGGTATTAATTCCTTCCGTAGATGAGACCCCATCAACTTCAGTTTTAAGCCAATTCCTGGAACCTTTTTGAACATATCTATGGGAATGCTTCATAAATAGCGCGGAAGCGCACCAAACAAAAATTTTCACTTTTATTAGTTTCCGAATAAGTACCAACACATTTCTTCACAAGGTGCCCAGCTAAGTAAATTACCACATAGTCACAAAGAAAAATGAGCAGTGAGCACAGGTTATTAGCCATTAACGTAACATTATTGTATTCATGAGTCTTATTAACTTAACAAATGAATGCCCGAGCTCATCAAAATATTTTAGGCATTCGAGGAGTTGTTGTTGAATGAGTTCAACTTCCTTTAAGATTTAAAGCGCTTTGTCAAGAGAGCAGCTGACCATGACTTAGTTTTTATACCTAAATAAATATTAATTGTTATTAAAATTACTTTTAAATTATCTTTTAACGCCTTAAAGAAAGTCACATCATAATCGGAACATGTAAGTAGATGTCAAAGTTATTGCTTTGTGCTACGCTACTGTTGTGACACACATACATATTCATTCTAATGGCCGGTCCAAGTGAATGAATCTCTAATTCTCTAAGTACCTACTTACTTTGTTAAATCATTCTCATACATACACAGCGTATAATTAAAAATTATTACAAGAGTTTCTCATCCGGAAAATACTGAGCGAAACTCGGAATATTTAAAGACTTTCATGAAATAATACAGTTGCCATGAATAAAACATAGCCGGCTGTTGGTTGGTGCTATGGTGCAGTCAGGTATGTTCTACGTCTGTTAATGCCCATCCTGCTGGTAGAAGTCACAATAATCATCCATTTATACACATCTCATGACGCAACTTAAAAGCTTGTCATCAAAATAAGCGTCAAAGCAGCGAAACGTCTAATGATGAAGACACGCGCTACCCGTCCGACCACTTGATTAGGGAACCTACACAACCCGCATGTAGCGGGAAACGCACGCACGACCAACTCTTGCGCATGCTTATGAAACTATGTAAAATAAAATATCTTTCAAAACAAATCATGTCCTGCATTTACAAAAGGAGGCAAAGGCAAAAACAATATTAAGTATAATATCTAATTCAGTATTTTGTTTTATAGGTACGCAGTAAATTACGTATTTTGTATGCAACCAATACTGTGCGATACAATCCGTCCGTTACTCCGCGCGCATTCGGTTGAAAGACAGTGTATAGCCTCCAGTAAAGATGCGTCTGCGCATCGAGCACGTGCACCCGTCACGCATCACGGACACCCAGAAATTCGCTTAGTTTGTCCTGAGACTCCATGCCACTCGCACGCATGGAGGTCCGATGCTTTTCCCGCGCAAGTGACTATGAAAAAGCAACCTGATATTTATGACGTGGGCCTGGCCGTTGTGTTCTCGGTAGCAGATCGACTAAGAAATAGCAACACTGAAGAAATATTTTCGTGAGTATCTTTGAGTGCCGGCTAGGGCTTTGACCGTGTCGCCGGCGTATCGGCTGCTCGTCCAGGCTAAAAGAGTTCAGTCGATCTATACTGAACCTGTTGTTCACCTTGTTAAGGATCGACGAACTTCTTTTGCTGGCATGATGTGCACTTTAAATTTTTGTCCGTTAGCAGTGCTTACTTTTAATTTTATATATTTTTGTCGTGCTTATTTACAATTTTTAAAGGAGACGGATGAGTAGATAGCCTTTTTATTTATTCTCAGTAACGACCTGTTCATCATACACCGAAAACTTATTAGCTACATAGGAATAGGTATCTACTATTTGATATCGAACTAAGATATTGATAAATTAACATTTAAAATTCACTCATTTAGGTATGCTTTTTGGCAATAGAAAATGAAGTTAACGAATATTAGCATGAAATGCAGGAACATTTTTTTAAATTACCAGTGTTTTACTGTAAAATACCGACTTGTCGCACGACGACAACATAATAATAAACAAACAGTGAATTAAATAAGTATCCAGACTGTCCATAAAATGGTTAATACTGATCAAAACGAGTTCTACTGGATGTAATTTATCGTTAACATGCAAGAGACTATTTTCGTTTCGTACTTTACTATTTTGATAGACAATTACGTGAATGCTTTCGTCTGAACGAGCTCATCATTATACTTTATAGCCACAATTACGGCCTGAATTAAACGTCGCCAATTGATTCAAAGTAAAACTTGAATAAAAACTCAGCGAGGTAAGAAGGATCGTTATATACTTTTACATTATGTATGCAATCGACAGTATCCCGGCTCGGCCGGTGGAGCATCCGTTGTCCATAAACGCATCATGCTAGCTGAACAACTTTACTTTCATTTACATAATACGAAAGATTATATTATGTTATCTGGCTGAGAGCTGTCTTTTATGGCGCGTGCAAAAATTGCCAATGAACTTGTTCCTACACGGCAATTCTGAGTCGATAGGATATTTTCTACATTTTCAATCAAAGAGTATAGACTATAATCTAACAATTGCCATCTTATGGACAGATAATGAGTATCAAAATAAATCCAGAAGCTCTCTTACTAAGTTATTCTAAAATCGGAATTAAGAAAGAGAAGAGTTGCTAATATACAGGTCCTAGATTAGGTCTACATTGATACTCTAAATAAACTTAAAAAACTTGATGTAGGAAAACTATAATAAGATAATTAAAGTATTTGTTAATTTCATGATGTAACTTGAATAACTGGATCATACACAAATTGCAAAAGATTTTATCTGCTTGCTGCAATCTCTTTAAACTAAGATAATTAGGTAATTATGTTTCGTTTCCTTTTTAGTACTTAATACAACTAGGTAAAGTAAGGTAAGTACACCCATTTTGCCCACCAATAATCTTATGTCATATCTGTAAGATATTTCATTTCATGTTTTACACATTATCTAGAACTTCTTCTAAGATCTTGTTAAAAAATCCAACTCCATCTTAGAACTTCCCAATCGGTTGCATGCTTTTCATTAGAGATTCATTATTATTTCGTTATCTCGGGGGAATCTCTTGAGTGGCGATGCCGACGTCACGTTTACATACGATACCTACCATCCATGACACTGCTTTACGTCCATGTACCTAGCTAATTATTCCTCGTCACGCTCTTTTCATTTACGTGCCCACACAGAGGAAATCAAAACGATATAAAAAAACTCGATACTTACATCTACTAGTCATTCGAACGCAGGACATTAATCTCGATGGTTGTTAAACCCATCGCAGCGAAGTGACTTAAAGTGCTCATTAATTCTTATTCGCAACTCAATAGTAAGGCCCTACGACAGCATGGAAATTATCTTCATGAGGTAGTTACATAAATTACGTAAGAAATTATATATTGCAGGGTCATAACCTCAGAGCTACAAAAGCATATCTTCCGAGACTTCCTTGTCCGCAAAACGATCTCGTAATAGCCCTTGCAAAGGCTCTGGGCAATGAAAATCAAAATAAATGTCCGGCCACAAAACAGCTCGGCGACCATAAATCAAAGTGTTTACGACGACGCGACACCTAGCCTTATAATCCTGCGGGATGGCCGATGGGCCTTGCACGGCTTACACCGAGACACGCAAAATATGCTCTCTGCATAATAGGAAAAATAATGCCTTCATGCAGCAATAACTCATTGTAATTTAGAGCATACTTATATTACCCATAACTCAACCGAAAGACAGACAGCGCAAATATTCATTGCTATTGAACTGGTCATTATGCAGTCCATATGGTCATTATTCAGACATGATGCCTGTTTCGGATCATGGGAAATCCAGAAATTACTAAGCGCCAAAGTTCCTACCTATTATTAAGGCAGTTATCTTTTTTTTTTATTCAGCATATAAACATATAAATTACATTTTTAAATATTTCTTAAAAATAAATAATAAAAAACATTTAAAAATATAAAAAATAGTGTCCCACCGGTATCGGGAACTGGGTCCAAGCTACCGGCGGTCAGGGCTCCAGAGAAAGGAACCTCCTGACAATACGAGCCGTGTCCAGGAGTACCACTTTCTGAATCAAGCCCTTGATCCAGCCACCTAACGAGAGCCTCCTAAGATGTTGGTCGAGGCTCTTGGCTATTAAGCCATTGGCTGACACGACTATCGGTACAATGATAGCTGAATCCACTTCCCACATGTCGACAACCTCGCGAGCCAAGTCGATATACTTGATCAGTTTATCTTTCTCGGCTTTCACAAGGTTCTCGTCATGTGGGACGGCTATGTCAACAATCATTGCACGCCTCTCCTTCCGGTCCACCACCACAATATCAGGCTTATTGGCCACAATAGTCCTGTCAGTGATGATAGACCGGTCCCAGTACAAGGTGATATGACCATTATCAAGGACTGAGTCGGGCTCATACCTGTAGTACGGCACTTCCGATTCCACAAGAGAGTATTTCAGAGCAAGCTGCTGATGTATTATCCTGGCTACAAGGTTGTGCCTATGCAAGTACTCGCCGTTAGCTAGACGAGAACAACCAGAGATTATGTGACGAATTGATTCTCCCGGACGGTGACATGCCCGACAGATGTCAACCGTGCCGTCCTTCACAATAAATCTCCGGTAGTTATTCGTCATGATAACTTCGTCCATAATTGCACAGACAAACCCTTCGGTTTCCCCAAAGAGGTCACCAAAACGCAGCCAGGCTACGGACGCCACCTGGTCCACATCCGGTCCATGTAGGGCTCGGAAAAAGCGTCCGTGAAGCTCCTTGCTCTGCCATACTTCCCTGCGAGCGTTAGTGTCAAGTACGACGGGTTTGCGCCAGTTCTCGATAGCCAGGGAGAGCGGGGTGAGACCTTTGTCCACTGCCACTACATCTCGATGCATATTCACGTCGGCAGCTAGGAAATATTCCCTGAGACTACATACCTCGCGGTTGTGTAGGGTCTTGGCATTTAAGAAGCCTCGACCCCCACACTTCCGCGGGATATACAGTCTCAGCAGTTATCTTATTATTATTTTAAGATTTATTGCTTTTCTAATTTGGATTTGATATTTAAATTTTAAAAGACTTTTACACCACGGACACCATCGCAGTAAGGAACCCTGAACAATGCACATAGAATCCAGAGAAAAGGTTCTAAAGTTGCACTTTCATTTATTTTTTTATTGCCGTAGCAGACATTAAATTGATAGATTGTGTGAGCTTCACTCAGTCTGAACAAGCTCTGAGCCAAACGCGTACGTATTGTGGAGTTTTAAATCTATGGTGTCAGTATGTGCATGCACTGTTTTAGGTAATAGCTATGTGTCACGATATTTTATAAAGTGAAAACTAAGTTTACTAGTGTGTGTAAATCAGTGACGTACAAGAAATGATTTTGATGTTACATGAATGAAAATACTTGTGATAGGTTTATACTGAATTGTGGCTTAGTAGGTACCCGCAGTGTAGCCTAGCGTTTGAATGGAAATCGAAGCATGTTTTATGTGCAAACACTGCCTTAGTTTTAGAATTCTGTCTACCAACATTATGAAATGCTAATAATTACCTAAAGAATTTGAGATTTAGAGACCATTAAGAATTAATTTTACAGAGTAGTTTTATTCAAACATAAAAATACTGCAGGTTACCTATGTAGGGTTTACCAACGCATTATAAGTACAATCGCCCATTAGTCAGTCCTTTAATGAAGGTAGTTGCTAGATCCAGAACATAAATTCTTATGGGGTAAAACGAGTTTCAAGTATCAAGTTAATTTTTCTCAACCTTCTTAATAAATAATTACTAAAATACAAAAACGTGATGCCCTAGCTCACCTTGATCGTCAGCCCCCAGACAGGTAATGTCGAACAAGGTTATTTATGCTAAACGTCGTTTCAGATTGACCAATTAAACGTAGCAAACAATTTTGGACCCAAAAACAATTTACACAAGAGATAAATCTAATAGCGTTTCAAGAACACGATTTGAAATCTACAGGGTCAATGCCAGATATTAAAATATTAAACAGCGTGTTTAAAAGGTTAATAACGCCCTTCTGTAGACTGTATTAAACTTTTCTACTCAGGTTTTATTTTCATATTAATTTCTGTGTTAATTGAGGCAGTCACTATAGTTCAGAAAGTCATTAAAACCATTGTTTTAAAACCGACGGTTTGTTATCCCCTAGCGGACACCGGTGTCCTTCCAAACGTCAACGCCTTTTCGAGTTCCCATCGGTCGTAACCTTGAGACCGGACATGTGGATGTCCTTTCTCCCTAAACGCACCTAGCTTCACTGACTACAGACTGACAGACTATCTATTCAATGATGTTTCAAAAGTACCTCATCCTTATTTGGATTAAATCATTTTGACTTAGACTTTGAATGCACTACAAAAATTCACCAGTCACGATAAAATTTTCGATTAAAGTCTGTAGATAGGTGTAGAAGTATCTAATTATGAAATAATAAACAAGTAGAGTACATTTTGTCACAACCCTTAGTCTATTCGCGACTGTTGGTTTAATATAGGAACGCGGCATCAATACTTTGATAAATTTGAACCTAAAAAATCTTCAAATTGTGAGCTGTAAGTTCAATCCGCCTGAAGCGTGGAGTGAGATTGAGGTACTTAGCCAAAATCATTTATTTCAATTAGATCCTTACAGGCGCTTTTGAACGGTAAACCTTCTTATACAGACGTGACCTACAGCCGGGGTTGCAGGTACAAGTGCAGTAATGTTTCAGGACTCCAAGCCCGTAGCAGGCGAAGGAACGGAGTGGCCTTTAGTCAGTAAGAGTTTGACACTGTCGTCCCACCCATAGTCCCCCAGTCCAGCCCAGGTGTTGAACCCAACAACAACAACAACATTAACCGACCGTTTCACTGGCCCTCGGTTGGTTATGATAGGATATGAGACTGCTAGTTACAATGTCATAAGTAAGTAAGTATATTCATACAGAAGGGTAGACAAAATTCACTATTAACAAAGCGGTAATTAAAAATCAAAGACCCAGCGTCGGCAGTCGTTGTAGCGAACTCATATCTACTTAACTAACAAAATTTTGAATAGAAATCGAGGACCTATGTAGGGCTTTTATCTCATGCCAAATAGATGTTGTACTTATATTGGTTAAATTTTTGGAGTCAACCCTGTATTACAGCCTAGAGCAGGAGAAAGAAAGGAAGGGGGTATTTTAGTCAGTAAGAGTGACACTCCCTCCCGCCACTCTAATCACATATCTACCCGCTTACTTGAGTACTATATGCTTATGTATATACTGCACTAAGTAAGTACATACTTATTTAATAATCGTACGCACGCACTGCAACTGCAACGGTTTCTTAACTTCAATTTCACCCATAACTGAGGCCTGCACAGTGCACAATACAACGCACCCACATCTGTTGCACACAGCTCATAAATGATGCTAAACTCTTATCATACTATTCCTATTCTGTAATTAAAAAACAACGGCAAATGAAATTACGAAGTACAATTCGAATGTAATTGAGGGATTATGGATAATGGCAGACTGAAAGTGGATCGGCACGAGAAGGTACAACGCGAAAAAAATGAGATAATTGTTATACGTGGCTTAGGATTCATAAAAACTACAATAAAGTGTACTCAGTCAATTAGATAGAAATACGTCGTATGTGTGCAGAAATGTGTTTTTTTAATTGCACAAAGTGCTTTAATCACGCTTGTAATTTCGTATCGGTTTCTTGTAATTTACGAACATAATAAGTTTCAATGACTTATCGAATGATCGCGATGTTCGTGTATTAAATTAGCGTCATTTTAAAATTGTTAGGTAGACACGTTTTGTGATTAAGTATTTGCCTATTCGTGTTAAAGCTCCATTTGTTGTCATAACTGCCTTAAGAGGCCTTTTTATTTCAATGTGCATATGAGAGAGGAATAGCATAGCAATATTTAATAAGCCAATTTAAGTCAAGATAAATATAATAGGTATTATTATTTTTATTTATCGTCGTGGAGTTAAGATTTCTAAGTATATCTTTGTCATATTATTTATAATTCTTTTAAAATAAAGCTCAAGGCGTCGCGGCGGGCACCGCCCTAACCTACTTACTTTAACAAAGTGCGCCTCAAATACTTATTCATATTACTTCGTTAAAAAACGCTTATGCGTTATAATAAAAACAGACTCACTGGGTGTTCCGTAAGTAATTCGGTACGAAAAAATAATAATGCCTAATTACTAATTACCTCTTTCAACAAGTTAACATCTCAAGTAGGCGTTAAGTTAATAGGTATGCGTTGTATCATCGCAATGAATGAGCGATGCAAGTGAAATATCAGTTAAATAATTGTCTGTAACGGAGGAATGTGACGTGGAGGTAGCACCGCACGCTCAGCAGAGTTGGACGTGTTGGTGTCTCCACACAATCAGTTCAGCCGAGTTTCACTCCGAGTATTCGTGCTGTTACTTTTACAACGCGCTGCCGCACACGAACAACGCTCTGTTTCCCTAAGTCTCATTGTTTCTACTATGCTCAGTCGCACTGTCAGAGGAAAACTTTGACTTTCCACTGTGTCACCGTCGACGCTAGTGATATATTTGAGATAATTTATGCTTCGCTACAAGTGAATGTAAATTGTTAAGGTAGCAAAACGGTACGGCTTTTAGTGTAAAGTTGTAAATGAAATTAATAAGCTAATCTTTATTATTAAGTTGGAAAGAAGAGCTTATCAAACAACTTCATCGTTAGGCACCTCGAGCCTCGAACCTCATTTTTAAACAATGCAGCAAGTATTCGTTGCATTTATTATTTAGTTTAATGCGGTAATACCCGCCCATTAAGATGACTATCTATGTTTATAGAGGAGGTAGATCGATTACGAAAGCGCTCGCGGCTCGTTCACACTGGTTGAATAAAACAAAGTATGAAGCAATCATTGGATACGGTTTGCGCGGAGATTTGGAGGTGATTTAAGATAACACTACCGAGTCCCGTTGCCAGCTGCAGAGATCGTTTGCTCCTACGATTGTCGGATGGGCCGAGACTCCGAGGCGAGTCCACACACCGTTACTTTCGCACCAAATCTGCCTACAATACGTTGCTCAGTGTACTTTGATTCGGATAATAAGTTTAAAGTCACGATCCGGTTCGTGAAGCTGTCTACGTAATCTCTTGGCTGAATTAGAGGCTTCCTTGTAAGGAGAGATGCATATTTTATATTGAAGCTATCGCTGAGACGAATTGCGGTCACCGAAGATTTATTCTCTAAGGGTGCACGTTAGGAGATAATACTGTTATTGTGGGTCCGGATCATAGACTATTGTTTACTTTGTAGTTTGAATTAGAAATTTTAATTTTGTTACGCTTCGGATTTTTGTGCACATAAATAAAGTCTTCTCAGGGTAAAGTAGACGATAAAAGTGAATCACTAATTGAACGTTATCTCGTCTTACACAAAAAGAGGGTAGATTACCCACTCATTGTAAAATTTTGCGATTATATCACCTTGTATTCGTACATGGCAGCTATTCGGAATTCGTAAATAGGGTTCCAATGTCTCAACGCGTAATGTGTAATAAGTATGTCTCAATGCTTTTATCAAAATGACAAACTCGGTCTTCAAAGCCCCAGCTTAAACCTAATAGGTAGGTAGGTTTCTTCTAGTTTTTTTATAAAAAGTTTAATGTATCTATAAATATTGAAACCATTTCTTAAATAGCATACTTCTTTTGAAAAATAGTAAAATCACCCATAAAGATGGCTTTTAAAAACAGAACAATATCATAATAAGGCCCTAGACATTCGTGATCACGTTCCTTGTACCTATATGCATTCAGAATGTAAGCGTTACCTCAGCCTTTTCAATCTTAACGACCTAAAATAAAACGACAAAGAATACCAAACCGGTTAAGTTAGGGCTCCTAGGAGGTGCAAGGCGACTGTCGAACCGGTTTGGCCGGGAGATTCTTTGTTTGGTTATCGCAGAGTCGAAACGTCGCGAATTGGATAGAGACGGATATATAGCTGCTTGACTGACTCCCTTTCTGTCTATTTCAGAGGTAAGAGGACAACCGCGGATGTGTCTGCAGCGAGACTCGGGCAGCTGAGGGCCTGGGCGGCCTGATGGCGAGTGGAGCGCTGCGCATGCTGCTCGTCACCGCGGCGCTGGCGGCGCTCGCGGGAGCGCACGCCGTGCGCTTCGGAGACCGCCTCGCGCCGCGCGTGCCTGCTGCGTACTCACCGCGCAACGCGCCCTCCGCACAACACTACGTCGAGAATGAATACGACGATGTCTACGAGCAAGACTACGAGGAACAGAACCTTTCCGTCGAGGAAGAGGAGCCGCCGGAGCCGGAGCCGGATACTCCGCTACGCCGCCCCGCGCGTACTGAAGCTCACCGCTTGGAGATGAGCACTGAGTACTTTGTCATACCAGAACGTCTTTCATCGCCAACACCACCTTCGACATCAACAACTTTTGCCCCAGAACCGCAGCCAAACGTGTCCGTCGTACTATCACCCACGCCTCATATCTTAAGTGCTCTCAGATCAGAGTCTTGGGCAGTGCCTATATTAGCCCTAGCTTGCGTCAGCATGGTCACTCTCGGCGGGTTTGAGGCGTTTGTGATATGGGGAGCAAGTCGCAAGGCACCAAGCCATCGCCACCTGTTACTGGGACAGACTTTACTGTTCGGGTTGTTTTCGTGCGCTGCTACGGCCGCTCTCTTTGCAACCACGCCGACTGCGTTCACGTGTGGTGCAGTTAGATTTGGAACAGGGGTAGCCTACGTAATAGTATTCGCTTCACTCCTAGTTAAATGTGTTTTTTTGCTTAGTTTGAATGGTGGAGTGTATTTACCAGCGGCGTATCAAGGACTACTATTATTTTTCGCTGTAATGATCCAAGTAGCCATCGGAGCCCAATGGCTCGGTGGCTCTCCTCCGCGAGTGATAAATGGTGGCGGCCGATGTGACGTGCACATGTCAGACATGCTGTTGTCGCTGTGTTACGCGGCTTTTTTGATCGCAGTAGTGTGTGGGGTGGCGCTGCGGTCGCGCGGCATCCGCGACAACTACCGCGAGGCGACGCATATCGCGGGTGCGGGCGGCGCCACCGCTGCCGTCTGGGTGTGTTGGGTGGCGGCAGCACTGGGAGCCCCCGAGCGACACCGAGACGCTTGCGTTGCCGCGGGGCTACTAGCGACATGTGCAGTAGTATTTGCCCTCATGTTCGCACCGAAAGGTCGGCGCTTGGCAGCATTGGGTCGCGAAGGCAGATGGGACGCAGACCGCGACGAGGGCCTCAGCTCCCTCGGTGCCGGTGGTTCCGGCTACTCGCCTTCATTCTTCCACTTCAAGCCGGTGAAGTACGGCATGGTGTCGGCGGCGGCGCCGGCGCCCGGGCCGCCCCCTGTGTTGGACCGTAAGGAGCCGCCCGCTCAGCCAGCCGGTTAGTTAAGTATCTAAAATGCGCTACTAGTGAGGACTAGCGCTTCCACGCACACAGATTGACCGCAGATCGCGACGTTCTTTTCGCAGATCCGTACGGAGGCCTGTTCGCGAACTCGCCGCACCCGCACTCACGCGTCCTGTACTCTCCGCCGCACTACACCATGCACCCTCTAATGCTAAACTATCACTACAATTACCCGCCCTATCCTTACTTACTGCCACCAGGTAACTATTCTTACTACACTCGCTTGGAATTCAGATGCACTCTCACTTCACATTTTCTATTTCAATTTAAAACGACTTAGGCAATAATTATTTATTATAGACATAGACATATGATAATATTGGTATTTGAATACCTATGCGGTTTTAGTGTAACTCGAGCGCCATAGTAGATAAGTATCGGTGGGTAAGCCGGGTATACTGACAGTGAGGTATTGTGTACAGGCGTGATGGTGCGTCCGGAGGAGGGCAACGTGTACACGAGCGTGGAGCCCACCTTCAGCAGCAACCCCAACGTGTACTTCCAGCGCACGGAGCCGTTGCACGTCGGCATGATGTACTGAGCCACTGACAAACCACAAGTTCCGAAGCGAACACTGGGATTTGCAGCGCGACGCCATTGTCACTTGCCTCCCGGCAGTCTGTGACACACCCACGAATTGTGTGACGATTGTTTCTGCTGCTGCATAAAGTATTTCTGTCAGCTCGACAAAATTATGTTGTTTAAATAAATTATTATTTTAAGTCACACTAACACCATCACTATATGAAGAACTAGGGTCAAAAATATAAATGTAGAAATTATTTTCTAGTCAATCGGAAGTACATTTAATGAGCAATAAAAGAAAAATGTAAAGTATTTTATGCAGCAACATTGACCTTTTACTGTACATGTGACATTAAGAATTGTGTGAAACAAAAGCTGTTTGTGATGTTAAACTCTACTACCCACCCTGGACGATATAAAGAACAGCTATTAGAGTAAATTAGATACTTACTACTAAGTATAGAAAAACCATAATTTTAAGTTTCTCTTATGAAAAAGTATTGAAAAATTGTAAATAAAACTAAAGACTGTTTTAAACTTTTTTATTATAATTAAATTATAAAATTACTCTATATTTATTCAATGTAAACACATAAATAACTGCAAAGTTTAGTACACTTGCCTCGTCAAAATAGAGGGATTTCTTCTGAACTTTTGTAACAATCTCACTCACTCACATTCTTGCCACTTTGAGTACTACAGACAAAAGTAGATGTTCATTTTGTTCTGTTGGCACTACACACTTGCATTCCTTACTTGGTTCCAGTGGAGAGCAGCGCCAGCAGTCCTGAGGCAGCCGTCAGGGATACAATGTAGTTACTGTTATTGAGTTAAGTAATTATATTTAAAGGCACACAGTAAGCATTATATTTAAGAGACTTCAAATTATTCATTTCTAGAGGGTTGTAGTTGTATGCAACTTTAGATTTCAAAATAACTTGAGAACTTTACAAGGGACAGTCTCCATAGGATGTTGGTAGTAAACAAAATGTATCAAAAGTTTTATTCAAGAAGCCAAGTCTAGACTTTCAACAGATTAGTTTAGATCTATAATAAGTAAGAATATATTGTTTCTCCATAAAACAAACAAGTTCAAGTTGGTGTTGTTATGTGATTTGTAAAAGGATACACAGTAGGTGTGAATGAGCGCAGGATGTAGAAGCTGCTAAGGATGACAATGGTCAGGAACAGAGCATTGTTGTAGAAGATTGAGTAGGTGGTAGCTTCGTAATCAGCCACCTCATTCTTCTTCCACAGAATCCTGAAAGCATGAACAGCTATCTTAAGACTTATAACTTTGAGCAATATAACATAGTACTAACACATCATTAAATACTCCTATAAAAATTTGCTACATACAGGTACTCAATTTTATGTTACACACAAAAACTTAATGATATGAGATGCGATTTATGATATGAGATTTAGAACTATTGACAAAAATTAAAAGAATATTTAAAAAAAATAATGTCTTAGACAAGTCATTCCTGGAGTAAGAAACATACCTGAAAATGAACCCTACAACACTGAAGTTAACGGTCTTAAACTACAGCTGGACATTACTTACAACTCAATATAATTATAAAAGCTACTACAGCTAAGTTAAATCCTTTATAAACTGAGGTTTTAAGCAAAAATTAATGAACGACATCTACCAGAATATGAAATAAAAGTATGATTGAATATTTTAAATGTTTATGGTAAATTACAACTCAAAAATATTCATTAATATTAAGGCTTCTATACCAACTAAACTAAATGATTTTACTATTTACGATGGGCATATAAATAGCCTAGATTGTGATGGTGATTGATCCAGAACTTATATGAATGTAAACTTTGACACAAATACTATATATTAAGGGCTGTGACTGAGACTGTACCTTTCATCCTTCTCTTTCCTGCTCATCTTCTTGTCATCAGCCAGCTTGCGGGCCATTTCGCGGGCAACAGCGTCTTCTCTGCGCACAGCTACGCGGTGCTTCAGCTGGAACTTGGTGTTCCTGTAGGCAAGAGCCAACAACCAGGTGCTCGCTGTCGTTACCATAGCAAACCACGCCAAGGACGAGCTCACCTCCAAAGCATGCACCCTCCAGAACAACCCTGTAACAGTTATACACGAATATAAGACACACTTTCACTAGACCTATGATTTTACTAAACTGACCTGTTTTTATGTATGAAACTATATCTTCTAATTACTGAGTATTTTCAATATAGCATTTAGATAATACTTACATATTGGAATAGCCGATACGATGAAAGCGTTTCCGTAAAAGAGGGCAGAAGATTTCGTGGATACATTCCGGCTGAAATCTTGAAGCAGCAATTCTTCCTCTTTTGTGAAAGCCTTGTTAGCCTTACCCGACATGATTGTTTATTTAGTATTGAACTGAAATTCACAAACACTTAACGTACACTACGTGAAGTAAAATTACAAAATGATAGCGCTATTGCCACCTTCACTTCAGCTGGCTGGTGCGCTGGCGAGCGAAAGTCAAACGTCAAATGACATGTAAGCAACGTGTCAAAAATATTGCTAGCATAGAAATTTAAAATGTTTCGATGGTTTTTTTTGTGAGGGGAAAATCATCAAATTACTTCTCCCGCCCAGGGTCGGGCGGGACCGCGGGAGGGAGTGTCAGACTCTTACTGACTAAAACCCCCCTGTCCCTTCTCCTGCTCTAGGCCGAGGTTGCGGTGCCTCATTGCGCTTACCCCGCAACTTGTTGTGTTGTTTCGATGGTGGAGTATAATTTAAGTATAATTTAAGTCGGATCTGTAGCATAATTTTATACTCGGAAATCGAAGGTATCATAAAATATGAATTTCAAATATTATAATTAATTATTAGGGAGCTTTTCAATATCACGTATGTTCGTATTTCGAAAAAATTAGTTAAAAATAATATAGTAGTTGTAATTCTAAAACTTACTATCATAAATAGTAATAGTTTCATAGAAATATAACAACTCGCCTCAAATAAAAAAAAAACGTATTTATTTGTGCAATAATTGCAGAATAGCGTCTTATTTTTGACAGCCACAATAAGTGTTTAATCCACAGACAATAAAATCTATGGTTTAATCAGTGACAGCCACTGTCACAGTTCAAATTTAAAAATAAACGTTTGTGCCGCCATCGCTGTCGTTTCGTTTGTTGATTTGTTTGTTGACTTTGTTGTGTAGTTAGAATTGTTGTGTTTTCGTAAATAAATCAATTGAATGGATAAAATCCTCTGATCCTACTGCAAAATGAGTAATTTTGAATTTGCCATACCACTACAGAAGGATGAATTACTTGAATCCCATGCGGGACAGTATCATGTTGAGGATATCGTACAACCCCGCGTACTTTTATCAAAATTACAAGGTATTTCTTGTTTTTATCTAAACCTAAAAACGCTGAGTACGACACGTTTTACTATTAATTTACTATGCGACATTTTTAGATGCTGCACGGGCTTTTAATGCTGAAGGAGTTGAATACATATTGGAACACTTTGATACGTATTTCTCTATCATAGTTCACGGCAACAAGCTTGAGTGGAATGTTATAAATAAAGGTAATTAACATCACCACAAGCTTAATACCAAAAAATATTCTTGTAAGTATCTAATATGATTTTATGATCGTTTTTAGGATTTGAACACATTGTTCGTGCAAGCAAAAGCCTGTGTAACCACTTAGAGCTCATGTTTCAAGACAAAGAAATTGATTCAGACCTTAGAAATAAAAACTTGAACATTTTGAAAATGATGATGTACTTGTATACACAAATTATGAAGACTAAAGACACTAAACTTGCTACAGATGTAAGTACACTAATAAATCAAAACTGTTTATAAAACAAATGTATTAAGATGTTTTTCACATGTATATTGAAATATTAAAAGTTGATGGTATTACACCATAAACTTTCTTATTTATAATTATATTTAATATAGAACTCAACCAAGCTGACACTGGGTAAAAAAGGCAAGAAAGTAACAACAGATGAAGATGAGATTTGTGGCTGGACAGAGTCTGACAAGCAGGCAGCTTTAGTTACACTCAATCTAGTACTGCAGCAACCTTTGTTTAGACTTTGGGACCCACCATTAGCTGAAGACAACTTTGTGTCGTAAGTTTTCCATCTACCATTAACCCATATTTAGGTGAAAAGTTGTAAAAGTCTTCTCTCAGCCAGGGTGGGGCGAGATACACCTGGTTTCTGAAAGGCTTGTCAACGCCAAAATTAACTAATCTCCTGTTAAATCTCTTGTCAAGTCATCTGATTGGTTGTTGATAATTCCTTCAAACAATCAGATGACTTGACAAGAGATTAAATTGATTTTAACATTGATCAGCCTTTCGGAAACTGGGCGATAGTTCTTTTCTTCTTCTTTTATCTAGGCTAGACCCAAAGTACATTATTGTGCTTGATCAGTTGAAGTTGTACTGTGCTTGACCAGATTCAGTCAGGTTTGAGCAATCCTGACTGAATCTACATGTTTGCAGCCATGTTCAACTGTATTGTTTATACTTTATATCAAATAAAAGTATTAAATAAGATTCATATGAATGAAATAAAATCAAATAGAATTGATTTCCAATAAAAATCTAGCAAGACTGTTGTACTGGTTAGGATTGTTCCAGAACTTTAATAACATTTATAATATTAACTACATACATATTAATATAAGTAATATTGTTTACAAATTATTTATTTTTGTTTTAGAATGGTGGCAGATCCATGCTACAAGGCATTGGAAGAACAAATAATAAAAAACAAATCTGTAAGAGAAACTGTATTTCAAGTACTTGGAGTGCTGATAAAAAAGTACAATCATGGCACATCGTGTCTCATCAAATTGGTGCAGGTAAATATATACTATATGAAAATATGGTTTTCTTAATTTTGCTAATGGAGGGGTATGAAATATTTATGTATTTATATTCTGTACACAAAAAAACTATATCAAAATTACACAAAAATTCACAATTGTTGTCAGTTCTGCCCTCCTCCCCCCATTTCACATTGTCCTTTTTATTTTTTTTTGCTAGGTACTTCAAATGGTGGAACATGCTGTGTCGCCAATTTGCGCAGGAGTTGTGCAACTAACAAAAGAATTTGGACTTGGAACTTTTGGTCCTCAAATGGTATGTATATATATTTTTTTACTTTTTATTTTGCTTATTCTAAGAACACATAAAGTATCGAAGTTTAAAACAAAAGTAAACTTAAAACCTATGTGAATAAGGATAGAATTCGCATTTCGCAGGTGAGAGAAATAGCAGAGGCATTAGCATCTACAGAAGATGAGAATGTTGGTGCTGGTACTGAGCAGGGAGCTGCCAGGAATTGTGGCGCCTTCTTACTAGAACTGACTAAGGAAATGCCTAAAGAGATGACCACTGCCATCGCCACCATACAACCATATTTGGAGAGTGACGAGGTACATAATTTACACGAATTTTTAAGTACTACGTTCTGTAACCACTTTGACTTTATGGCCAATCATTTAAAGGTGTTTGCATGTTAAGGATTGACGAACGTAGATAAAGCGAAATAGATGTTCCAGAATCACATTTGGGATTTCATTGTCTCTTCCTACCGCATTGGCAGACAGGGGTGACGAATGTGTATCCTATGTGAATATATGTATACATGATTGTTTTATTTTTATGTTCAGTCGTACACGCTCCGTATCAGTGTGTTGGGCATGATGTGCGAAGCGCTAAGCTCTGAGCTCCGCGGGGAGGGCCTGCCCGACGATATGCGCGCGCAAAGAGACGACTTCCTCGACGATCTCTACGAACATATGCACGACCTCTCCGCATACGTGCGACATAAGGTAAAGTTCATTATCAACTTCTATGATTTTGAAAATAACAGTCTAGGTTTTAAGGTTTACTTTTAAATGCATTTGTAGGTACATATTATTTTATCTGTGACTTCTCGCTTTACCAAAACTAGTAATTGCCTATCGCAAATACATAGTTATTTGAAATGGTTTTGTTCTTTAAAGAAAACAAATATACTTAGGATCATTGCAGAATCTTTAATGCTCAAACCTACTGTTACTTGTATTCTTTGCTATAACAGTAATAGCCTTAATAATTTTTACACAGGTGCTGCAATTTTGGTGTCGTCTGCAAAGAGAGAACTGTGTACCTGTAAGTCGGCAGAAAACTGTACTTGAGCGATCCATCGGCCGGCTGAAGGACAAGGCTGCACTCGTCAGGAAAGCTGCCGTACAGCTGCTGAAGGTATCTATTTATTTTTATTTATAATTTTTATCCTGACATCAGTTATAAAGGTCTCGGCATAGATAGATTTATGAGAATCTATAAATGATGATGTTTGTTATTTTTTCACGCAAAACGGATAGACTGATTTAGTAAGTAGATAGGGATACCCTGAGTGAACATTCTTTATGCACCACGCGGGCGAAGCCGCAGGCGGATGTTAGTCTCGAGTCGTAATCAATTCATAGTACCTACAATTTTATTACACAATATATTTTATAATTATTATAACACAGAAATAATATTTAACAACTTTTAAAATTTTCTTCTAGATATTTTTAGAATGCAATCCATTCTCAGCACAATTGAAATTAGAAATACTGGAGGAACAATTGAAAACCGAGCAGGATATATTGGATGACCTACAAAAGAAGTTGAATAATGGACCTGATCCAGAGTTAATAAAACAATGGGATAGTTTAGAAAGTGAAGTAGTAAGTGCTATAAAAAAAGGTATGGAAGTCCTTACACAAGATGAGCCGGAACTGTCCCAGGCTTCACTGGACAATTTGTACGAAGCAATTCGCAAACATCTACGTGAGAAGAATTATTACAAGGCGTACCTTATCGTCAAATACACTGAGAGACAGTATCCTGATGCTAAGTTAATGAGATGTGATATGGAAAAGAGTGATCAGGTAAAGAAAAGTCATATTTTAATTTATTTCTATAAAAATGTGAAAACCAGTTTACTATTACACTGTATAGTGCGCGTGCGCGCTGTATTATCCACAAATCGTAAAATGTTTAAAATAAAATAAGTACAAGATTATGGAAAATTGTCTACAATCTTTGATTCTATTTAATTTTATTCCAGATTGCGTACTTCGTAGCATTACTCCGAAACATATTCATAATACCGGATAGAACGGAGTCTCTAACACAGCAGTGTGAACAAGAGCTAGCACTTTATAAAAGAGTAGAAGAAAAGGAGAACATTGTGGCGTTCCTCCAAGAGTCAGTACATTTCAGTCGAATGGTATCTGAAGCAGTACCTGTTATAAACTCCTTGCTGATGTCCAAGCAAGCTGGGGACGTTAGTGAGGCCATAGACTTCTTCACGACGGCTCATCATTTCAATATCGAGTCTGCGAAGATGGGTGTGGCCAATATGTTGCTGCTTGTTTGGTCTCCTGATCAGGTAAGCAGATAATTGTGTTTGTAAAACATAAATGATTAAGTGTGGGAGAGCCATGCTTCGGCACGAATGGGTCGGCTAGACTGGAGTGATACCACTCACAGAAAATTGGTGTGAAACAACCACAGCTTTGTATTTCGCCGTATGAGTGAGGTTACCGTAGGCCCAATCCCTTCCCTACCCCAATCCCTAAATCTCCAATCAAAAAACAGCTAACTATATAACAGCAGCAGCTAACGTACCCCCAGTTGCGATCTCGGTGCCATTTAGAATCACTCATGAACCAACTTAAACAACTCCTACTAAGAACTACTAAAAACTAGTTTTTAGGTTGCCAGTGTGCTCTCTTATTTTTTTTTCAACTTATAATTATTTTAACTTAGGATAAACGTGAAGCAGTAGAGCGTGCATACCGCGATATGTATTTGGAGTGTGACAACAAGGCGGAGCGCGCCCGGTGCTTCGCCATTGCCAAGAAGCTAGTCTCCCTCATGTCGCATATTGACCGCGGCAGTGCAATGGCGCTGGAACATCTCGTCGCCAAGTGGGTTGAAAAAGGAGACATCAGTCCTGGTATTATACAGGTATGGCTTCAGAATAATAAACAAAACAAAATCCATCCATTGCACAAACCTAAGCTGGTTTTTATTTGCCAGCCAAAAATCCAAACAGGTGACTGTCAGATACCATAACAAACTATTTACATGTTCGTTCTCTGTTAAACAGGTGTTCTGGGAAATGTTTCTGAAGAAAATTGATGGGACTACAGACATGGATAGTTACGCGGCACTCACCCTATTGGTGATGGTCGCGAAGGCGAAACCTTCTGTAGCAGTCGCTAACCTTGACGTTATACAAACACACGGACTGACGGCCGATTATAACTCGAGAAATTTAAGTGTACAGCTGTTGCTCTCATTGGCTAAAAAGAGCCAAAGATATCCCGAAGACCATGCACTGTTTACCTCAATCTTCGATAGTTTAATGGAAGCATTCTCGAAGTTCGATAGATTTACATCATTTGCAGCCAACTCTATAGACCTAATATACGCTATCTGCGACACTCCGGAGATATTGAGTGCGAAGATTTTGGCAGAAATGTACAAAAGAATCGAAGAGACAATGGTGAAAGATGATGAGAAAGAAGAAATCACATTACCTGTGGAACTGCTGACTCGCTTCGTATTTGTACTGGGACAAGTAGCACTACAGCAGCTTATATATCTGGATATAAATGTATACAGTGAACTCAGGAGAAGAAACCAGGTAATTCAATAATTCAAATAAACTTACAAACTAGACTTTGGATTTTAAAAATACTTGTTATTTTAACAATTTTCCTTTTTATCAGGTTCGTGAAGAAAGAAAGGCTGAAGAAAAACGTAAAAAGAAAGCAGGCGCATTTGCGACGCCGGGAAAACGTGGCCGCGTGGACGACCTACGTCGACAGACTCTAATGAATGTCAGTAATGCAAGCGCTTCGTCCAGACAACAGCGATCTGCCAGCGTCACCTCCACCAAAGGACCTTCGGTAATTATTGTTATATTAAATTATAAAATCACTAGCTTCCGCTTGCGTGGTATGTTAATAAAAAGAAGCCTGTGTCCTATTCCGGAATGTATCCTATGCCTGTGCCAAATTTCATTCTGATCCGTTCAGCCATTTTGGCGTGATTGAGTAAGAAACATCCAAAAATCGTAACTTTCGCATTTATAATATAATTAAGATTTAAAATCATTTTATAACACAACATACCACCAAAAATTTACCAAATTCTACCTAGTACTCGAACTGGTAATGAAATCCCGTTTGTCTGTAACTTCTTTTTATTATAATATTGTGTGTTTTTTGTTATATTAAAACGTCAACGTCAACCATAGCATTTCAAAAACAACGTTTCGTAATGTATTGACATTTTATAATCGACAGGTGAACACGACGATGACGGAGGAGGAGGCGCTGGAGGGCGCCGTTGCGGACGACGCGGACGCGGAGTACGTGCGCGGCGTGTGCGAGCGCGACATCGTGGGCGCGGGCGCGGCGCTGGCGCGCTACGTGCCCACGCTGCGCGCGCTGCTCACCGCGCCCACCGCGCCCAGCCTACAGGCCGCCGCCGCACTCACTTACACCAGGTACCTTAACATAACTAACATTTTTATATGGATTGTATCGATCGTCTGGATCTTGCAAATGAACTTAAGCTTTTTGTGTGAGAGGAAGGCCAAACCAGCAACATAAATAATTAGGCGCTACTAAGGATCGGGGGTTTGGAGAGGGTAAAGCCTCCCTCTCTCGTACGGCGAAACACTGTAGTTGTTTCACTCCACTACAAAAGTAATCTTCCACTAAAGCAAAGCCCATCATCATCATCTCACTCAATTGCACATCGCTAAACCACTATTTAGCTCTCCACATCCGACACCATAAGCCACTTTATTAAAATCGTAATGTCACCCAGTTGTAGGGCGTTCTGTACTGGCGTTACCTAGATGCGATCTCCTTCCATGACAACATCTACTTCCATGGTCAATGAAACAATGAATTTATTTTTGCAAATAGGCCATAAAACGGCACTTTTACACGTCAATTTATATGCGAAAAACTAGATGAAGCCGGCATTTCCTATCTGACTACTCTAAGAAGAAATGCCGAAACAAACTCAGAGCTCTTTTCAAGTCCAGACAATGTAAAAATAACATAATGTGAAAGCACCGTGCAAGTTCATTCTGTAGTGGTCTTTTCATGAAAGAACCACATCAGTTTAAGTGGACCCGTTCTGAAGACAGGCACGAGACATCATCATCTCTCACTCTCCGATAAATGTGCCCAACTACGGACCAACTGTCTCATACTTGAAATTTGCATCAACAAGCCCATTGCTTGGAGCATGCCCATTATAATATCGTTATTTATTTTACTTTTTAGGTTCATGTTGGTATCGAGCGCAGTGTGTGACGAAGGTCTGCAGCTGATGATGACAGTACTGAAGAAGTCAAAGAATGTTGCTATGAGAACCAATTTAACTATTGCTTTTGCTGATCTTACGTTGCGTTTCCCCAATCTCACACAGCCTTGGACACATCATATTTATCATATGTGAGTACAAATGCATTTCTAATTATGGTAGCATAAGATGTTTAAAGTGTGGGATAGCCAAGCTTCGGTACTCGCATAAAAACTGGCGTAAAATAACGACAGCGAGCGTTGTGTTTCGTTTGTGAGCGAGGTTATCGAAGGCCCAACACATCCCTTCCCATTCCTTTAATATCTGAAATCCTAAAAGGCTGGCAACGCACTTGTTGCTCCTTTTGTGTTGCGGGTATCCATAGATAACGTCAAGGTTAGCACTGATTGCTTATACTTATACCATTTTTTTTTTTTAATTATTGTAATTGTGAATTTTAGATTAAGTGACGAAGAGTTGGAAATTCGTCAATGTGCAGTTAAAATGCTCTCTTTCCTGGTTCTACATGAAATGGTGAGAGTGAAGGGACAGATCGCGGACATGGCACTCTGCTGCGCGGACAAAGACCCGCGAGTTGCATCCATGACAAAAATTTTCTTCAAACAATTATCACAGAAAGGCAACGCCTTGTACAACGTCATGCCGGACATAATATCGAGGCTAAGTGATCCTGAATTGAACGTACCCGAGGAGCATTACCGATCTATTATGAAGTAAGTATCTTGTATTGTGTAATCTTAGCAATAAAATTCAAAAAGTAGATAGAAATATGTTTGTGTAAATTAAAAAAGTTACATCCGTAAGTGTAATAATAATGACTCCCATTTTTCCATAGGTATATCACATCTCTTATACAAAAGGACCGTCAAATGGAAGCCCTAATTGAGAAATTATGCCAAAGATTCAAGCTCTCAACGGAAGAGCGACAGTGGCGTGATCTGGCGTACTGTCTCTCCTTATTTACGTACAACGAAAGGTCTTTACGTAAACTGATTGAGAACCTCGATTGTTACAAAGATAAGCTCCATTGTGCGGGAGTAATGGACTCCTTTAATACGTTGATGAATAACACGTCAAAAATGGCGCGCAACGAAATTAAGGTAATATAAAAACATATGTATTTTCGTATTGGAACAATACCTATGGATACCAAATTCGTTAATTAATTCATTAAATAACTTCAAATATTTTACAGGCTCTTGTTACGGAATTAGGAGAAAAAATAGAGGAATGCTTTGCTGTTCGTGGCGAAGAGAACACTGAAGATAATAGCGAAGGAGCTGCTAACAGTGGATCACCGCCCACTCGAAAGAACGAGACGGTCAAAGCAACACCGCGTCGTAAACCAGCCGCTAGAAGAAACCGACGTAAATCTTCTTCCAGTCCAGATGAGGTAAAATTATGTTTATATATATATAAATATTTACAGTATAAAATAATATGAATAAATGTATGCATGTTGGCTGGCGCAGGGAATCCAGACTACACTCAATATTTGTCTTGTAAACTACCCCTAGAGTACCCTCTAGACTAGAAATGTACCTAACCATTTGGGGCAGCCAAATGGTTAGGTACTTCTATAGGTATTTCTAGTCTAGTTTGATTATGGCATAAATCAGCAGACATCGCACGCGGGAGTCGCGCTCGTAATTTAAATTGGGACAACGCAATCTGTTGTTGCGGGTGTCCATAGGCGGCGCTGATAACTTACAACCAGGGGACTTATCTGCTTGCCGCCTTATACCATAAAAATAATAAAAACATGATAACAAATTGTTGTTCCAGAATGAACCTCCAAGTAATGAAAAGACACCACAAAGTGTAAGAAAATCTAGCAGAAAAGCGGCGACGAGGACAAAAAAGGAAGTCGCAAATGATTCCGATGAATCCGGTAAGCAATTTCCTACAATTGTTGTGTGTAATTATTATTTAGTGACGATCAACATGGTTTTGTTACCGCGAGATCGACAACCACGAACTTAGCAACCTTCACGGAGTCACTTATGCGGACGATAGATAAAAATAAACAATTTGACGTAATATATACGGACTTCAGTAAGGCATTTGACAAAATGTCACATGCCTTATTAATCTACAAACTTGCAGCTTATGGAGTATCAGGGTCCTTGCTAGAATGGTTCAAATCATATTTAACCGAACGCAATTTCTACGTTGTTGTGAACGGATTTAAATCTTCAGAACACATAATAACCTCTGGCGCCCCTCAGGGTTCACATTTGGCTCCGATGTTATTTAACATATTTATTAATGACCTTCCCCAATGCTTGCTTCATTCAGAACCGTTTTTATATGCCGATGATCTGAAGTTTGGCCGAATGATTGATTCCCCTATTGACAATGATCTTCTACAGGAAGACCTTAACAGGGTTATTGAATGGTGTCAAAATAACAAAATGCAACTGAATCCTGACAAATGTTACCACGTTACATTTACGAGAAAAAATAACAATGTCAATACAGATTACTCCATTAATCAAGCTAAGGTAAAAGAACTCGAACTGATCAAGGACCTAGGTGTATTATTTGATAAAAGAGTAACCTTCATACCTCACATTGAACACATTATAGAAAAATCATCTCAAATGTTAGGCTTCCTACTTCGTAGTACTAAGGGTTTTCGTAAAAGCAACACTAAAGTAATGGTATACAACAGTCTCGTACGAAGTATTCTGGAGTATTGCGGTGTTGTGTGGAGGCCTCACTATGCCACTCATATGCTGCGGTTAGAAAGAGTACAGAAGCGTTTTGTGTGGCACCTAGCTTTCTGCGAAATGAGATCTAAGCAGCTGCCCTCATACAACACCCGCTTGCACCATTTCAAAATGCATTCATTATCCACACGAAGAGACGTTGCCGACGCAATTTTCTTATTCAAAATAATAAGAAATCGAATTGATAGCGCTAAATTACTGAGCCTTATTAGATTCCATGCTCCATCTAGATACCCTAGAAACATCATCACACCACTATGCCCACCACTACGAAGAACTGTACTTGGCACAAACTCTCCTATACCTAGGCTATGTAAACTATTCAATAGCTGTAGTGACTTAATGGATATAAACCAGGATAATATTAATAAAATCATAAAAGTAATTGTCAGTCATTCAGCCACAAAAGAATATTTTTTTGTAATATACAGGGTGTAAGGGACAGCCTTCCGCAAACTGATAGGGTTGATTCAGTATATCGTCTTAAGTTGACCGGTACATGAAATTATTTCAGGAACGTTATGGGAATCCAATTAAACCGATTTGTTTCATTACCTTACACGCAATGTATCGCTACCACCGCAAACGCACGCAGCGAACGGCAGCGCTTTTAGTATTATTACTTTACACTATGGGCAGCGCCGCGACCTTACGTTCAGACAAACGGTCGCACTCGCGCCACGTTTTAATAACAACAAATTATTATTTAAAAGATAGGCGCATTACTTACAAAAGACAAATGTAATTATCGCGCTCGCGCCACGTTTTAATAACAATAAATTATTATTTAAAAGATAGCTGCATTACTTACAAAAAAAATCTAACAATCATAACATGGTAACTGATAAATGATAAAAAAAGAAAAATGCGTAGGTACCTTAGAATCGCTCCGGTTTCCGGCTCTGGAAAGCATTTGTGATGCGGTCTCGCATTTCGTACTCACTTGCACACGCACTCACAAACACTTTTTCTTTTACGTAACCCCACAAAAAGGGGTCCAAATGGGTTAGGTCTGGGGATCGTGCTGGCCACGGTTGCGGTCCAAACCTACCTAAACTACGTTTAAATAGGAAAGCACTGGTAAGTGGTAGCGTCTCGTTACGTTAGCGAACCAATTCCAAAATCCACGTAGGTATTGGTCTTCCGGCGCCTTTTTGTCTGGGAACAATGGGCTGGTTTTCTAGCAAGCGTTGATAGTCACCAGTAATTATCCTGGAGTCTGATGGATGCCGACGGTCAGGATACCTACACTACTACAACACATTATCATCTCCCCATAATCACGCGCGCTAAACGTACCTAGGTACCTAGTAATTTCGCACAATTTCTACAACAAAACTTCACTACACTTCACACACTACATAACTAATAAAACTTAACAACACTACTTATAACAAAACTTTTAAGCCGAATGCGCGAGCGATCCGTGCCGCCACACGCTCGCGGTACACAAACAATAACATCGCAGCAAGGCACAATGGCGACTGCATGTGATGAGACACACACAAACATAAATCTGTTGTTGCCAATTACACGAAAATTACAAAATTTCGGGGTAAAAAATAAAAAATTATGCATGGTCGTAATTTATCATTCTGTTATTTTTTGTAGAGAAATGAATTGATTAAATCAATTTAATTCTAATTTCATTGTTTAGTTAATTTAGAATAATAAAAGTGCAGTATGATAGAAAGCTGTGCTTCCATTCCAGGGAGAATGTGTTTAATTTCTGGCTCGACTATCAATTCATGGCTATTGTGAAGCCATGTAAAAATCTGTAAGTAGTTTAAAAATTAGCCAGTAATCGCTTAAAAAAACAATCAATTAATAAATTAGGTAGTATTTGTAAATGCTTTAAAATTAAAACTAGACTAATCTTTATTTATTTCTTATTCAATTTATGTGCGCGACAAGATTTTCATTAATTGATTAATGAAAATCTCATCAACGTAATTATGAATGCAAAGGAGTTCTCAAGTTTTAGATAAATTTCGCTAGTTCTAACATTTTCGTTTACTACCTGAGGTAACAAAAGTTAAAAATTGGCAACACTGGTTCGATCGGGCAAACATTGTGCAAAGAATCGGGGAGACGGGGAGACGCGGAGGCGGGGCGATAGAAAGGGACGCAGCTATTCTGTACGTTGGACGGGATCGTAGGTATTATACCTACGGCGCGCGGCGCGGCGATCGGCGCGGTGGGGCGCCGAGCCACAGTATAAATATCATACAGTATTTTAACTCGGCCGCTTGAAAGAAATAAATACCTACAGCCGCGCGGTACGTAAACATGCGTTAGGGCTGCTCGTCTCCAGTATTTTAATTACCTTTGTCTACTTTCTGTTTCCATTTAGTTTTGTGATTGTAAATATCCTTTTTTTATATAAACAAATAAAGTGCTTTAAAAATAAACAAACAAAATTTCTTTGGCCACTAATGCCGAACTGAACAGCTGACTACGAATGTTCTAAAATCACAACCGTCAAACATCAAAATATTACATGAGTCTAGCTGTTTTATTGTTGTTATTAAATATTTTCTATAACAAAACATACATGAACCGTTTTAACACAAGCGTAAGTAGGTAGGTACCTAACGTATCATGATTCATTCTGAACCAGAACCGCCTATAACTACCTATTTCACTCGTCTCAATAACTTTATTCATATTATTTATAAATTCAAACATCTGTTTTCGTGAGATAACTGGAAATAATGATCCATAAAGACACACATTATGTACCTACCTAGGCTACTAGTAAGTAAAATTATTTTATAGTCTTACCTTTCAGAGTTTCCAGGTAATTTAAAAAAAACTTATGTCTGGATGCGTTATTGTCGAATTCATGCAACCAAACATAATAACAGCACAATAAAAGACTTTATTTGTTTATATAAAAAAAAGGATATTTACAATCACAAAACTAAATGGAAACAGAAAGTAGACAAAGGTAATTAAAATACTGGAGACGAGCAGCCCTAACGCATGTTTACGTACCGCGCGGCTGTAGGTATTTATTTCTTTCAAGCGGCCGAGTTAAAATACTGTATGATATTTATACTGTGGCCGAGCCGATGCGCCGTGACCGCGGTGCGGTGAGTTCAAACGACTCGCGCTAGGTAGAAGTTGAACAGCTGATTTCATGCGTAGTTCTTTAGAGAATTCACACAACCATTGCGTATTTTTTTGTTTTAGCTGTGTTATTTACATTAATGTTATTCTTCATACATAGAATGTAATTATACATTGAAATAGAGGTGTAGGAACTGAAAAAACGAAAAAAAAATTGAAATTTTTCCTGAAAGAATTTTCACTGGAATATGATTCAGAATAAGGAGCTGAATGCACCCTGTTAATTTGTGGAGGGCTGTCCCTTACACCCTGTATTATAATATAATTATTGTATCAACTAATTTAATCGACGTAGCCTAATTAATTCAATTTAAAACTAATATTTTCTATTTGAATATAATGTGTATTTATTTTAATCGTATCAGCATTCATCTTAATTTATATTTTTTTTGTAGTAATTTAAAATAATGTCAGAATGTTATTATTATTATTTTTTATTCCAATGTTATATAACTAACCTATTCTTAAGACCTAAATATTTTATTAATGACCCAAATATTTGTCATAATTTATTATTTACGTTTAATTTAGCCATTATAATTTTAATTCAAGCCGTTTAATGTGAATGCGGTGTTAGCCTTTAAGTGATTGTTACGCTCGCAAATGTATTTTTCGTTTATATCTACAATGTTCTTTTAGTGTAAACAATTGTTGGCTAGCCTATAATAAATAAATAAATTTTAAAAAAGAAGCCTCATAATGTATGTCTTGTGTATTTCAGATGACGATTTCCAGAAGAAGGATGATGAGGAAGTGTTCAAAAAACCTACCGTCAAGAAAACAACACGACGAAGAAGATTATAATGTTATTTTGTATCATTTTTCTCGTAATATATTGCGAAGTTATAACTAAGATAAATATGTGTATGTTTTTCATTTAAATCCTAACTAAGCTTTATAGGCTGTATTTAGTAATAAGTATAGTATAAAAGCACTAGCTACTCTCACGCGGTTTCACCCGCTGCTTGGCTCCATTTAATCGTAGCGTGATGATTTGTAGCCCATAGCACTCAGGGACATTGTAGCTTATAATTGAAAGAATTTTGGAAATCCGACCAGCGGTTCCAAATATTACCATTACCCCAAATATTACACCACTAACTCGCCACACTCCCTCTCTAAGCCTTCTAGCCTGTGCACTTGGTGGTCAATGTTTATTTTGAATCCAGAATTATTTGTTTTTCTTTGGGTATGGCTAGAATTAGTTACAGCAGAAATCAAATATTTTGAATTATTCTATAGCATATCGTTTAATATGCACAACCTTACACTCCATGGGAATGTCATGGCGTGACTAATGACGTCAGAAAACTTTGTTTCGTTTTTGTAATACCTACCTATACAGTTTGTAATAAGGTCATATCCTGATATATCCACTTTGGAAAGATGTTCTGGCAAAGATTCCATTTTGTCCGTCGGACATCCTTTTGTTGACGGGGGAAAATCATCGAATGACTATGCCCGCCTAGGGTGGGGAGAGAGAATATCAGACTCTTGCTGACTAAAAACCACCATATTCTTTCTCCTGCTCCAGGCCGAGGCTGTGGTACATTATTGCTATCGTCCCACAACCCTAACTGAACGCCATTAATTACTCTTCTCCGATGTCATGGACGGATGGATTCGGCCCTGTTCCGCCTCAGTGGAGCTGCACCCTTATGCAGGAAATCGACAAAAATGGCTTCTCTCGCCCAGAGTGGGGCGAGATTGAGTGTTAGTTTTGCTAACTAAAAACCCCTGCGTTCCTGGGTGATTCTCCAAAAAACCTTAACTTTTATTTAACAAGTCATTATCCTCCCAGGTTTTTAAGCATCTTAGTAATTTATTTTATACAATATTTTTAATCGGTTGCTTGTAAGCACTGGTGAGATTTAATTTAATAAAATAATTATCTGTGTTTTAATCAGCAGACTCGTTAATTTTCGGTTGAGGATAATTACATTATTAAATTTTTTTTAATTGATGTGATCCGTTATACGATATGGGATTGTGGTTTGGGGATATACATCAGATTTAGCACGGGTATTTATTGCGCAGAAGAAATGTGTTCGCGCAATTTTTAATGTCAAATGGTCGGACTCTTGTAGACCTATTTTCACATCAGAAAAAATATTAACTGTCCCTAACATTTATATTTATGAAGTGGCTAAATTTGTAAAGTCCAATATTAAATTATTTAAAAATAAAAACAATACAAACAAGCGCAAAGTCACTCATTCGTATTTAAAAATGCCTGCTCCGCGACTTGAGATGTGTAGACGAAGTTGTGTGTACATGGCGCCTTTAATTTATAACTCACTGCCTCAGAACATAGTCGATCTGCCCTATCAGAAGTTCTGCAAGACTCTAAAAAATTGGTTGATAGAAGAATGTTTTTATTCGGTTGATGAGTTCCTAAAAAAGTATTCTTCTCAGTCTTACCATTTTAGGAATGCATTGTAATTGTTATTTACCTACCTGTATTTTACTTTTGTGTTTCTGTATTTTACTGTAAGATGTCGAACGTTTTGTACCAATGTATTGTTATGATGTAAAACAATAATGTGCATTTTACTTGAACATTTGCATGCTGTTTTATAACTGCGGAATGTGTCTAGCTCTAAAACATATATTAAACCAACTCTTGTACCACATTTTATGCAAATAAATATATTATTATTATTATTATTGAAGAATCACCCTCCTTCTCCTTTCCCAGGTCGGGGCCTCGGTAGATTATTGTTTGCAACTGCAAACCTGGCTGAAGATCAGTCCTATTAGGCCACATTTGTGGTGGTCTATTGGTTCATTGGGAGGCGCCCGGAACGCCATGCGCCGTGCGCTCGGGTCTGGTTCTGATCGGGCGGCGAGCTACCCTTGATCGCCGTTCGCAACCCGCATTTATGATGGCCGGAGATCGTCGCGTGATCTTCAACGCCCTGAGTGTCTCCTGGCTCTTCCTGTGACGGCTGGGGCAAACCTGCGTGCCACCAATAGTGTCAAATTATTTAACCGAGTAGTTTTTGCAAACTCCGCAATACTACTACTTATGTAATGTATGCTGGCTACCTGGATTTAACGTTTGCCTTATATTTTTAAGTGCTAGAGAGCCCATGCTTCGGCACGAATGGCCCGGCTCGATCGGACTGATACCACAGCCCCATAGATAACGAAAATCACCCCACAACGTTAGCAATGCACTTGTAACTCCTTTGGTGCTGCGGGTGTGTTCTTACCAAGGTAATTCGACTGCCTCTGTCTCATATAAAAATACTTAAATATAAAAGGAAGCATTATCCCATTGCAAGACGGTTACAAATAAAATTCTAATATTTTATAAAGCTTGTCTGTGTTAGGTTTTTGGATGAATGTCTAAATAAATCAATTGCGATTAAAATGTTCGTTTTCTAAATAGGTCTGTAAATCAATTCACAGGCTAAAAAAATACCGAACGACGCAGCTTTGTTGAACTGCCTGTCATTCTGACAATGTCAAATGTCAGCTGTATTATAAAAGTACAAAGGTGTTGATGTAGGTACCTAATATTTGTTGTGAAATTGTATGAATGAAACTTATACCAGGTCTAATTACCGGCATTCAGATAAGGGCCTTTATTATTACAACTTTATGTATTTTAATGATTCGTTCTAGCGTCACAATGATTACTGTTCATTTTAAATGTCGTGGAGGGCTTTACCCTCGTTCTAATGTTGAAAGATTCCCTGTTCCGGATGATAAAGTCAGCTGGTCTTCAGAATACAAGGAATATCAACCACGTAATCACACTGCGTCATCTATACGCGGACAGCCATGGGCCGATCCAAATATTGGTAAATATAACATGATACTAAGAAATTTGATCAAATTGATTTGATCAAAACACAAATATTTTCAAGTTTGGATTTGTAGGCGAACCAGGTTTTAATCCACAATGGAACGCAATGGATGGGAAAGTTAATAGAGCCAGCTATATGGGACAATACAGTATAAAGGATGGATACCCTTTGAATCCTATTGGAAGAACAGGCATTACGGGCCGAGGAGTTCTTGGCAGATGGGGTCCAAATCATGCAGCCGATCCTGTTGTCACACGCTGGAAGAGAAATGATAATGGAGTAATTGAAAAAGATAAACAGAACAACAAGTAAATTGAACTCTACAATTATTATTTTTATGTGGTTTTTAGAATGGGACCTCTGTAATTATTTTATTTCAGGCCTATTCTACAATGTGTTGTGATAAAAAGACGTGACACTGGAGAATGGGCCCTTCCAGGTGGTATGGTAGACCCTGGTGAAAAAATGAGTGCTACTGCTGTGAGAGAATTTCAGGAAGAAGCAATGAACTCTTTAGTAATGACTGATGGTAAGTGTGTAAAGTGTCTTGCATATCTTATCATATGTTCTCTGTTCTTCTGTTTTGTTCAATAAAATGCCTCCTACCTAATTATTATTTTTTATTATTATATTTCAGATCAAAAAGTACCATTGGTGGAAAAGTTTAAAAAATTCTTCAGTGAAGGAGATGAAATATATCAGGGATATATTGATGATCATCGAAATACTGACAATGCATGGATGGAAAGTATAGCTTATAATTTCCATGACAATAGTGGGTCTACAGTCGGTGCATTAAAGTTACATGCAGGTGATGATGCTGTCGGAGTGCAGTGGGTAGATATTACCCCAGATATAAACTTATATGCAAGCCATAAAAATGTAGTAATGCTAGTCTATCAAAAATGCTTGTCACACTTTTCTCAAAGTGATTCTTAGATTGTCTTATGTGATAATGATTATGTAAAACCCTTAAATCTATGAAAATATTAATATATTTTTTTCTTCTTTAAATATTATAGCGGGAGGGAGAGCCCGTTTCTACATGCCATGCATGGTTTCAAACTATGCTCTACCTAATGTTATACACTAGAGACAGTTCCAAATTCCATGCTTACCGAACTGATGTCGTACTGACGTCATAGCGAAAACACGGTGGTTCATACAATGGTTATATGCCTTGCTTGGGCGCCGTGTCCTCAGAGAAGCGGTTGCCCGCGGCGACCTCGGGTACCCGGCCTTAGTTCAGGTCAAGATGCGGAGCGAGAGGAACTAGGACATCGGCTCTTCCTTCTCGACGGCGAACAAGCGTAGCTTGCCGCTCGACTAGGACCAGCCCATGGGAGTGGTGTCCACAGACGGGCCCTATAGGGCTGATGTTCAGCCGGGGTAGCGGGGTAAGCGCAATGAGGCACCGCCACCTCGGCCCAGAGCAGGAGAATGAACAGATTAGTTTTTAGTAAGTAAGAGTCTGACACTCCCTCCCGACTGTGGGCGGGAGAAGTCACTTGATGATTTTCCCCTCACAAAAAAAAATGGGAGTGGTGTACCGCGTTCCGCGCGCTCCTATCCTACGTATCCGAGCTATGAGGTCAACACAAACGAGGCCATGATGTTCCTACCGTGGCACGGATCAGTGCGGGAAAAAAAACCTGGTAGTTTTTAATCAGTAAAAAGAAAAGCTAATAATACTTTACTGACTCGGAATCCATGTACAGGGCGCCTTGTTCAACAGATGCAAAGCTGGTAGAGAAATTTGATATAATATGACCAAAATTACCTACTTGTCCCATCTATAAAATAACAGAATTTACTGCAAGCTGTATATTATCATAAACTGGTAGTGATTTTGGGGATGGCTAATGATGATAATAAATGAAAAAAAATTAACAGGTTATAAATAATACCATAATTTATTGAAACAACTAGTTTACTTTATTTCTCTTTTAAAAGCATACTTAAAATGTGTTGTATTGGGCCTAGACTCCACCATTCAAAATTTTCAGTTTTTTCCAGATCTACCCGTTTTTCATCACCGTCACCGATCACCGTTTTTCATGTTTCATCTACATAATAATATTCAACCGTAAAATTAAAATTTTAGACATATTCTCTCGGATTCGGTTTCCTTTTTGGCGAGGCCCGGCCCTTACTTCTGTCACGATATTTTGTGAACTTTATCACGCGAAAAACTATTGCACCCTCAAGCAACTTAAATGCATGTTATAAGTATTCATAAAAGTTGTTTTCTATAATCAGTATTCACTTTCAAACAAAATGGGAACTGACTTATTTACAAAAGTAAATCTATACTGCGTAGAAAGCATTGATCACCCTACCCAGCCATTGATTGCAACGTAACAGAGAGAAAATACATAGTTTAGGATAAAATACATTATGTATATTGTCCAATTTTTATACAAATACCAGTATAACATATTCAATGACTAGTAAACACTACTTCTATCATTGTGCCGACATCTTAACTAATTTTTATAATATGACAATATAAATGCATATAAATGATTTGTCTCGAACCAATTTACAGTGGTGGTTTCCCAAGTCAACTGCATTATCACGATTTCAATAAAACTTAACACCCTTCTGTTTTTATCAGAGGTTAAAAATGACATACACATTGAATTAAACTCGAATGAATATTTTACAGTCTTCTATGAAACATCCACTGGTTTTGTCTTAGTAAAATTAAATAATAATCTACAACTAGTGATAATAACGGAATATAGAGTCTATTTTGTAAAATAGGAAATTGCCACCTTCTAAAGCATACAGCTACTGTCGTCATTTCGAAAACTAAAGGTTTTTGTGAGACGTAATCCACAAATTATCGCGATAGCTTTGAAGCTCGCTCAATCTCAATTTGTTTTCGCTGATTTTTAAAGCTAGATTAAAAACCTGAACTAAAAAGTGCAGCAATAACTGTATGTAGTAGAATGTACCTAAATTAGTTAATTTATTAACAAAAAATACCTACACTACAAGATAATGTTACGTTACTTGGAGTTTAATGGAACATAGTGACTTACATACACACACGTGACTTTTCTCCACTATTTTATTAAGACAGCATGATCCAATGAGACTGCAATACAATGTATGTATAATTCCAAATATACCCAAAGCCTTGAGCAGGTAAAAACATTTGATTTCTGAATTTATCAAGTCAGTCAGTTACCAATTTACTTTACAATTGATTTCTTAAATAATGTAAAAATCTAATTCACAAATAAATAAACCAAATTGTCGTCAAAACAGCTTGCCAGGAACTAAGCACATAAGATACTGTTTTGCCTTTGACCCACATTCCTATTTAGAAGCGTATGTACGAAGGAGACGTTGGCATTTCATGCAAAAATCCGACAATTCGGTCCGGAAAATTGACTGTAAAGCTTCGATCGATGGTGTAAAGTCTAAAATACAAGAGCAGTCCGAAAAACCATAATATGAGCAATTTTCCGAATTACCATTTATCAGGTAACAAACATCTATTACACCTGTAAAATGGATTAAGTCATACAAAGTCATAAAACATAATCTATTATTAATGGATTAAGTCATACAGTCATATAAACATAAAACTATATACTTATTATAACATCAGTACAAGTATGTTACTATGCCTACTGAAGCATTCTTTTTACACGAACATTTATACCAATGTATTTTATGGCAAGTGTAACCTACCCTTGTTTACAAAATATCTTTTGTAGTTCATGACTTACCCATTCACTCGAGCACAATTTCATAATTTGAAAAAGACTTGATATATATACTTAAGCATCTATAAATGAATATTTTGCTAACATTGTCAATAGTCACTGAAATTACGTTCCACAAGATCACAATTCCCTCTTAAAATATTTTTAAGTAACCTTATATTGTATAAACAACAAACCTACGGTGTATTTTAAACTTTTGTAATGTTTATGTTATTCTTTATATTTCTTTCCATATCGAATTCAATTCACTGACACGTTAAAAGTATTAAAGACATGACAGTCACTCAAATACAGTTCCGTTTCTCATAAAGTCCCATTATAAACACAGTTTACGGCACAAACATACTAAACATTCTTGGTTTACGTATGTGGAAGTACAGAAGTTATCACAAGTTGTCCTAACACCTATATCACAGGGAGGCGTGAAATAACGAGCGATGCTAGGAAGACATGTTGGTAGGCGCGAGCGAACTGTACGCGCGGTAACAGTTGATGTCGTTCATAAGACGCTGAATGTTCTGCGTAAACGTGGGTAGGTCCTGCAACAAAAATAATACCCTGATATATTATATCATACTTTGTGCAAATAATGAGATACTGGCAAATATATAATAAAGTTTTTTTATATTACAGAACTTATTTCTTATTGATGTTGTATATCTACTAAACTTAAGGAAATCAATCGTTAAAATTAATATTGTGAATGTGAATTTTAATCATTACAAATATTGAAACACAATAGTTATCGTTTTCTAGTATTACTTGCAGGAAAACGATTGAAGTATGTAAAAATTTAGCCGAGGTTACGGGGTAGAGGTACCGCTTACGCGTTTTAGTCAGTAAGAATCTGACACTTCACCTCGCCTCACCCTGGGCGGGAGAAGTCATTTGATGATTTACTCATAACAAATATAAAGAGTAATACATGGGCGATGTACCGATGTACGTATACGAATCGACGTGAGCCGGCTGGTTGAATCTAGTAGATAATCTCTATTAGATATGTTTATAATTAGCAGTGATGAGGTATAAAGTATACCGTATCGGGCGGGAACTGCGCGAGATGTCGCTGGTGTTCGGGCGCGAGGCCGGGCAGCGAGGCGAGGAAGTGCGGCAGGAAGGCGGCGCGGAAGGCGGGGAAGTCCACCAGCGCCATCGCGTGCACCGCCGCCGTCACCTCGTCCCGCGCCAGCGCGCGCCACCCGCCCTCCGCCAGCCCCGCCAGCAGCACCGACAGGAACTCGCCCAGGAACTCCGTGCGGAACATCACCTGTACTCAGCAGTAACACACGACCATACAATACACCACCTATTTGTGTATAGAGACCGAATTAACACAAAAGATCGAATACTGACGGTGTCATTTTAAAACATTTAATTCTGATAGCAAATCCGTTTACTCAAATCGGCCCGATAATAGAAATGTTTGAATACCCGCTAATAAATTTAGCTAGTCACATAAATCATTACCAGAGTACCTAAACGTTACACATAGATTTAGTAAAACTATCACTATATATATACAAAGTTAACGGCATCATTAACCTTTTAATCGTGGTAATTCGAGAAACAATGTGTACGCATAGACGTTCGAACTAAATTAATAAGCAAGAATATGATAGTATGAAAGTGATAGTTTGCATCAGTAGCAGTAGGTAGTAGCCGTAAGCTGACCTTGTGGTAGAGCTTGCACTTGGAGTTGAGGGCGTCGAGCGTGTCGATGTTGAGGCGCAAGAGCTCGATGTCAGGCTGCAGCAGCGCGCGGCCGAGCGCCGCCAGCGCGCCGCGCAGCTCGTCCGCGCGCGCCGCGCCCTCCGACTCCTCGCACTTACTCGGGAAGAAGTAGCGCCAGCGGTGGATCAACACACTACAACAATTTTTTTATTGTTTAGGTAGTTACTAATTAAGGTTTACTTTGCTGAAAACTCGGCCATCTCCTATGTTGTGGTACACAAATAGGTACTTTCTCCTGTGTCGTGGGTACGTTCGTAAACACAATTAGTGCTAATAAACTACCTAATTGTAATAGGTCATTTCCGTTTATCCACACACGATGGACGAACAGAACGCAACATTCCCAGTCGTTCACAGCGTGAACAAACAGAACGCAACATTCCCAACCGTCCACAGCGTCAACAAACACAACGCAACATTTCCAGTCATCCACAGTGTGAACAGAATGAGCCATTGTAACGTGTGTGTAGGAGGTTAGAGCAGCATGTACCTGGCCAGCAGTCGGTATGCGGCGCGCGCGAGGTCGGGCGCGTGCAGCGTGGCGCGCGGCAGCACGTGGCGCTGCAGCAGCGCCAGCACCGACCGCACCAGCACGCCGCCCCCCCCCGCCCCCCCCGCCGCCCGCCTCCACGCCCAGACGAACGCACTCCACCAGGCGCTCCAACCCGCTCTCACCACCACCCCTACCAATTCAGCTTTGTTATTCAACCTCTTTCACTCACTTTGTTATTTTCTATATCATCTATTTCATTGAAAAAAGCAACGGAAGAGTTTCTCGCTCGTCCTTCAAAATTTTCTTCACTGATCGATAGCTACAATCTTCCTGTGTGCTATAGCCGAACAACGGTGATACCACGCGGCAGTAGCTAGTAAACAATAAATCGAAAGAGCTTGTATGTATGTTGGGTTCAATGTCTAAAATCAAAAGTGTGAGAAAGCCATACTTCGGCACGAATGGGTCGGCTCGATCGGAATGATAACACGACCAAACAGAAAATCGTTGTGTTTCACCATGTGGGTGAAGTTACCAGAGGACCAATCCTTCCCCATCCTCAATTTTTAAATCCTCTATCCTTAAATCTCTAATAACTGCTAATCCCACAAGAGGTGGGCAACACAGTTGTGGGCGGCGCTCCGTCTGCTCGTTTGCAAACCTATGAAATAAAGAAGTACAGGAGTTATGAAGAGTATAGTATATTATAGATAGGCACACGCGTACCTCTGTGCGACCTCTAGGAACACGTCGATGGCAGTGTACGCAAAGCTGCCGAGTTGCGGCAGTAGTGCAGTGAACAACGCGAGGAAGAAGTCCGTAATCTCGGCCTCGGCCGACGCGAATGTCGGCTCGCATAGCATTCGTAACGCTGTCTCCGCCGAGTTCTGGATACCTTCCGCTATTACCTGTTAACAAAACCAAGACATTTTTTTTTACTAAATAAATGATCAAGTATACTGTTAGGTCATGCCCAACTAGGATCAAGAAATAATACCGTAGTTTCCAACTAGTCAAATTCAATACTTTTATCCAATTATCAAAAACGATACCTTTCTGTGTAATTTGCATGAAACTCCAAGTTATGAAAATTAGTTAAAAAAAATATTGAAAATTTAGTGTATCGACAGAGCATTGAATAAAGGTATAGTAGTTATTTTTCAATATTTGATTGTATTGAAACATCGAATTAATTAATTTATGACCTAGGAAACTACTCAATTGACTATCGACCCCCTTTTTGCGTAGCGCTTCGATTGTAATTTCGCCTTCAGTGTAACCGTTCATCCGTAGTATTGCGTACCTTCTTAGCTTGAGTGGGTGCATCGGAGAATGCATGCAGCAACGCAGTGAGTGGAGGCAGAGCTTGCGCCGGCCCTTGTGTCGTCAGCACTGCGCCCCACGCACCAATCAGCGCTCGAGCCGCGCCCCCAGCCACACCCCCTGCGGCCCCGCCCCCGCGCAGTGAAAGTGACACTAGCGCTTCACGTACTACGACCGCCGTCTGTTATCATATCAAAGTATACATATTATAATGGGTCGGACCACTGGAGTGATACAACGGCCTTACAGAATACAGATGTGAAACAATCACAGCGTTGTTTTTTGCCGTGTGAGTGAGATTACCGGAGGCCCAATCCTTTCGATCCCCTAATCCCTAATTCTCTAAATCCCACTCCTCCGTTGTTGCTTGTGGCCATGGGCGGCGATTGCTTACCATCCGGCAATACATAAGCTCGTTTGCCGACCAATCAGATTAAAAAAAACCTCCTCCTTTTTTGAAGTCGGTTAAAAATGAAACAATATACATTTTTGTATAATAAAATAACGATACTCGATTAGTTTGAGAGTGCGCGATAGGAAGTAGAAAAGAATTTATTTTATTTTTTATTTTTTTATGAACAAGATAATTTTTTTTTTTTTTTATGGAATAGGTGGCAAACGAGCAGACGGATCACCTGTCCAAAAAAGTATTTATTTTCAGCTTCACTGTCAGAGGTTTATTATAAATGTAGATTACAGCTGAAAATAACCATCTTACCTTTGTCTCTAGATAATGAAGCGAGCGTTGAGCATTTTCGTATAAGTCACCAGAGAGAGCTATTGGATCCGAATTAAACTTCACGTTCTTTGCCAGGCTCAGCAGCAAATGTGCCGCCGCGTGACTAAGTAGTGGAGGTTCCTTGAAAAAAAAACACTATAAGTATATCGTACGTAGCTTACTGTTTACAGTAATATTGAGGATCTATCTGATCCTTCATGGGTGTTTCACCGAAAAGCCCTTTTTTGACAGACCATTATCCTTCCCGGGTTGTTAATCATCCAACTAGTAAGTTATCATTATCAATGTTTTTAAATTTTAAATCATAATTTGTGTTTTTATCGGCAGAATCGTCAATCTTGGGCTGAAGAACATGATATCGTAAATTTAAGTTAAATTGATATGAAGAAACACCCTCATCCTTATAACGGATCTAACAGAATAAGAGAGAACTAAAAAGACCGAGTTTCAAATCTTTGTTTTCTTTATGGTGTGTAAAGAGTATGGTAGATATTATGTACTAAAAATATTGAAATGTGTGTCAAACATTCAAAAGCTATACTAATATAATTAGAATGTGAATTTAAACTGACCGGTATTTCATGTGGCAGAAGGAAGGGCACGGCAGAAGAGAATAAGCTCTCCATAGTCTGCACTGGCACTCCGCACTCGTTGGCGTAGCAACACCAAGCGCCCATACATGCAAACATTTCTGCGTGCCTGGGAACAGACGTACATATCATTTTTATTATTTATTCATATGATCATTAAATGGTTACTGAGCCTGCTTTCATGCATGAGGTAACCTGGTAAACACCAATGTAACTTTTTCTGAGTTATATTAATTATGTACTTAAGATTGTTTAGACATTAATATACGGTGAAGAAAAACATCGTGAGGAAACCTAGAATAATAATTTCTAACCAATAGTTTTTAAACTGTTTAACTCTGATCTGTTGACAATCTGCCTTGAGCAAGCGCGGTTATTAATTCCCAAAGTTTCGCCGAGCGAGAAGATCCTGACTTACAGGAGTTGCACCGATTATAGAGAATGTAGCGGGCTCGTCCCAAGAAAATAGTATACGTACACCTGTACGTGTGCATGCGCGAGGTGCGGCGCGGGCGCGGCGCGGTGCGGCCGCGTCAGTGCGGCGCCGGCCAGCGCGGCGGCAGACCGCTCCACCAGCCCCGCGCCCAGCGCCCAGCCCGCCGACCGACGACCGCTCTCCGACTCTGTGCCCAAACACACAACATGTACCTATGCTGTAATATCATAACTATTGACAACTTACACTGTTCGGGAATGCTCGACTAATTTCGTGCCAGTCCGGGTCTCCACGGACCCAAATTAGTCACTATTTTTTTTTTGTTTTATCGAAAACCCATGTAATATTAATTTTGATTTTATACATAAATAATATGTATATCGGCAAGCAATCCTATAATTATTCGCTGTTGATAAAAAGATCTCTGTCTCCGTCATAAATATAAAAAATATATTTTATGTTTTTGTTGATGTACATTATTGAATGGGTAAAGAAATTTACACCGGTGAGTAATATGTAATTGATGAATCCGCTACAAGGTCACGAATTCTGATAAGGATCACTAATGGGATACGTATATCGAACTTCTGGCAGATAGTATTCACATACCAGCGAGCAGTGCAGGTGCGAGACGACCCAGTACACGAGTGAGGGTGGCGAGGTCCAGCAAAGCGGCCAGCAGTCGCTCGCCCTCGCCGCCGCGGGACGCCGCGCGTGCGTGTACGCCCGCTAGGCATTGCCAACGCTCCAACTATAACATAAAGCAATTAATATTCGCAATTCCTTGACATCACCTTACTTATAATTATTCGATGTTACCTTTGTATCTGTAAAATTACTCTATACTACAATTGGGTAGTTCCTGAGGTCAATAAAAACAATAAATTTGACTGTTCAATCAATACAATAAACTATTAAAATTGAATTTGAATCATACTTTCATTCATTGACCAGACAATTTACTTTATCTTTAATTTTTCTTATAAAAGTATACTGTTTGACGTTAAAATATTATAACGTCGATTTCATACAAAATTTATAGTAAAGCATACATTCAATTTTTGTTTTAATTTTACAGTATACTTTATAGTACACTATAACACATGACACCGTATCATAAGCGTATCTATACGCCGATGTTTGAACTTTAGTAATGATGGAAGAAATCAAAAAAGATAATTAAAATATATTTTTATCTTACCACAATGGTGAAAACATTAAGTGGTGCGAGTTCTGCGACACGCGCGATGCACTCTATACAATGTTTCAGGAATGTATGCCACTCAGTGTGACCCTATAACAAAATATAATAAGTTAACATCCATATCTAATAGTCAGAAATTTAATTCGATTCCAGATTTGACATTAGTTACTGTCATTTTGTGAAATAATGATACCACTTAAAGCAGTCTAGTGATGAACACAAAAATTAATAACTGACTTAAACCAAATTTGCTGATTGTAGTGCTTAGAAGATCAAGTATACTAACATCATCGTCGCGTATATCGTTATCTAAATGTTGTAACTGCGCTTTATTGTGTTGAAATTGTATTTTGTTCAACACTCCATTCACCAATGCTTGCAATGCTTCCCAGTATCTGAAATAAAACAATATGCTTTTTATTTATTCAAATACACAATATAAATAACGGTAAAACGATGTGAATATATACACAAAAGGGGTGATTAGATTTAGGCAAATTTTCCTAGTATCTATTCACCCCATTCTACGGTACCTACGTATACGTTACATAATAAAGTTATACATACTTTGAAGTATCTTCTGGCTTCAGAATATCGATAAATTGTATCCATATATCTAAACAGTTTATAAATATAGCACATGTCGGCACCTGAAAATAATTTCTTCATTAGATTATCTATTCTTAAAATAATTTTAGAATGTTTAATTACATTAAAACATACCTGGAATGTGTATTGGAATAGATACGACAAAAATTCAATAGCATCAAACTCCGGTTCAGCCTCCAACCTCTTGAAATGTAATGATACAAACAGTTTAAGGAATTCTGCTAACTTGTTAAGGTAACTGAAATGGACACAATGTACAATGATCACTAATGGTTATTCACTATATATATATTAGTTAGTCACAAACACAAGTAACATGGGTATTTTAAATACACAAGGAGTTGTCAATATCTCTCATTAATACCTTTGGAGTAATAAAAATTGAGATGAACTAGGTGTACATACAGGCGACCAGACACTACTTACTTAGTTAAGTAATGTATCAATCATAATATATCACAATCATATCAATAATAAGTCTTTATCCGCCTGCTATATAAACAATATATTTAAAAGGAAGGGACTAAGAAATAAATAAAGGTATGTTTTTTGTTTAATAGAATACAAAAAAAAGACTAACTCGTGGTGTGCGTGCATGATGGCATTGGGTGTGTGCGTGAGATGTCGCAGTAGTCGCAGCGCGCAGTGCTGCAGGCGCAGCGCCGTGGCGGCGGACGAGGGCGGCGCGTACCGCCGGTACAACAGCTCGCACACCCCGCCCAGCCCGCACAGCGCCGCCTCCACGCTCTGCCCAGTTATACATACATCAACACTGTAGAAGATTCCTACACCTTTGATGATACGATATGATGAGGGGTTAATCCTATAAGGATATAGAAATAATACCACCCGATTTGAATGCTAGATTAACATTGATTTATAATTCGTTATAAAAGACACAAATTACATTTTGCATTGTTTGCAATATACACAAAACCTGAGTGTGCAGAACGCACGGGCGTGAGTAGTTAAAATAATGTACGGTTCCGTACATCCTGCCCACTCAAAAGAGATAGATAAAACACGATTGAGATGAAAAAGATTGAAAGGACAAAGAAGATAGATAATGTGATCAAAATTAAATTGATCAAAGATAGTCTTAGGTGCTATAATGTAATGTAAAATAAAATATACACTAAAACGTAGGACCTAACCAATTTAGTCACGGAGCGCACTGATCACATAGATTCTGGCGAAGTAGCCTTATCTACACCACTGACCGTGAACACTTCACTGCACTTAAGCACTGATCGCGCTTGATGTGACGCCACTGGCGCCGGATCCACCGGCGCGACTGTCGCCGGCCCCGCCCCAGCAGCCTCCTGGCCCTGGGGGGCCGGCGACGCTGCTGCCCTAGCCGCAGCTCGACGACTCCTGATGAGGTACACGACGACGCCACCCAGTATGATCACCGCGGCTACACTGATGTATAGCACAGTGTAATGGTGAACATCATGAATGCTCAGATCTGTTGATGACTGTTCCTTAACCTCGTCAATCTGAGCCCTTAACTGATCCCAAATAACCTGATGATCCTCGACCATACTAATATTGTCGGGTATTGATGTTTTCATAATTCGATTAAGCATAGACACCTCTGGGACTTCGATATGATGATGAATATTCAAATTACTGAAAAAGTTATTATGAGCATAAATACTAAAGGTATCCCCTTTCAATGTGCAGCCCTGACCTAGAGTAATGATGCCATTGTTTATAAGATGGGTCATTGTCACTCCGTTCGCGCAAATAATGCGAACCTGGCATTCCGGACAACATGTGTACAACCAGGTGTTTGGCCTGTGCAACTTGATCCACCGCTCTTCGCACGACGATTTTACAGACTTACATAAGTGAGCATGATTAATTATTTTAATGTCACAGATGGATTGCTTCATTTTTAGATCGTAAATGGGCATGTTTAATGAGCACAATAATATATCGCTAGGAATATGAGTGCACGACTTTAGATCTTCTTCTGATAGAAGAAAAGCTGTATCCTTGTGCAGATTGTACGCAATAAATGATACTGATGTAAGAAATTGATAGTAGTGTTGTCCTTGTTTCTGAGAGATAGAGATGATTTTGTTTAACTCGAACATTTCGTTGCTTAAAAGCGGAATTTTGATTTCTATGATTAAGTAATTTGAGATAACCCTAGCTGAAACCTTGAGTAATCGATACAAGTCCTTGATGTTTTTGATATCTACTGGTATAGTAAGTTTACCATTTAGCTGACTAGAGATGATGCTCAGCTGATACGATAGCTGTTCGGGAGATAGTAAATGGCTGTCGATACGTCCATGAGAAATATCCGTTACAGTCCCAATCAAAGTCTGCTGGATCCATCGAAGGTTTGATAGAATGATTGATGCAGCTAAAGATGATGACGTGATATAGTTATTGTCTTGATTAACCAAACGTACTTCATATACTTCACGCGCTAAATCTTGAAGCCGTTGATTGATAAAGGAGAATTGTTTATTCATGACGTTTTCATTACGGCGTAAAATGTTGAATTCGGATTCCATGATGCTGGTTTGATTTTTGATAAGATTTTGAAGATGTTTTTCGTTGTGACTGATCTGTTCGATGTCGCTTTTGTATTTTTCGGCAAACCTTTCGTCCAGTACACCGAATAGAGAATTTGCGATATAACCGACTCCATTTACAAGACCTCTTCTTAATCTCATAGGTGCTTCATTTGTATTTTTAAGTAACATGTCATAGTGTTCAATTTCACTAATTTCCTGCTCTAGTTGAACAATGATACTCTGATATTGTTTACTTGAATGAGTGATGCACATTGTTTTGATATGATTGACGTAACTTTTGATATCCGATAAGCCTTTCCAGTAGGTAGTCATATTATAGTAGACAACTAGACGCCATTCATCCTTGATGTATTGCAGGTTCGACAGTCTGTCGAAGTAAATTGCTTGATTTTCATCTAATGACGTCAGATTATATGATTGATGATTGTTGGTACTTTGTGCGTGAACAGGGGATAGCAACATGAAAATGAATAATAATGAATGAATGAATAGGCTCTTGAATGATATTCCTCTACGAGAACGTTGAGTACGCTCACTCTTTTTTTGTTGACATGATGATGGCGGTGATGGGTTGGAAGAATTTCCTTGATCGATAGCTTGATCTTGTGCCGTGTCCTCGTTGGTAGGTAATAACACGAGTTTGTTGACAGGACGTTTGATAATGTTATCACCTTTTGTTTTTAGACTGACCACTCTAACATAGTTGTCCTTTCCTGGATGTACATCTTGAATGCGTCCTAATGCCCACTTGCCAGGTGGTAGATTTTCTTCCTTGATAAGGACTACGTCACCAATTTTGAAATTTCTATTTGGTTTACGCCATTTTGATCTAGCCTGCAATTGTTGAAGATATTCGCTTGACCACCGCTTCCAAAGCTGTTTATTCATGGATTGAACGAGTTGCCATCGCGTCGAGAGATTGATGTGATCTGGATCTGTCTGTGGCCTGGATAGAATTGGGCCACCAACTAAAAAGTGTCCTGGCGAAAGAAAGTCATCGTCAGGGCTTTCAGTCAGTTGACAAAGTGGTCTAGAGTTGAGACACGCCTCTATTTGGTAAAGTAGAGTAGTAAACTCCTCGTACGTGAGTTTTTGATCTCCAATGATCCGCTTTAAATGATATTTAAGGCTTTTGACTGCTGCCTCCCAAAGACCACCTGCGCTTGGCCACGCTGGAGCATTGAAATGCCAGCTTACGTTCATGTGACTGATGTTATCAAATAGATCGGTGTTGATATTGGCTAAGATTTCTTGATACTCCTTCTTAATGATACGATTGGCGCCTACGAAATTTCTTCCATTGTCACTATACATATGACTAGGTGCACCACGACGAGCTGAAAATCTTCGGAAGGCTGCTAAGAATGCTGGAGTACTCAGATCGGAAACAAGTTCCAGATGAACAGCTTTGGTGGACAAGCAAACGAATACTGCTATATACCCCTTAACCGTTTTGATTCCACGTCCCTTATTGGCTTTTAACTCTACGTGTCCCGTAAAATCGACACCGGTGTGGGTAAATGGACGTGACGGGGTGACTCGAGGCTGTGGGAGATCAGCCATGATTTGATTATACTTTGATTGATTGAAGCGCTGACACTTAACGCAGGATCTCAACCTTCTCTTGACAGTACGAATTCCGCTTATGATCCAATATTTATCTCTGATATATGCAAGTGTCAGACGCGGGCCCCCATGCAATGTTGTCATGTGAGCCTGATGGATGATTAAGTCGGTGAGACGACTGTGGCTAGATAATATGATAGGGTGCTTTGATGAGTCCTTGATACATGCGTTTTTGAGTCGTCCTCCCACTCTAAGGATACTGTCCTCATCCAGAAAAGGATTGAGACATGATATTTTACTTTTAGGGTGCACGTATCCCTTTTGATTGATAAACTGAATGTCTTCATGAAATTCGTATAATTGATAATTCTGTATGATTAAATGTAATGCATTGTGCAACTCTGCTGACGTCAAAAATTCCGTCCCACCTGTGTGTTTACCTCGCGATCGTTTAATGAAACGTGATATCCAAGCGACTATTTTTACAATACGAGTTAATGAACTGTAATTGCACAATAGCTCTTGTATAACTGAAATGTTATTTTTATATAAGGCGGTGTTCACACAGTGTTTTTTGATCTCAATATTCGGCGATTGATAAGAAGTGACAGGTAATGTATTACGATCGAAATGAATTATCCATTTTGGACCCTGCCACCATAATGGATGGTTAAGTAGCTTCTGTGACGTGAGACCCCGAGTGGCACAATCTGCCGCGTTATCCTCTGACCGTACGTGATGCCAACATGATGATGGAACGATATTGGTGATTGTGATAATTCTATTAGCCACGAATTGTTTCCACCTATGGACGTCTCCTTGGATCCATCCTAGGACTATCATGGAGTCAGTCCAGGCATAAATTTCCACGTTTTCATTTGATAATGACTCCATAACCTTCTTGATAAGTTGAGCAAGAAGTAACGCACCACAGAGTTCGAGCCTTGGCAGTGACACCTTTTTAGCCAGAGGCGCTAATTTTGTTTTTGCGACAGCGAGTCTCGATATGCACTCGCCCTTATGATCTTTACTTACGACATATACTGCACAAGCATATGCCTTATCGGAAGCGTCACAAAATGCATGTATTTGATACAATTGGTTTGTATTACCAATGTATCGCGGTATAATGAATTGGTCAATGAGATTGAGATCACTCCTGAGATGAATCCAATCATCTTGAATTGATTGTGGAACATTTTCATCCCAAGATAATTTTAATGACCATGCGTTTTGGAATAGAAGTTTCGCTCTTATTGATAGTGGAGACAGCCAACCCAATGGGTCAAAAAGTTTCGATATTTCAGATAGCAACTGCCTCTTCGTGACGCATTGATTACGACACTGGACCGGATTTTGGAAGCTAAAGGTATCCGTTGATGGATTCCACCTGAGTCCAAGCGTTTTCTTCGATTCTGAGCACTTAAAGTCGAATGGGCTATTGAGCTGATCTGAGGAAAGATCTTTAAGTAGCTCCGGGTCATTACTGGACCACTTGCGCAGATTCATGCCAGCACCCTTCAACATCTCAATGAGTTGATGTTGTAGCTCCCTGGCTTGATTGATGGTATTTGTGCCTCCAAGAAGGTCATCCATATAAAAAGATTGGCGTAATGTTGACGCTGCTAATGGGTATCTATCGGCATCGTCGATTGATAACTGTTTAAGAGTCCTCATAGCTAAATAAGGAGCGGCTTTAGTGCCGTAAGTCACTGTAGTTAAACGATATTCTCCTAGTAACTCTTGAGGTGATTGTCTCCAAACGATTGATTGAAGATGATGATCTGATTGTCTGATGAAGAGCTGTCGAAACATTTTCTCGATATCAGCTGTCATAACGTACTTGTAAGTGCGCCAGTTCAAAATAAGTGTCATGAGATCTTTTTGGAGATTTGGTCCACAGCACATGAGGTCATTCAGACTTTTACCGGAAGATGATTTTGAAGAAGCATTGAAAACGACTCGAAGTTTAGTCGTTGTGGAATCTAATTTGATGACGCCATGATGAGGTAAATAGAAGGCTGGTTTTGATTCGTCGACATTATCGGCCTTACACATGTGACCCAGTTGTTGATATTCGGACATAAATGATTTATAACTTTCCGAGAATAATAAATTATTGCACATTTTTCTTTCCAACTGTTTGAATTGTGCAATCGCTTTTGATTTAGACGATCCAAGTTGATTTTCGTATTCGGGTTTCATGGGAATGCCAACTTCGTATCTGCCAGTATCTAAGCGACGAGTAATTTGTTGATAAAACTCTTCACAATACTGCTCTTCACTAGTCAATGATGATGATGATGATGGTTCAACGTCTTCAATCTCCCAGTATTTTGAAAGATCCGATATATTGTTTGTCACGATATGACAATTAAAAGTACGAACGTTTCCCGATAAAATCCATCCGAGGGCAGTCTGCTGCGCAATTGGAGCTTGAGATGGACCTTTGATAAGACCGTCCATGATGATCTGTGAATAAATGCTGACATCCAAGAGAAGATCGATAGGCTTGGAAACATTGTACTCTGGATCAGCTAATTGCAGATGCTGGAGATGAGGCCATGATTGTTTTTTGAACTGAACGCTAGGCAAGTTACTGGCAACCCGAGAGAGTACGAGTGCTTCTGTAGTGAAATTATAATCGCCGTAGATAGATTGACAGTCGATAGATACTAAACCCTTACTTTGACTAGCACCTGAACCTATACCGGACACGGACGCATTGTAACGTCGCCTCTGTAAGCCTAGTCGTTGCACAGCGTTCTCCGATATAAGTGATATTTGAGACCCCTGGTCCAGGAGAGCCCTTAGGGTTATATAGGTACCGTCAGAACACCTTACATTGATCGATAACGTGGTTAATAGTAATTCTTCATCGTCTACTGCGACATGATTGGCATTAGGCTGTTTGTTGGGTGTTTTTGCGGACGGACCCGATGTAGACGATGATGATGAGGATTGATGTTTTGATGATTGCATACACGCTTCATGGAGTATGGTATGATGATTGCCTTGGCAAGACTTGCAACGTTTGGTGGAAGTACATTCATTTCCGTCGTGAGAGAATAGGCAATTTTTACAAATATTTGATTGTGTAACTATTCTCATTTGTAAATCCGGAGTCATGTTAATAAATTTTTTGCATGAAAACAAATTGCGATTATGATTTAGGTTGCAAACTGCGCATTTCGAGATATGAATAGCTTGAGCTTGATAATTTCGATGATTAAAGCCTTTATAATTATTATATTTGTAATAATTATTTTGCACTTTTGGATTTGGGGTTCGTTTGATAGATGTAGCGGGTTCCTTATCATATTTGGTTATCTGTTCCAACGCAGTAAATTTACCTTCAAGGAATGTCATTAACTCGTCTAACTTAGGTAATTTTCGCGGTTCGACGCGTGCTTCTCTGTAATCAGTCTGGGTATCCGTATCCAGTTTTTTACATAGAAGGTGCACCAATAAAGGATCCCACGCATTAGTATTGACGCCAAGATTGTGAATAGCATGAATGCACTCCGTAGTAGTGTCATATAACCCTTTGATTTCGGATGATGATTGTTTTTGAATGTTGGGCTGATTGAGAAATATTTCGATTTGATGAGTGAAAAGAGCTTGCTCGTTGTTGTATCGATGGACTAAAATCTCCCATGCGGTATCGTAGTTTTCCGATGAGACATTTAAATGATAGATGAGTCGTTCAGCTTCGCCCTTGAGCTTACCCTTAAGATGTTGCATCTTTTGGGCCTTGGTGATGGAATTATTGTTATGAATTGTCTCGCTAAACAAATCATAAAAGGTTGGCCATTGACTATAATTTCCGCTGAACGTAGGTATCTCAAGTTTCGGAGTGACCTTTTCTAAATGAGTCGTAGAGGAGATTTTCCTATTTAGCTCACGTTTGATATTTTTGTAAGCTAACTCATGACGAGTGAATTCCTCGTCATACGATATATCTCCACCCGCAAGTATATGATCGATTTTCAAATGCTGAGCGTCGATAATTTTCCAAATAGACTGAACGCCGTTTAGCTCGTCTTCGAGTTCCCATTTATCCGATATATTTTCAACCTTGATGCTCTTAATAAGTCGACTAAGTGCCCTGAAATTAGTCCGCTGCATTGCTAACAATTCATCAACCTCCCCATCTGGTTGAGTTGATTTTGATGATTTTCCGTAAGATGATAAGAGGATGCGGACAGACTGATAAAGGTCTTTGCCTACCTGATAGGTATTTAGACGGAAATATTCATCTGCCTCACTGGCATGATCGGAAATTCTAGAATGATTTTGTTCGAACTCTTCCCAGAGAGCGTCTAGCGCGCCTAACCGTTTTTTGATGTATTCGGCATTTTTGCGGGAATCAGAGTCCTTATTAAAGTTGACCTTTATGGTAGTGATACTGGAGATGATTTCAGATTGACGGGCTATACGAGATTCCATGTTGAAAAATAAAGGAACAGTCTTACTTGATAAATGATGATCCAGATGCGACGTTACAGTAGTGACGTCCTACGCCCCTGCTGGTGATTCCAACGAAGCTGACAGCGTGCGCGACCTCTCGCGCCACAGATGAGATGAAGATGATGAAGTATCGCGATTCAATGAACACGACCGAGATGGCTTAAGCTAGCGATGCTCAAGTCGATGATGTGTGTAGATTACACTGGTGATCGCACGGAACTTAAGTCCACGTCACGTTGACGTACACGAGACACGAATGCGCGCGCGAGGTCAAAGTAACCGCGAAGGTCCCGCCACGATCCGGCTCGAAGGACCAAAAAAAATGTAGAAGATTCCTACACCTTTGATGATACGATATGATGAGGGGTTAATCCTATAAGGATATAGAAATAATACCACCCGATTTGAATGCTAGATTAACATTGATTTATAATTCGTTATAAAAGACACAAATTACATTTTGCATTGTTTGCAATATACACAAAACCTGAGTGTGCAGAACGCACGGGCGTGAGTAGTTAAAATAATGTACGGTTCCGTACAAACACTATAACACGACCTTCTACACTCCAAGTGTGGCAGAACTATGTTTCGGTACGAATCGGATCTAGTAGTGACACCACGGTCTCACAGAAAACCGGCGTGAAACAACCACAGCGTTATTTTTCGCCATGTGGGTGAGGTTACCGGTGACCCAATCCTTCCTCGCCCCCATTCCTTCAACAATCCCTAATCCCCAAAAGGTTGGCAACGCATTTGTATCTCCTCTGTTGTTGCAGCTGATTGTTTGCAGTACAAAAAATATACCTCAGAGGTCTCCTGTTGAGCAAGGGTTCGGTATTTTCGGTTTCCAGTGAACTCTAACTGAACTATTGAAGATCAGAGGTACATAAATGTACCTAAAATGTTAAGAGAAATTACATAAAAATTACAATTTAATTCAAATTATTAATTAAAAAATTTTTTGGTGAGGAGACATAAGCAATGAGTTTACCCCACGGGTTTACCTTACAATATTCCAATTCAACATTTCCTACCAAACTATTTATGTAAATAAAATTTGTGTAATAAAATGTTACCTGTGATTGTGTTGCTATACTGCCCCAGTAGAACACAGTGGTGACTAGTGATGGTGGCACATGTGAGGACAATGGTAACCATGAGAACAAATGTTGGAGAGTTGTGAGACACTTCACCACTATTTCCATATTCAGCACTCTAGAAAATGTGAAAGAAATTGTTTAGGTAAAGTATTCAAAAACTACACAGATTTCACTTTAAGGAATATCCCTTAAGTCTGTATATCCAACTGTAATGTAACATGACATGTAATGTAACATGTTACCTTACATACATTTTTCGATCCATAATATGTATTCTCTAAAGTCTAATTTCATTACTTTAATCTCCACTGAAGTGTGTGTGTGAACGGGCCAGCTGGACTAAATCGAGTCAGTTAGTATGGAGGGCCTAATGCCCTTACCCTCTGTCCTCCCTACCCAATCGGCTCAAAAGGGGAGCAATGCACTTGCAACTCTTGTTGTGCTGGAGGTGTCTATGGGCGGCACCGATTGCTTACCGTCAGGCAATCTGTCAGCTTGTTGGCTGTTATACCACATATGTATATCCTTTAAAAGAAAACAACCACCATAAATTATCGTGACTTACTTATCACTGGCAGTAACATCATGTGTATTTGTCAATAGATCAGGCAGTGCAGATGTTTGTGGAACACCACTAGTTGGTGAAGGTGGAGGATTAGACTGCCCTTCTTTTTGGGCATTCCGCTCTAAGATATCTGAAAAAAAAAAAACAAGGTTATGTCAAAACACAATATGTTTTGTAGTTAAAAATAACTAAACTAAACTAACTTACCACTGAGAGCATTCAATAACTGTGGCATCCCTTTAAGCATAAGGCGCTCAAGTTGGTTTCTACGTTCTGAAGGTAGTAAGACACCTGTGTCACGGGCTGCACCAAGTTCTTCACTTGCTGCCTGTGCCAAAACCAGGCCCAAAAGACAACGAGAGCCATCACTTCTGATTAACTGTAAAATCAGATAAAATTCTTATAGATTGTCTTGCAGCCAGTAGATAAGCCTATTAAGTGTGAGAGAGCCATGATTCGGCACAACTGTGTTTACTCAAACAGACAAATGTTACCTTGTGTGAGTGACATGACCAGAGGCCCAATACTCCTGCCAAATTGCAAAATTATCTTATAGCCCAAAAGGCTAGTAACACACTTGCAACTTCTTTGGTATTGAGGGTGTCCTTCAGGCCACCTTAATGCTTACTATCAGAAAATACATCAGCTTGTTTGCTGTCATCACACACAAAAATGGCAGAATTACTAATTACTAAGCAACAATAACATTAATGTTTACATTTTCTTTAATTACCTCAACAATATTACTGAAGAAGTCATCATATAAATGTGGCCAGTCATAACGAGCAATAGCTACCATCAGTGCAGCTACTTTGTTTCTAATGAAATATATCATTACTTCATGTTTTGCCAACAGTTCATTCCATAAAGTCAGACGAATCTCTGTTTTCTCATTGTCTGATAGACGGATCCACTGCCGGTTGATGATATTCTACAAGATTTTAATTTTACATAATATTAGGCAACAACTTAAATCATTTACACATGTTTTACACTTTCTGATACACATAAAGTTAATTATACAATAACATAATTTGTGACAGTATCTTACTTTAGTAGTCCACTAAGTAAAAAATCTTTCAATTTTAACATATACATGGAACATAATAACAAACAATACATAATACAGCCGGCAATTTTATACCCACAATTATGTTAAAATCATAAGTAATTTGATAGTGTGTGAATTTAAATTGCAATCTTAATAACAAACCTGACCAATTGCAGGTTTTTTAGAGAATTCATTAAATTAGTATAATTATATATAATATAAGAAGTTTTGTTAAATTATCCACTTGCTTTACCTCTAAAGTAGTCAATGTGAACATCAGGACATATTGATTATGTGATTTTTGTAGGAATATCAGGCAATGTTTCCAGGAATCACTTCGGTTAGAAAAGTTTTCAAGCATACTCTCAATCTCCCTCTTCCTGAAATTACTTGTGGCTGGTGCAAAGAACTCAGACATAAGTAGTTCTAACGAGGCTAAAGCCTCGTCAATCTCGTTACCAGCCTGTAAATTATGTAAAGATAGTAAGTAAACCAGATTAGGTTTAAAGGTGTGTTATTTATTCGTATCTTATTATTTGCACTCACCATCACAATGTTTTTTTTTCACATAATATATTAATAATATACTTGTTATACAACAAAAGTATACATCATTATCGCTTATAACCTGACAATAACTAATCAGTACAAATGTATATTAAAATTTTAAAATAATTTATCATAAATCAAGAGAATTAGGACAAAAATGTTAAACATATGACATTTTCAACATTGTGACATTAAAATGTATCGGTAACAATCATGTCAAATGTCAAGTATGTCAACCTTTCCGCCTTTCATTTTTGACAGTATCACTTGCTCAGCTTCAATGCTCAGCTTTAATTTATAGGTATTTAATTCTGTACCGTAGACAGAGAATAGAGGTCTATTCTGTCTACCTACCTACCAATCTGTCCATAGATATAGAAGAATATTTTCTCACTACGATTTAGTGATCATCATCATCATCATTAGCCTGTTGTCGTCCACTGCTGGACATAGGTCTCCCCAATTGCACGCCACTGAGCTCGATGTTCAGCTCTTCTTATCCAACCACTGCCAGCCACCCAGCGGATGTCGTCAATCCACCTAGCTGGAGGGCGCCCTACACTACGTTTGCCTAGACGTGGCCTATTTAGTGATATATCTGCAAAATTAATTAGGTATATTGATTTTTCATGTCTCTTCACGACAGAAAGCCACGGCTTTGCACATTTAACAGTATGTAACACAACACGTCACAGCATGCAAATGATCTCAGTATATACCTTGTATACATTGTGTAGTGATTGCTTTTGTGGAAAGTGGCTCCGAGCTAATGGATTATGGAACTGGTAGAAATACACGTCCACTACCGTGGCGTTTATGTATGACGACATGATGTGACCTTTAAATTCAGCTTTTACATTCCAATAACTACTACTGATAAAATTTTTCATATATTTTTATACCATGCCAAACATTAAAATTGAATTAAAATAGACTCAATGTGCCTCACGACACTGTAACGTAAATTCCGTAGTGCAGAGATGCTGCTATCTACATGACTATCCCAGCCGCAACCATACTAACCGTTGTGTGCTGCCTTGTTAGGTACACCACTACCCAAGGAAAATAAAAGTGTCACTGTCATTATCAATTGTATTTACGTTTTCGCGCGTTTTTGTTGTTTTATGTCAATCACGCGGCTTGGTACCTTTGTATTTGATAGGATTACCGTTCAAAACCAAACGTTTAGTGAAAAAGTGTTGTTTTTATTATGTGTGTGCATCAATTTATAGTTTCTTTTCGTTTAATTTGAAATACGAAATTGTAAGTAACTATTCTTTATTAATGCAAAACTTTAGCACCCATCACCTCTAAGATCTTGTCCTTGTTTCAATGATAGTGCTTACTAGCACGGTCCTTATATACAATTTACTTGTATTTCATATATTTATTGCGATTTCATTTTCAATTATGATTTGACTTACATTTTATTTTGTATAGCTATTGTAAGAATGCACCAGTACATTGCTTCCTTTGTTTTTCAGTCATTTATAATATAATATGAACTCTGTAACCTCTAAGAGGAGCTGGGCGGCGGAAGTGGAAATGGAGGAAACAAGAGAGAGTAAGCTCTAAACTTCTACTAATCTAAAATTAAAAATATATTATAAAATTTATCAAGTTATAACTTGTTACTGCCCATTTGAGCTTAGTACTCTGTTGTACTATGATATTGAACATTAAGATTTGAAATTATATACTATGTTTGCCTTTTAATTTCAGATTCTACATCCTCTAAAGATAAATCAAATGGAAGTAGGGAAAATTCTAACAGCAGAAAAAAAGCAAGACCAAACAATAAGAGTGAAAGTGAAAAAAAAGAAAGGTTTTTCATTTCATAATTTGCATATTTAAATTTAAGGTGTTTTTAAGGAATAGGTTTACAAACAAACACTTGCATGACCTGATGGTAACCATAAATTACACCAACACCACACCTGCAACACCTAAGGAGTTGTTATAAACAATGTTAGTGTTGCTTTACAACAATTTTCTGTGGCTGGCTTATTGAGTCTTATATTGCACTAAGATGAGATGAGATTAACTTGGAATTTTATTAAAAATGTATACTTTATGATCAACTGCTATTACTTACAATTTATATTTAACATTCTCTATCATATTCTGTATAATTTTTACAGTACACCAAGAAAACCATTGGAATTGGAAACAGATCCCTTTGTACTACGAAGACGACAAAAACAAATAGATTATGGCAAAAATACAGTTGGCTACCACAACTATATAAGCCATGTTAAATAGTAAGTTTCATGTTAAATTCCTGTGGTGGATTTTGATTTTTTTTTTATCTAATTTGTATACATAATCTTAATTGATTTCCAGTGACGAAAGAACAAAAGATCATCCAAAGACACCTGACAAATTTGCCAAGTACAGCAGAAGGTCTTGGGATACTCTCATCAAATTATGGAGGAAAAAATTACACGAGTATGATGTGGAAGGAAAAGATGAATGTTTGGACAATGAAGATGATAGTGACAACCAAGATTGATAGACTGTTTAATTTTAAGTTATAATTACCAATAAGGGTCAATTCATTGTCATTCAATTTTATTTTGATATGTCTCTGACCTTTATCAAGTTTCTAGTTAGTGGTGTAATCTGTTACAAAATAAGTTTTAATGACTTCATTCGTAGAAAGATATTGTGTATATCTTTACTGAAGTCATTGGATACATCTTGACTAGGGACATTCATACTAAACAGATTAATATGATTATGGAGATGAAGTGTAACTGATGTTTACAATAATTGTACTAAGAAGTTGATAATAAGATAAAATTATGATTTTATTAAATAAAATAGTAAAAAAATAAAAAAAAACATTACAATGACTGCACACATATTAGTTTAATTTTCCTTATTTCACAAGAGATTGATGTTTATATTCTTAAAACAATTTTTAGTTGATAGGTAGTTCTATATTATTCAGAATATCTCGAACTTGTTTTACAACAGGACTATTTTTGCCTTCAGTTGCTAGAGTTTGCAATTTCTCCAAATATTCCTCAATATTCTGCTCTGTTGCACCTGTTGGTCCTCCTGGTATTGCCACTAATTGCAATGCTTGGACTAGTGCAGCAACCAGTGCGCGACGGTGCGCTAATAAAGCAGCTGTGCGCTCTGCAGCTGCTGCAGTTTCAACTCGAAGTTTTGCAGTAGCTCCACTAACTTCTTCAGCATGTCTTTGTAGTATAGCATTCTGAAATATGTCAGATGAAATAAGCAATATTGGCTATTTAACCGATACAAAATACAACACAGTGTATAAGAAACAAGAGCATATCGGGCTACGCCCAGTGTAGGGTTCCGTATTTTCTCGTCTATTACAATAAGTGTCCCCACTTAGAGTGTAAGTCTCAAACGTGTCCGTTACCCAGGCCAGATGTTGTCGACAATGGTCATTTGAATCTTATAGATGATTAGTTGTGCGGCTTCTGTAATTGTTGCGCACATTTTTGTGTCCGTTCCCCAGGCCAGATGTTGTCGACAATGGTCATTTAAATCTTATAGATAATTAGTTGTGCGGCTTCTGTAATTGTTGCGCACATTTTCAAATTTGTTGCGCTTATAGTTTTTTAATTATTTCACAAAAACATTTCCTGCTGGCGTAACGTTACCACAGCCAGACCTTTTTCTTTCTAATGGGAATATTTAAATAAATATTAGCTATAAAATTAGTTGTCTAGATAAAGTAAATGTTGTGCCTTATTTTGTATTTGTTCTTTCTTCGGTTGCGAAGTTATTCGAGATTTTGCTGCGGTAACGTTTTTGGTTTTGCTATATCTTTGAAATGGTTAAGCGGATTCTTATCATATTTTGTACACGACTTCCGAGGACTTAGTTTAAATTTGTTGTGCAATAATAGAACCAAAATAATGCATATTTTAACGGTAATTTCATTAAATAGAAAAACACTTCAATTGGCCCCAGCACTCTCAATAAGAAGTCTAAAGACTTACTTTAAACGTAATTTTAAAGCTTGTAACTGCCTTCAAATGTATGTGAAGTTTCATTAGTATCCCGTAAGTATTTAACAAGTTATGATGATATTCAGTTCTTCACGAGCACGGTCTTAATGCACACGGTGTTATTTGGCCACTGGATTGGATATATGAACTGAATGTTATGTCAATGATTAGTTGTTTAGATCAGTTGTATATCAGCAAAATTTTAGCTCAATATATTGGATAATTAATGAGATAATACTATTAAAGTCATTAGGAATTGAATGACCGTGGTAAGCCGACCAAGTTTAGGTGGTAACGAAAAAGCGAAAACGCAGAACATTATGGTACCTTTTAAAATATGTAGGATAGTGTTATAAATTTAGTACAGACATGTACAAAAGTTTAAAAAAAACTACATGATTATTCAAGATTTTTTATTGAAAGGTAAAATCATTTCAATTGAACTTTTACTCCCTTACTCATAAAAACTTGTGTTGCTTGACGACGACCCACTAGGTACTACTTTAGACTACCGTAAAAACAGACACAATTAAGTCAATAGATGTTTGAACGCCGGTGTTCGCTGGGGGGGGGGGGGGATAGAATAAAATATTAGTTGTATTGACCTAAACGATTGTTCCATTATAATATAAAAATATAAAATTAAAAGTAAATTCTCTATATTCCGAAAAAACAACTAAAAGTAACCATTTTATTCGAGTTACCTAAAAGTAACAGATGCAGTTCAAAAATCATTTAAAAGGTTACAAAAGTAACCTTCTGGCAAGACTGAGTGCGTTATGCAAACAATGTAGGTATTACCCCTTCACCCCACTCCTCCCGCGTCCTACCGAACGGCATAGGTACTCTAGCGGTGATTTTTGATAATTTTGTGGAACTGGAAGATAATGTTTTCTTTTATATTATTATTATATAGGTATTTAACAGTGTACGCGTCTGTACCAAAATTGTAAGGTGTATTATACTAAACATTTCAAAAGATAGTACAATGTTCTACGTTTTCGCTTTTTCGTAACCACCTAAACTTAGTCGGCTTACCACGGTCATTCACTTCCTAATGTCTTTAATAGTATTATCTCATTAATTATCCAATGTATTGAGCTGAAATTTTACTGATATACAACTGATCTAAACAACTAATCATTGACATAACATTCAAATCATATATCCAATCCAGTGGCCAAATAACACCGCGTGCATTAAGACCGTGCTCGTGAAGAACTGAATATCATCATAACTTGTTAAATACTTACGGGATACTAATGAAACTTCACATACATTTGAAGGCAGTTACAAGCTTTAAAATTACGTTTAAAGTAAGTCTTTAGACTTCTTATTGATAGTGCTGGGGCCAATTGAAGTGTTTTTCTATTTAATGAAATTACCGTTAAAATATGCATTATTTTGGTTTTGTTATTGCACAACAAATTTAAACTAAGTCCTCGGAAGTCGTGTACAAAATATGATAAGAATCTGCTTAACCATTTCAAAGATATAGCAAAACCAAAAACGTTACCGCAGCAAAATCTCGAATAACTTCGCAACCGAAGAAAGAACAAATACAAAATAAGGCACAACATTTACTTTATCTAGACAACTAATTTTATAGCTAATATTTATTTAAATATTCCCATTAGAAAGAAAAAGGTCTGGCTGTGGTAACGTTACGCCAGCAGGAAATGTTTTTGTGAAATAATTAAAAAACTATAAGCGCAACAAATTTAAAAATGTGCGCAACAATTACAGAAGCCGCACAACTAATTATCTATAAGATTCAAATGACCATTGTCGACAACATCTGGCCTGGGGAACGGACACCACATTTTTATATTTGTTGCGCTTATAGTTTTTTAATTATTTCACAAAAACATTTCCTGCTGGCGTAACGTTACCACAGCCAGACCTTTTTCTTTCTAATGGGAATATTTAAATAAATATTAGCTATAAAATTAGTTGTCTAGATAAAGTAAATGTTGTGCCTTATTTTGTATTTGTTCTTTCTTCGGTTGCAAAGTTATTCGAGATTTTGCTGCGGTAACGTTTTTGGTTTTGCTAGATCTTTGAAATGGTTAAGCGGATTCTTATCATATTTTGTACACGACTTCCGAGGACTTAGTTTAAATTTGTTGTGCAATAACAAAACCAAAATAATGCATATTTTAAAGGCTTTTTCATTAAATAGAAAAACACTTCATGATTAGTTGTTTAGATCAGTTGTATATCAGTAAAATTTCAGCTCAATACATTGGATAATTAATGAGATAATACTATTAAAGTCATTAGGAAGTGAATGACCGTGGTAAACCGACCAAGTCTAGGTGGTTACGAAAAAGCGAAAATCTTGAATAATCATGTAGTTTTTTTTAAACTTTTGTACATGTCTGTACTAAATTTATAACACTATCCTACGTATTTTAGAAGGTACCATAATGTTCTGCGTTTTCGCTTTTTCGTAACCACCTAAACTTGGTCGGCTTACCACGGTCATTCACTTCCTAATGACTTTAATAGTATTATCTCATTAATTATCCAATGTATTGAGCTGAAATTTTACTGATATACAACTGATCTAAACAACTAATCATTGACTTAACATTCAGTTCATATATCCAATCCAGTGGCCAAATAACACCGCGTGCATTAGGACCGTGCTCGTGAAGAACTGAATATCATCATAACTTGTTAAATACTTACGGGATACTAATGAAACTTCACATACATTTGAAGGCAGTTACAAGCTTTAAAATTACGTTTAAAGTAAGTCTTTAGACTTCTTATTGAGAGTGCTGGGGCCAATTGAAGTGTTTTTCTATTTAATGAAAAAGCCTTTAAAATATGCATTATTTTGGTTTTGTTATTGCACAACAAATTTAAACTAAGTCCTCGGAAGTCGTGTACAAAATATGATAAGAATCCGCTTAACCATTTCAAAGATCTAGCAAAACCAAAAACGTTACCGCAGCAAAATCTCGAATAACTTCGCAACCGAAGAAAGAACAAAATAAATAGAAAATAAGGCACAACATTTTCTTTATCTAGACAACTAATTTTATAGCTAATATTTATTTAAATATTCCCATTAGAAAGAAAAAGGTCTGGCTGTGGTAACGTTACGCCAGCAGGAAATGTTTTTGTGAAATAATTAAAAAACTATAAGCGCAACAAATATAAAAATGTGCGCAACAATTACAGAAGCCGCACAACTAATTATCTATAAGATTCAAATGACCATTGTCGACAACATCTGTGGCCTGGGTAACGGACACGTCTCAAACCGCAATTCAACGTAAGTAGCAAAACTAAGGCGCCATTTTTTAGAAAATGGTGTTCCTAATTTATACAAACTAAATGGGTTATGCATCTTAAAGTTTTCCTTTTTATTTGAAAGAAGATAAATTCAGAATAGTAAAATACCTATATAAAGTTAAAAAATGCTTGCATATACATTTAATTTACAAAATTAGTTCAGGTTTTTTTCGTCAAAAACTGTTCAACCCAACGTTTTGCATAATTTTCTTTGAAGGTATTGATCAAGTTTGGTTCTTCTTCAAAGATATTTCCATATTTTCTAAAATCATGATTCAAAAGTTAAAGGAACGGATGGATTTTTTCCTAAAATATAAACATTATCAAAAAATGATATTAAGTAAATCCCTATTCATTTTTAGATACCTATGCAATAGTTTAATTAAACATAATGTTTAATTTAACGATTAAAATGAAAAAAAAAACACCCTAATTTACGTAGGAACGGACATACCCTAATA